GATAAAACAGGATGGTTAAGGTGAATTGGGAAAGGAATAGCGATGCTAAGTGTCGAACTACTGGCTTAGTGGCGCCGTAATGGCCAGCCAGGCGTCCAGGAGAAGTGCCGCATGGGCCCACGAGGGAAACACGCCGTCGAAGGAGAAAGTGGGCGGCGTAAGGAGTAGAATGAATGTATCGGTGGAGATGGCGATGGGGTGCAGAAAGAAGATAAAATGACAAACTAATGCAGTACTTACTACTTAGTAGGGGGAACTCCGATAGTATCACCTTTCAAATAGTTCTTATACCACCATAATCGTTTCCACGTCCTAGTGAGTAGTGGTACTAGCCTATCCTGTCCATGGTAGATACTGAGTTACCCCAAGGTACACACTCTCCCTTCGCTAGACAAGCGAAGTATGTCTGGGTATCTAGTCGTACAAAGATGCAAGCAAGGATCGATCCCAGTACCACCTCGTTGAGGAGCAAGTACAGAGTATCTGAAGCATCGCCGCTCTTATGGCGATTTGGAATGGGCTCACCTGATCGTTGAGAAGTAACCTCTCCAACAATATTTGATATATTTGATCATAAAAATATATAATCCATTTCTCTTTGCGTGATTAATTCTCCGTGGTTTCTAGAACAAAAAGTATATATCCCTAGGAGTCTTGATCATCGGCCCATATGCAGAGTGTTATCTGGTGCCCCCAAGAGATCACTCACAAAGATCCCCTACCCGCCATCTCCACACGCCCACGACATTTCCCGACCAGCCAGGACTGACCTGTCAACTTGCTATTTGACATCTTCTTTTGTCAAAATTTGGCATGGCCGAGCACGTTGAGAACCAGTCCCAAGGACTTTGGGGAAATATCTACCGAATCCATATCCTAAGCGTGGCTTTGTCTCGTGGCCGCCACGTTTTTGATGGATTGCATAAGGGAGTCTTGTGTGTCCATTGGGAATTGAGGGCTTCTCTTCCGAGTCCACCAGAAGGAGCATAGTCGAACGCGAATGCTCGCCGTCTCCGTTGACAGGAATCTGTCCTCCGAAGGCCTACCGCCGTGGGACAAAGTACTCTCTCAACTCCCACGGCGAATTTTCCATTGGACCAGGCGGGGGTAATGCCAGCCAAAATGGAGGTGGGATATCCCTGCTGGGTTACTAAAACGTATCTTGCAGATCCTTAATATTGATTTCCTGAGTTACATGAGATCCTGCTTCGTTATCCTTCTTCATTTCTTTTTTTATACTGAGATTAGTCATAGGCACAGTGACTACGGTGCGCAACTCGGCCAACAATTACCGAGAGAGAGAGAGAGAGAGATACGAAGAGTTGAAAATCTGCGATGTATATTAAATTATATTTGTGATTATTTTAATCTCCAACAAGGTCGCATTTAGATGGAATGAAACCTTAATAAACCATGGATAGCCATAACACCGTGCCCTAATCTTTCCTTCCCCAATCCCGCAATCCCCCAGAGATAGATAACCCCTACACAGAGAAGCAGAAAGACAACCAAACAAAGCCAAAAGATTGTCGCTAAGGAATCATATTACGATTAAATAATGAAAATAATAATCAAAGGAACGCATAGCTCCAAGGATCCGCTCTGGGATTGGAGCGGGGCCCGACAATCCCCACCACCAAAGCGCCTTAACTCTTTAGCCCATCGATGACAGTGGATCCGCCATTTCGCTGCTCATCCAGTTTTGTCTCGCCAACGGCGCAGATCCTATTTTATCTAATTTGGCACTCCGAGCTCTGGACAAGACTAACCACCTTTGTGACGCCCACAGACGCAGGGGACCAGACAAATAAGGCTGCTCCTCCGACGCGGAGCGTCTTGGCTCTCCAGATGTCTCCAGTCCCGATTGACGACGGGTTTGAGAAAAGCGCGAGAGGGTTTGATGCTGATCATTACAGTGTCATCCGGTGAATCGCAATTTAAAATCCTTCGTTTCGGGCTTAGTATCTTACGGAGAGGGGGCCTGGGGGGCTCTATATTTAAACCCGCTAGCTTTATGCAGTGATATGCATAGCCAGAGTGGAAGTTCATGGACGTGGGATTCGTGTTATATTTCTGACATCTCATAAGCCTCCTGAAATTCAGCCGCTGGGGAAGATATGTCAAAGAAGAAAGAAAAAGAAGCGGTGACTGGTATAACGTAAGGATGGCATTCTTTTCTGATTCTAGTGGTTCTTCCTGTTCTAGTCATTTCTTCTCAGCTTTCTAGAATTCAGTTCCATGCATGCAGCTCGCCTGCAGTAAGTTGGTAACCCTGTAAGGGGGTTGTGACGCCGATTAAACATTTTCAGATCTCATCCGACCGGGCTGGCTGAATGAACACACCTCAGACATCTGACTAACCGACATTATAATCTACTCTCCTATCGACTAGTTTTGCGAGGCGTATCCTTGATTTCAGCTTGACCTTCTCGTTTGCCGTATTAATATTTTCTTTTTTTTTTGCTTTTTCTCCCCTTTGCCTTCGGAAAAGAGCCCAGAACGATAAATCCTACACCAACCTGATCAAACCAGTGTGTTCAGACACCCCCCAGAAGGAAGAAAGAGACCTATCAAGTCTAGAACCACGCTGCAAGTTAATTTAGTTCAAATCATCTAGCCTTAAACTTGGTGTCTGCATCATGGCCGATCGTTGACCAATGAGAACTGGAGGCTTTGGTCCTAAGTTTACCTTTTGAGTTGGGATACTAGGGATATGATATATCTCCTACATGATTCGGCCGTGGTGTATGCGAAGTAGTCACTTCTGGATATACAATGAAGAGATCCTTTCCAATCTACGAACTAAAGCAAGGATGAGTACGCGGCCCAACAGTGTCCTAAGTCACATGTGAGGACTAGACCACTCCATGAACAAACACTCCGATACACCAGCGCGGCTTCAGCATTCGCACACTCAGATCGACAGATCATTCACGAGAATAGACCACATCAAACATTTTCCGATCAAACAAAATACTTCAACAACAGCTTCTCAGTGAAGCCCCAGATGGTATGGCTCTCGTGGGCGGTCAAAGCCGCCCCGGTATAATAAGTCCCGCGATGTCCCTGGAGCGCATCCAACTTTCTATAAAACCCATCCCTAATCGCCTGCACAGGCACAGTAAGCTCGTATGGAGAATGCGATTTGAATGCAACAATTTCTGGCTCTCTCACGGCGACATTGGGGTGCCGAATCCGTAAGAGACTATCTACAATGTCCTTTTTCACTTCTTCGTTGTGCATGAAGGTCGAGCTGCCGTATAATACCCAATTCAAACCTGGCACATCGGTGTTCCTTAAGCTATATACACCTGGAAGGATGGGAAGGTTATATGGCGTGTCATGTGCATTATTGTTGATAGATGGTGCACTATGATATATATTCCTTATCAGACTTGAGTACCAAAACGTGCCGGTGAACTGTGTAAAGATTCCCCTTTCAATTCTATCAAGGCCAAACGGTATAAGATTCTCGATCGTCTGTGGGACTGCTATGAGGATTTTCTTCGCGTGGATCAACTTCTGTCCCGACGGGGTTTGGGCCAAAATATAGCTGGAATGGTCTATCTCGCTAAGTTTGCGCATGGCACCGATAACCCTGCTCTTGTAAAGGACGTCGCGACCCAATTCTTTCTCTGCTGCTCTGTATAATACGCTGTTGTCATTCATTGGATAGTTGAGAAATCCGTGTTGGATTTCATAGATAAATTCAAGAGAGAATATCTTTAACATGTACAGCGTGAGCTTCAGGAGCGGGTCTCCAAAGCCTGCAGTATACCCTGCAATAACACGTACAATGGCGCCGATCTTGTATTTGGCTGCAAACTGCCCAAAGGGAAGAAGGAGATCTTCAGGTATGGGGTCAGGGAGGTTATAGTATTCATCCTCGAGGAACGGATACTTGGCTAACTGCGCCTTGTAGTTCTCTATTGCAATTCTTACTTCCGGGTCATCGCTCGGGAGAGTGATTGGTTTTAAAGTGATAGGTTCTCCAGTCGTGAAGTCCACGTTCTTGGTCTGGTTCGTAAGGTAGATCTTATTTACCAGAGAGATGTTGAAGTGGGAGAAGTAGTCCGTCACAACGCTCTTGTGGTGAAAGCTTATCACACCGTATGGCACTGCAATTCCAGTAGCAGTGTCAAAGTAAGTATTTGAATGGCCTCCAAGCCTATCCTGGTTCTCGATGACAACAAGACTCTGGCCCAACTCTCGCAGGCGGATGGCGGCATATGTACCTGCTGATCCACCTCCTATGACGGCCACATCACGCTCGAGGATACCAAGCTGGTCGAGTGAGAGGGGGTCATGTTTTGAATCGGATTGAGTCACATCGGCCATTGTACCAATTAGGCACATGGCGGTGATTGATGCAAATGCTTGAAAGGTGACGCGCATGATGTCTGAACTATTCCACAGAGCAACATATGGTACAGAGTGACTGTCGAGCGACTGGGGCTGACATGGTCTTTATAGACCCACCGTGTACCTCCAGCTCACATCAGCTCTGCATGAAGCAACGTGGAGACATTTGTTTGAGTAAGTAGGTATGACAATGGAAGGCCAATACTTCATTCCAAAAGCTAAAGAGACCAATCGGAGGTTTTGCAAACTTGCATTTCTTTTTCTTAAATTTTCTCAGGTCGTGTCTGTCTATGTTTACGTTGGGTTCTGGTCCAGTCTGCTGATGTTGCATCGGTTTTCAATTCGCTGACTTGGTCCAAAAATCTAAGTTCAAAACTCGGGGGCAACATCAACAAGGTCTTCGAAGACTTGGCGGTTCGGAGAATAATGAGAGGTCTATCCAAGGAGATATGATTCCAGAAAGTCACGTCTAAATAACTTGGACGCCAAGAAAAGCCCCAATAAAATCATAACCTTATAGGAAGGCATAAAGCTGGTCATACCCAACACCCTATCCAATTGATCCCCACCGTGAAATTGCCTCGTCTGCTTTACACACCTTGTCCCAGGCCTCAAGCTCCAAAACACTATCTGTGCATTTACCACCGTCTTCCGAAGACCGAATCTTCACCTCTGGGCCCTGCCCGTTTCTCTGGCTGCCGGTTTCGATCGCGTGAGCTGGAGTGTGATGCCTGCGTCCTCGGTTTATCAGAGGACTGGGAATTTGAAGAGTTGTTTTCATCGGCAGCGCTCAATAATCGTGTGGATTGTGTAAGGTCGATGTTGCCACGTTCCCCTGTGAAGCGCGATTCCGCATCCCGGCCGAAGAGGGCCATCATGTCGTTCATGGTAAGCTTGGCCGCAGCAGTCTTGCCCTCGATGGTGACATTAGCGAGCTCACGCTTGCGCTCTTGAAGGTTAATAATTCGCTCTTCAACTGTATCCTTAATGATAAGTTTGTAGATTTTGACATCGACAGTTTGGTTTAGACGATGGACACGATCAATAGCTTGTTCCTCAACGAACTAAATGAGCCAGAGTCAGTTATAGTGGTAGGCATAAGGCTGTTAACATTAGATGAAGAACATACAGGATTCCAGAATGGCTCCAAGATAACCACCCGACTGGCCGCCGTAAGATTCAGTCCCAGTGCACCAGCTCGCAAACTACAAAGCAAGACTCTTGTCCCACTATTGTTCCTCAGTTTGTTCAGACTGGCCTCTCGGAAGTCATTTCGCATGCCACCATCATAACGTGCAAATCCAATGCCCGCGCGCTGAAGGAACGGTTCAATCTTGTCCAACATTGACGTAAAGACCGAGAATACAATGAATTTGTAGTCTGCAGACTCTCGCCTGAGGATTTTCATGAGATGCCGGATCTTTGTTGAAGGAAGCACCTGGTTGTCTTCATCGCCAGGATTAAGATAGATGTCGTCTTCATCCGATTCATTAGCCTGTTTTCTCGCACCCATACGGTTGCGGGTTGGCGACTCAGGGCCACCTTCATCGTCCGAGTCAGTTTCAGAGTCTTCTGAGCCGATCCAATCACCACCTCCTTCTGCATCTTCATCATCCGATCCCCCAGCCTTTCCAAGATCTGGCATCGTACGCTGATCTTCGGGGACGAGCCACTCGCCATCGTCTTCTTCATCGTCGCTATCCACGACTACCTTTCTATTTCTTCGGGACCGTGCAACTTGAGCCTCTGATCGCCGATTTGAGGGTGATTCCGTAAGGTCCACAACGTCTTGGTCTGAATGACGCTTTTTCTTGTCGCTGTGATTACCGGCAAAACTAACGTTTAGATCTGTCTCACACTCACCGCACCTGCTAGCACCGGCTTTCGTCTCCTTTTGGCCCAACTCGGCTTGGCAGATGTCGCACTTCTTCGAGACAACACTAAGAGCACCGAAAAGATCTGCCATACTGTCCAGATCATCCTGTTTCCCGGCTGCGGGTTGGCTTCCCGAGATACCATTCTGCAGAAGAATATCTTTATCTTTAGCAAGGTCACTTTTCACTAAGTCTGGATGGTTACAGGACTGTCGGAGACGCAATAGCAGTACCAATGCGCCAGCGTAGTCGAGCTTAGAGCCACCCATCATCTTTTCAAGGCTATTGTCGGTTCGCTGCTCGAGGCGCTTGTAGAAGTTCAGCTCACCCGGTGTAAACTCCGCCGAAACCTTGATCACCTCTCGCTTGACGATGTGGAAGCCAGATGATTTTTTCTGCCCTCCACCGGGAGCTGCTTCGTTGGGTTTGGGGTTATTGTTGAGCTTCAAGACATCCTTAGTGCGCCGCTTCATGAAAGCCTTCAGAACAACTTGTAAACGCTCGATCGCGAGAGCCCCACGCCCATTGGCTAAAGGCTTAGTAATTTGTTCTTTCCAGGCTGCTAAATCGTTATATGGTTTGATTCGGAGGAACTTGATCAAACTTTGCAACTCGTCAAGATTGTTCTGCATAGGAGTTCCGGATAAGCACCATCGATACTCGGCGTCCAAAGCGCAAGCAGATTGGGTTGCTTTTGCATTCCGATTCTTAATAGTGTGGGCTTCATCCAAAATGATTCGGTACCAGTAGACGGAGAAGATGCCCGATTTCTTGTTCTTTTTGTCGATGGCACCGTGCTCAGACGTCAGAGTACCATAAGTTGTAATCACAACATCGTAATCTTCAAGATTGCCTGTCGCTTTTGTTCGAGTATTCCCATGGTAAACACATACACGAAGTCTATGGGATGCCTCGACCTTGTCGGCGATTTCGGACTCCCACTGTTTGATTAACGCTAATGGAGCAACAACCAACGTAGACTTGCTCAACCCGGGGGGTAGCTTCGAATTATCCTTTCCTCCATCGCCTTCGGAGTCATTGTCACTGTCATCATCTTCTTTAGAATCAATAATGCGCCGACGCCCGTCTTTGGGTTTCCGGTTTGTGAGCATCAAGGTTATGGCTTGAACGGTCTTTCCAAGACCCATGTCGTCTGCGAGGATTCCACCCTTCGGAAGCACACCCTTAGTCTTGCTATTGCCAATTTCCTTGTCCCGCATCCAGTTCACTCCCTCTCGTTGATGAGGCAGTAGTTTGACTTTTAAGCCCTCCACTGTGCCATCGTCTTCATCCTCCTCCTCCTCCTCCTCTTCTTCTTCACCATCTTCGTGTTCTGATTCAAGGTCTCCGGTGACACCGTGTTTATCCTGAATGTTTGTTTGTTCTTCAACTCCTTCTCTGTTGGTAGTATCCTCGCTGGATCGATCGGCCTCGGTTTCTGCACAGCTCACATCATTGCCTTCAGCGCCGGGCTCATTAACAGTAACTCCTTGCAATTGAGCAGCTAGATCATCTATTTCGGAGCTTTCTGTATTCTTGTTGATTTGTGTCTCGGCCTTCTTATTTTTACCCTTATTCTTCTTGTTCTTGTTCTTGTTCTTCTTGTTGTTCTTTGCTTTGGAATCTTGCTTTTCATCTTCGTCTTCAAAGGCTCCCTCCAGAAGAGCTTTGATATTTTCGTTTGCTTTAGCTGTGTCAACATAACCGTTCACATCCATTGATCCAAAACCAACATTGCGCGATCGGGAACTGGGCGTGAAGCCGCCCTCGCCAGTCAGATCGACAAAGTTCCGAAGGTTCTTCGATGCGTTCGACACCTTAATTGCAGAGGCATTCGAGGCGAAAAAGGTTTTGGGGGCCCGTGGTGTGTTAAAGGTGAAGTTTTCCGGGCGTTTGATTGCGACAACATCATCGTGGACAGGGCGAGAAAACCGAGAGTTGTTGTAGGCTGACGGGCGAACGGGCTTAAAAGGGTCAAAGGGCTCGGCGCGTCTGGGAGTTGAGACTGCAACACCTGGTGTCGTAGGCGGCCGGTGACCATGGAAGGGTGCACCTGGTCGTTGCTGTTGTTGGGGTCTATGGTGCTCCGGCCGAGGCCTGTTCTGTTTAGGGATGTTGAAAGGGTGATTGGACTGATGGTTTTGAGGGCGTCCCCCGCCTAACGGTGAGGGTTTTCCAAACTCTGGTTGATTGGAAACGTGACGGTAGGATTGATCTTTCGGCTTTCCTGGAGTGATCGGATTCAACGGGTTTTCACTTTCTTTAGCCATCTTGACTACTTGATGAAGAGGTTTCCTCTGAAGTATTTAAGTAGGCTGCCGAGGCACTCCGTGAATATTATAACGAAATCTGTGAGATGAAAAGAAAAGGTGTACTGTTTCACCAATGTTGGATTTTCTCAAACATTCTTAGATCTGATCGTAGGGATGGAAGAATCGTTAGCATGACTCTTCAGGCAATCGGAGAATTTCCCCACACTGTGGGGTTTTACATTAGAATGACTTCATATACATACTGTCATTAGATCTTTAAAATCGTTCATGCCATAACAAAGGAGCTATAATTCTTTCCAAGGCTGACTGAGTGGGGGTGGGGTTACCAGAGAAGTTGATGTTGAGGCCGCGAATGTGGTTGTTTAGTGCCCATGCCACATTTATCGATAGCGCTAACTCGCTAGTTTTGTTTGGGTAGAACTTTTGCCCCGGCAACCAGCCGCCCCAGGGCCTGATGCTTTTTGTCAACCGTGATCAATGACAATGCAAGTGAATCTCCTACAAAGTTTCTCGAGCAAAGTATGAAGGCTAGAACTACATGTTAAGGACCACTCTGGAGTAGTTATTTCGTCATCCCTATTTTTCTAATTGTAGCCAACTCGGGAGAGTACTATAACAAGCAAACTTGGCCCTGAGACTTGTATATTTAAGCTATCACTGGAGCCTTTGAGTCTATTAGTTTGGCGGACGATCATACCGACATTCCCCATAATGCCAATCAGATCTCCCCAATCATTTCCTTCAAAATTTCTGGAACGATGGTACCTGCATCGCCTTTGAAGAACCAATCACCTGGCTTTAATCCTGAAGATCCTACATCGTTCCGATCCATATTGACCACCGCAACCCTAGCGCCTCTCGCCCTTGCCTTATCAACATAGCCTGCAGCAGGGTACACCCTGGAGCTTGTACCAATCACTAGTATTAGATCGATCGGACCAGACCTCATCCAGCTATCCACCATGTCGAGGGTTTGTGACGGCAAGCTCTCTCCAAACCACACCACCCCGGGCCGAAGGAGTCCATCTTTGCACTCTGGGCAATGTGGAAGGACATCAGGGCTTAGCGGAGCCAGCGGAACTCGGTCATCAGAAATGTCAACTTCTTCACCTTCCGGTATTCCTAAATCATTATATACAGACTTCGAAGCTTCCTCGCTCGTCTTATCCTCCATCGATGGCTTGGACTCTGGAGCATTCTTCGGTATCGCAAGAGCAGGGACTATTGGATCAGTGAAGTCGTTCTCACGGGAGTAGCTGCAGTAAAAAGACGTGCATTTAACGGTGAAGAGGGAACCGTGCAGAAGATGAAGTTGGGATAATGGATGATCTGCTCGTTGTGAGAGACCTATAGACAGGTTATTTCATTAGTTGACCATGTGAGGTCGATACGCAGCGTAACGAAGGTCAGGACTTGCCATCGACATTTTGCGACAATGTAATGAAGTTCTTATTCCTTTTAGCGAGCTCTGCTAACGCATAATGCGCGCGATTCGGTTCTGCTTTTAGCGCCATATGTCTCCGAAAATTATAAAACTGCCACACAAGGTCTGGGTTGGCTTCGAATGCTTCGGGCGTCGCTAAATCAGTCGCATCGTAGGTTCGCCATAAACCACCAGCTCCTCGAAACGTAGGAAGCCCCGATGAGGCCGAGATGCCAGCTCCTAGAAGTGCGAGTATACGTTTGCATCCTTTTAGGTACTCCGAAAATGTCCTAAGATCAGCTGCGGGAATGGTTGACGGAGCCATAGCGGGGTGTTGATAATGACTGCGACGGACGTTTTCTTGTACCCCACAAAAGATGTACGAGAAAGATAATAGAAATAACAGGTGATATATTAATATATATTCATGGGTGTATTAAAGAAAAAATAGAAACATGTACAAGGACACGATGGGCGAAGGACGACGAGTATTGGTTTAAATGCAATGTTGATGTTTAAATAATGACGTTAGTCCTTTCCCTAGTGCGTGGCATTTGAACCATAAGTTGGTTCTGAGCTCAGACCTCTTGAGATTGTATTTAATGCAAGATATACCTCAATCTCCTTTGGTCCCTTCCAACAGGTACTTACCAATGTCGTTTTTAAATATGTATATCAACTAGTCTTCCATTCTTGAAGTTTCAATGTTTGTTAAGGATTTCAAAACGGCCTGAAATACTTTGTACACCCTGTAGAGCGATAGTGCAACTATAAATCGATTTGTGTACCTTAAACATTGTTTGTAGAATATGGTAATTTACTGTAACTTGTCTTCCACTGCAATTATATTGTGGGCTATAATGAGATGAGATAATGTTAACTTTCCCAGACTTCTTATTCTTATTGTGAGCTACAGCTCGCCCTGCCTGACTCGGCATAACCTTCTGGATGCCACTTGGACAGGAAGTGTTTGTAATTTAATGAAATTGGAAATTCTAGCTACCATGGATCGTTCTTTAGTGATAAAATAATAATAGCAGGAAAGGAAAGCCATGAGAACCAACAGGACTAATGCTGTTCCTCAGGGGGGAGTGTAATATGAACCGCCTCCTGTGCATATCGCCGATTTTGATCATTCTTATCTGCGACAAACCGAGTGATATAGTCAGGCACTTCTATTACTTTGTTCTCAGGACTTGGAATGGGCTCTCCAAATGTCTCCCAAACAGGCACAACACCAGTCCAGACACGGCCGGTGACCTCATCGTTCGTTGTATCCTTCTTTTCATCCGAGACACCACCGTCTCGGATCTTGCCACTACCATCGACGACTTTGACCTTGAGGATGACAGTGGATGACATTTCTGCACGATCTGGTGGTATCCGGGAATGCTCCCAGCGATCGGAGAGTACTGAATTGGTAATTAATTCCATTGCGTAGAGCTTTTCCGCTTCGTCAGTCACCAATTTGGCATATCCGTGCAATACGGCGGACCGGTAGTTATAACTGTGTGAATTTGGCGTTAAGGAAAGGATTAACCCATCCACTCTGCTGGCGGCGACACAAATGGGCAACCCATCGCCCTCAGAGTCCCGGGCCAAATTCATAATCCGTGAGCTGACGTATCCATGAAGATAGCAGTCCAAGGGTTCATCAATGCCCGCCGATGGATAGTCGAACGACCCCATCTGCCCGATCATGGGCAGAATTGCGGGGAAAGGATCGGAGGGCCCAGGTGAGAAAGACACATGGAGTACCTGGCTCGAATTGATGATGGTATGGATTGCTTTCAAGTCATAAGTGGCTAGAAGAGTCTTAGAGTGGCACCTAGCCGTAATTTTCGTTCATCCAAACGTTACCTCGATGCTTGTAGCGGTTAACAGTGTTGGAAGACCGCTTGGGATATGTCAATGTTCGCCCCATATCGCAGAATAGAATAAGCGTCCTGTTTGTCTTTCCACACCAAGCAACTAGAGGAATGAATCTGTACACTGTGAATAATATCAGACGTGGTTTAAGTTCCCTTCCGTCTGGCGTTTGAAGATAACTAGGGCCATCGCCCAGATATGGCGTTCTCTTATAATCACGCAATCCATGTGCCTAGTGTTGCACTGGTCCGAGATAAGCTGTCGCATGTTATGGACTATCGCAAACTGTCTCCATACTGGGGAGGTCCATGCGGAGAGGATGTTAAATTAACTGAGAATGATTGGCTGAGGGCGCCGAGAGGCTAGAGGTATATTGCGGCCTAAGGCATTTTGACCCACTGGAAGGGCGTCGGAGCTTCTGACCGATCGCTGGGCGATAACTTTACCTGAACCAGATAAACCTGAATTCCAGGCTATTTGGAAACAGTTACTCTCAAGGCGCCTCTGTAAGCATGTCGACATGCAAATTGCTCACCCGCCAATGGCCTCGTTATCTACGTTGTCCCACGTCGCGTATATCTGTCACAAGCTTCAACCGCACGGCGTTCCAGACACGACCAACCCTTCGTCGCGCATACGGTTCTGTTTCCGCCGCGGAGCTTAAATTCGGTCAACCATTACACGAGACACATCCCCATATACTTAATCCAGGTGAACGTGTGTATATGTTATCGTCATACTAGGACATGTGCGAGGAAAATGTGTGAGATATATTGACTCAGAATAAGTGACGCCCGGAATCACTGCGCTCGAGTATGCCCATCGTCGTTCACGACTCGCAAACCGACTCCCGAAATATGCTGTCGCAGTGTTGAGCGCTGCGGAGGTGACATATCGTGCGTCCGGTATTTTCAATGAATACCGACAAGACTCCAACTTCTTCTATCTTACAGGTCTGTGGCTGTCGTATGTTTCTATTGAGAGAATACGCACTCACTGCTCTCACGCTGATTAGGGTTTAACGAGCCCAATGCACTGGCTATAATCGGTGAGTGCTTCATTCGCAAATGTGACAAGATGAGTGAGGCTCATGGCTGTAGCAAATGATGGCTCTGGAGATAATCACATTTTCCACCTCTATGTACGAGAAAAGGATCCGAAAGCTGAGCTCTGGGATGGAGCCCGGTCAGGCACGCGGGCTGCGATTGATGTTTTTAATGCCGATGAGGTAAACATATCATACTTTCTACTCTCCTTTAGGGCATGACTAATCTTCCGATTCTAGACAGGTGATATAGAACGCATTGGAGATATACTGCCTCGTATATTATCTGATGCTACGGAGATCTATACGGACATCCCAGCCTTTAACCCCGGCAGATCATCCTTACATAGGTACCTTTACGGACCCACCGGCACATCTGAGCAGCTGAAGAAGGTCGTGGATCATACTAAGGTCAGGCCATTACGACACATCTTGAATGACATGAGGGTGTTCAAGAGTGAGGATGAAGTCGTGCAAATGCGCCGAGTGGGACAAGCTTCGGGAAGAGCTTTCACTGAATCCATGAGACAAACATTCATTAAGGAGAAGAACTTGACTTCCTTCCTGGAATACAATTTCAAGGTGAATGGCTGCGATACAAGCGCCTTTGTGCCTGTTGTTGCAGGCGGTTCTGTATGTGTCCCATGGTGACTGAGCTGAACAGAAGCTAATACCTCATAGAATGCTTTGAGCATCCACTACACGAGGAATGATGACGTCTTGAGGTAATAAATGAGTTCCATCCTATGGCATTCGAAATTTGGTCTAACATATGACCATTCAGGGACGGAGACATGGTATTAGTCGATGGTGGTGGAGTACGTATATAAATGCTCTTATAAATTCCTACTCCTACTTACCGCTCGATAGGAAATGGGCACCTATGTCTCTGACATCACAAGGACCTGGCCCGTTAATGGCGTGTTCTCTGGCCCTCAGCGAGATTTATACAATGCAGTTTTAAGTGTGCAACGCACTTGCGTGTCCCTTTGCAGGGAGAATGCAAACGTTTCTTTGGACAAATTGCACACAATCGCCGAGAATGGCCTTCGAGATCAGCTCCAACAGCTCGGTTTTGATGTTTCAGGGAATGTAAGATCACCCTTTGCTTTTGTTTCACCTAGCATGGATATTGACGTTCATAGGCGATGGGCATCTTGTTCCCTCATCATCTGGGCCACTACGTAGGACTGGACGTCCATGATTGCCCTGGTTATTCTCGAGGGTATAACTTGAAGGCGGGCCAATGCATTACTGTCGAGCCGTATGTCACGACCCAAGCCGCTTCCTTTTTTTGTTTTAGTCTTTAAGCTAATACCACCAAGCGGTATCTACGTCCCGGACAGTGACAGATGGCCGGAAAAGTTCCGGGGCATTGGAATCCGTATTGAAGACAGCGTGTGCGTTGGGGACGACAGTCCTATTGTGCTAACCACCGAGGCCGTTAAAGAGGTGAGATCCCATATCTAAATCAGAAATTTAGTCGTTATGCCTCCTTATGGTTCGGATTTATGCAAGTTCTATGCGCAACGAGCTAACATTGCATGTGTGCAGGTCGATGATATCGAGGCTCTTCGAGGATAAAGGAGCGCACTGGATTGATACCCACTGTATATGAATGTATGTACTATAAAAATAAGAAGGGACTACTTGTAGTAGGTGGAGAAGCTGTAATAATAGAAAAATGAGGGCTCTTGGAACAATCACAATTACTCCCCTCAATTCTCCGGCGATGATCTCTTGTAGTGACCTGAGTAAGGTTTGAAACCCCTCCGAAAGATTACGATGTGATACGCGGGAACAACACAAGGGAATGAGATCACCACTTAAGATTGGGAGTTAGGTGAGGCATAATCAGATGCACTGATGTTTATTTATTTCGAGTTTGTAGGGGGCTGGAGAATATACTTTTCATGAAAGAGCGCGTTAAGAAGAGGAACTGGGTACGCGAATAAATGAAAATTGAATCAATGCGAATACTGGGTCGTACTAGTACTGGGGGAAGGTTTTGATGCCTCGCGCGACGCCAGTGTTGGTTGTTGTCCGGCGCACTACCCGGGAAGCCAAAACAAACTGCCCGTACCGTACGGGCTCCACACTAACCTTCCCTGACACGCTTAGTCTGTTTCTTGCTCTTCCCTTTCCATCACTTACAGCCTCTTTTCACCTCGAACCTCCACTCCACCCTCCCATGTTCCTTTGTCCTGACCTTACCTGTCAATCACCTCCTCTCAGAGGCAACAGGTCTGCGTCTTGTCTTGGCCTTCAACTACCACGCTCCCTACCTCATTGACAACTTATCGCGTGTGAACAATGGTGTCTTGGTGATTTAACCTTCGAGACGTGTAGTTCATCGCGTGCTCGGCCTAGAGTACCCCTCTTTTGCAGGCGTCTTCACCAACAGCTAACCAACTCTTACTCTGCTTTGTGTATTGTTACCATATGGCAGCAGTATTCATACCCCCTTCGCCTCAGACCTCCCTGAACATGTCGACTCGCCGACCACTCGCAAACGTGCCGAATGCTACTAACTCCCCCCATAGGGCAGGCCTCGTGCCTGCCAAACGCCCTCGAACCACAAATGCACCCGTCGATATCCCTTACGGCCAGCCACCACCCAAAAAGCAGGTAATTGAAGGTGCAGAAGGCGATAGTCGGTCACAAACCCATACCAGGCCTGCTACTTTCCAGAACGCAGACTCCAAACTGTTCACACGCCGTACGAACAATGCCCAGCCAAGTGCCTTTGAGAGGAAACTGGTCGCTGTGAGGGACAAAGAAAGACAATCTCAGCTGCGAGGGTCTAGACACGAAAGACCATCAGCGGAAACCATTGATTCTATACGGCAGTGGCAGAGACATTATCGGAAGGCATTCCCCCAGTTTGTCTTCTATTTCGACAGTATTCCAGAGGATCTGCGTAGCAAATGCTCGCGACAAGTCCTTGCATTGGGAGCTGTAAGTAGATCTAGGATGCTCCCCGGGTATAGTGGCTAGGCTTTGGACTACCCTCACGAGAGAGGGAATGTCCGAAGGCCGTCACTGGACCCAATCGCCTTGGCTACGGTTGTTTTCGTGGTGCTAACAAAGTACGTAGCGTGAGGAGAAATTCTTTTCGCGTTTAGTAACACACGTTGTCACGTCGCGCCCTATCCCTCCCGAAACTGATGTGGCGAGCCCGGCGGAGGTTAATACGGAATCGGTGGACCAAGCTGCTGCAGACGGCACTCTGCAGACGGTAAACCCATCATTACTGGAGAAGAACCCTGATGCGCACCTACATGTGTCACTCAAGAATGACGCGCGGCGTGAGCAGAGCAATATGGATGTTTTGCATAGGGCTCGTCAGATGGGAATGAAAATATGGGCTATTGAGAAACTTCAACGGATGATCGCCACAATCAATGATGGAGACATAGGCGGTCATAGTGGCCATTCGACCCGAAACAACCATGTCGGCGGTGGGCATTCTAGGGGTAGGGGCGAGGCAGACCTTTCACAAGTTCTTCAGAATGAGCTCAACGGCTCCTCTGACCGCAACCCTCTCTCCGTATTAAAGGATCTAGTAATGTTCAAAGGTCCATTTGTCTATGTTCATGACATGGATGAGAAGACGAGGCCTGTTATGGTTCGCGAGTACCCGAAAGTTGTTAGACGCCAAGACGGTATCTGGCCACAATTTAGAAGTGCTCCGCTGGGCAAATGTCCCTTTATCGATGAACCTCCTACAAAGAAGGAACTAGAAAGGCAGCGGGCGCGTCAACAACAGAAGAAAAAGGCTGCTTCAAAGGCTGCCCCTACCCAAGAGGCCCAGGCTCCAAGAACAAATGTTTCCGAGTGTGCTATTGAGAAAGCAGCTGATCGCGTACCTAAGGAAGAGAATAGCCCTCAAAATATTCATGAGGAGGCTGTATCTCAGTCTAAACAGCCAGAAATGCAGGATATGCAGCCATCCCGACCGTTATCCCCGAAGAAAAGCTCTGAAAGTTTTGTCCCCCCCCAGCTCAATTGTGGTGGACGATTTTATACTGGTGGTCGCGAACCCGCGGCGTCGGGTATGCAACCATCAAATATTACTTCTGCTATTCGTTCCCAGATGGTGTCCTCTACTGCTGCGGCGCCTGGCGCAAAAGCTGGCATAAGCAAAGAGGTCCATGAGCTTAAGAGAAAAGTCCTCGAAAAGAGCAATGGGGGATACTCCGCTGGCACGGGCCCTTCATCGTACCGGGCTATAGATGCTACAGCGGCGCTGAAGTTGACGAAGAGTCAAGGCAGTCGGCAGAGCAAGTTAGACCCGCCTGAAAAGCTTGGGAACGTCATTGAGGAGGAAACCACCCAATCGGAGAGCAATGATGCGGAAAAACGGCGAAACAACATACGAAAAGGTAACTGTCGAAAGAAAAAGGAGAGAAGGAGAGAACCGAAGCCAGGCTATTGCGAGAATTGCAGGGATAAGTTTGACGACTTCGAAGAGGTGAGCCGCTACTACAAGAGCAAACGAGAGCAATGTGTTAACTTTTGCAGCATGTTATGACAAGAAAACACCGCAAGTTCGCGACCAATGGCGCAAATTGGGCAGAATTGGATTCGCTCCTCTTCCAGCTACAGCGCCCACTTAAGGATGAATATGAATATGTTTAGCATATTTTTTACTGTGCTTAGGCTTCTACAAACCGAAACGAAGTATGCGTATAAAGCCACCCTATTGGGTACTCGGCCACGTCTAATCCGCTTCTTCAATTATTATCTTAGCTCAGTGTCACAGTGATATTTAATCGGAAAGCCATGTGAGCGCTTGGAAGGTCGAGTCTCAGTACCAGCGGTGTATATGCAATTTTCCTCCTATCACTTGTTCATGGGAGCAGCGACTGCCATCGGCTGACATTGGCTTCACGTCGCTCATTGTCCATTTTTACACCCGTACCGGGTTTCCTTTTTCCATCAACAATTTTTTACAACTTTCTCTCTATTGTACCTATCGTCGATTGCATTATTCACCTGGCCGGCGTCCTTGGATTGTCACTTGCATTATCCTTGTTGTCCCATGGACTTGATGACGAATGACAGCTCACGGCCTTGCCAGCGACCCTTCTGGAAACTATGACAACAAAGGGTATACAAGGGCAAAAAATGAAAACCAAAAAAAAAAAAAAAAATTTCTACAGGAGTGACTGGTGTGGAGATAGGCGACACGGAGTTTCTTTTTGAAAGCATTCACCATTCAGTACATGCATCGCATTGAGAGACCTTACGCTGTCTCGGAAGGAAATATTGCATTGATATTCATCTGGTTCATTAATTGTTCGAACCTTCTTCTTTATACACCCTTTTCCTTTGTTCGTTTGTTGTTTTATTCCAGGGGTGGATGTGTTCATGGGGTTGCATGACTTGAGGTTCGAATAGCCTGGGTTGGGGATGGAGTTTTCCTTTCTTGTGAGTATGGTTAGCTGGCATAGCCTAACATTTCCAATTAGTGCTGGACCAAGCTAGACCTGAGCATTAATGCTGGACTTATGCGGCCCTCGGGTCCATGAATAAAATTATATTCTACTTAAATTCATGTCTTGAGACCTGCGTACCGTTTTATAGCTAGAGATTACAGAACAGCCTATCCGAACAGCCTCGGCCTCCCGTGAAACTCGGTTCGGAAGAAGTTGATTGTCCGGCGGAAGAACAAACGGAGTCTTGAACTTGCACTCCACCAACCAATCGGCACCGAGAATACGTCACCGAACTTGACAAAGACCCAACGAAAACTTAACCGTAGCCCTAACATCCGGCAGAAAGGAACAAAAAGTCTGGGGATTCTGCGGACTACGCTGCATAAACCAGCACGTCTTTCTTTATATAAACTGCGGACCTCGGTGAAAGGAACCGCTGGAGAGGGATGTAAACATTCACATTGAAGTCTTTTTGTGACTAAATAATCATTGATCTGCTACTTCTCTGAACAGTAGTATATACATGACACCTCACTGTACATAGAGGCAAATTTCTGTGTGTTTTTTATAGTAACCCTTCTGCCGGGTAGTGACGCCATTCGTCTTCATCCCTCTCATACACTCAGTCGGCATTGACTTTGCCGCTTTTGGATCCTAGCTTTTTTTTTTGCCTCTTGCGAATTAACCTCAATCCGTCTTCCGTCCTCAATTGAAACATATCGGTTGCCGCTTGTACAGATATTACTTGCTATCATGGCGTCTTCTAGAACTGCAGCTCAATTGATGCTGCCATTGCGGTCTGTCTCTAGGAGCCTTGTATCTCGACCAACGCATCTTTCTATGGTCAAGCCTTTCTTGGCCGTTGTGAACAGTTCGATTAGTCGTGGCCCGTCGCAATGTGCACATTCAGTGCGACACAGTTCTCATTCGCCGATGGGGGCTACGCCGACAAATCCCAGAAAGAAGGTGACGCTGCAGACATTACGGAATCTACACAAGAAGGGCGAGCCGATTACCATGCTTACCGCCCATGACTTTCCGAGTGGGTATGTTGCGGAGGCTGCTGGGATGGAGATGATTCTGGTTGGGGACAGTTTGGCTATGGTGGCCCTGGGTATGGAGGATACGAGTGAGGTGGTTATGGAAGAGATGCTGCTGCACTGCAGGAGTGTGGCGCGGGCTGCTAAGAGTGCTTTCACGGTGCGTGGTTTGGGATTTCACACCATGGCTCGGTTTTTGACTGACCGTTGTGTGGCTATCTAGATTGCTGATCTTCCCATGGGTTCATATGAGGTGTCGCCAGAGCAGGGTCTTCAATCGGCGATCCGGATTATAAAGGAGGGGCGCATGCAGGGCATTAAGCTTGAAGGAGGCGAGGAGATGGCACCCACGATTAAACGCATTACGCAGGCTGGAATCCCTGTTGTCGGTCACATTGGCCTCACCCCTCAACGCCAGAATGCACTTGGAGGATTCAGAGTTCAAGGAAAATCTACCGCCGGGGCTCTCAAACTTTTGAAAGATGCCATGGCTGTGCAGGAAGCTGGTGCCTTCATGATGGTTCTAGAGGCGGTGCCTGCTGAAATTGCCGCAATCATTACGAAGAAACTTCGCGTTCCAACAATTGGTATCGGTGCCGGCAATGGCTGCTCCGGACAAGTTCTTGTTCAGATCGACATGACCGGCAATTTCCCTCCTGGCCGATTCCTCCCCAAGTTTGTCAAAAAATACGCCGACGTCTGGGGTGAAGCAGTTAAAGGTATCCAGCAATATCGTGAGGAAGTAAAATCCCGGGCGTACCCTTCGGAAGAGTACACTTATCCCATTCCTAAGGAGGTGCTGGCGGAGTTTGAAAAAACAGTTGACAAGCTGGATCAGTAAATCATGACCCTATCTTCCTTTCCCTCTACTTTTGGATTATATTCTTGTATTTGTTCCTCATGTTGAAGCATCCTAGCTTGCATTTCTCATGTCCGGCATGGTTTTTGTGATACCTCATCAATATTGTCATGATTGTTTGGCTGTGGGAGAACCCAGCTGGCTGTTCTCTCTCAATCTTTGAAAAGCCTCAATACCAGTCAGCTTTCTTTTGCATCATTTTTGTTCGTTGGATTCGATATATCTGTATCCAATGTGTTGGCAAGGGCCACTATAACTCGTCACCCAAACGCAGGCGTCATGGAGTATGAGACAATCAATTGGTCATCAACTTTAAAGCACTATACAAACCAAGTTAGCTCAATGGCAAAAGTCATCAAAGGTTAAAATAACGATCAAAATAAGGAACATCGTATACTTACTCTCCACAAGCCTCCAACACCCTCATCCAGCCCCGGCGCAAAGACGCTATTGACATAACAGAAGACAGAGTCCGTCTCTTTGCAGTCTAGCTTCTTTCTGAGGAACTTGACTACAGTCTCAAACTTCTGGGAGGCACTGATTTTGAAAACTTTGTTTTTCAGTATGGGCGCTGAAGCCAGAGGTTGGAAGCGGACTGTAACTGTTAAAACGTTAGAAATGGCAAAGCTCGTTTACAAAGCATTGGTTTAGCAATAGGCGGAAAGTTCAAAAGGGCAGAAAAAGTCCAAATATCATAAGAGCATTGTTTACAGAACGAGAAGAGTTATGCTTATCAGCTGGTCTACGCTTACCTTTCCCCTTATCAACGGCCTCGGCATCTGCCAGTGCTTGATGGGCATCACGCGGTAGGCTGGTTAGCACCACCGAAGCAGACATGGTCAAGGGCATATCAGCCCCATGTTCATCATCTGGGATGGGGGCATTCCTATTATTGGATGTAGAGTCTGAGCTTTGCTTCCGACTGGCCGGTCGATGGCTCAGACTGGCCCGCGAACCGGTGGGCGGATTCTGGGTCGGTCTTGGGGAGTCAGGAGAGGGGTTTTGAGAAAATGAGGGGTCCATTTTGATGAAAAGCTAAGGAGAAGGACGGACCACAGGTCGGATTGATTAGTGGAGCCTTCTGTCGTTAAAACGGGTAGGATGCGGAAGGTGAGGGTGAGATGGAAGGCGATACAGTAGCGGTGACCCCGATAAATGTTGATGTTGTCTCCAATGGGCACCCAAATGACGTCGGACGCCTCAGGCAATGATCAGTCCAATTAACGCACGGCGGCGGTGATGTCCTGCGGAGTCAACCCTAAAAGAGGTCCATCGGCTGTTTCGCAGTCTGCAGATCATTAGCTGGATTCCCTTCAATAATACTGTAACTCAGTACCACTAGTGCTCTTCGGTATACGCTATTCATTTCTACCATGGATAACCCCAACTTGGTTTGACTCCCCAACCAATACAGTCTGCAGTCCAAATAGGTACTGCAGTATCATGATAGCGCCCCGACTTCCAAGTTTGCATAGCAATTGGACTTCTACCCAAACCTAATAAAGTTTCTACGAGTGACTGACTGTTGGTCTTGATTGATGCGCTCTCGGGCTATATGCATAGCGAAATCTACCCGATTTACTCGCCAGATGACTTTGCTACCTGATCGTCTGCAAGCGACATGATGCAGACATCTGCTTAGTGCCTTAGGCCCTACTATGAGCCCTACATTAGTACATACAATAAAATTAAATAGTTAACTAGAGAAAAACGCGCTGAGTCATGGGCGGTCGGCCAGATGGCACATGACCGGCGGCGAGTGACTGACCAATTTTCGGCCTGCGGGTCCAGGCATTCGTGGTGCCATCATCGGTCAACCACTCATACTACTTAACAGTACCGCTGCCACTCTGCTCTTTCAGTCTCCCCTCCTTAAATACACCCTCTTTCTGTGCTTTCTCTGACAGTGTGCTTATATTTCTCTCTTCAATCACCACTCCCTCGCCCTTCTTTTCCTATGAGCTTCAACTTACATTGTTGATCAAGTCCTCCTACGTCTTCCATTCCATTTGCCCCGCTCGCTCATTTACTTCCCCGCTTCAACCCTGCGGACTATTTCGACCACGACAGTCCCGAAAGTTCGATATTGAAACTTCACGTGTTTACACTGCCCTAAACTTTCAGATTGCGTCGAATCGACCAATAAACCTTGCAAAATGAGTAGTCCAAAGCGGAGAATCGAGACCGATGTGAGTAGATTACGGCGCATAAGGTGTAACATTCAAGCAAGGAAGCAAGGAAGCAAGGCTAACATATGTATTTCCCCCCTCGATATAGGTCATGAAGTATGCTGTTATGCCTCTAAATAATTTCCGTTGGTTCATAACTAACCCTTGAACAGGATGTACGCACTCCGTTCGATTTTAGTTTCTATCACACCCCTCTGCGCGGTCCTGTCTGATAACCACATATGTTACAAAGAATACAAAGAAAAAGGCCATAGATTTTGGTATGCTGATAGTTTCTCAGGTTAATGAGTGATTATGAGGTTACTCTGGTGAATGATAACAGTAGGTGTCTCTTATCTTTTACCGCCGGATTTCCCTAAACTGACTGTTGCATGCAGTGTATGTTCCGTCTTTTTCCTGAATTCGAGCACTAGGGCATAGATATTTACAGTACGCTCTTGACAGGCAAGAATTCTATGTCCGCTTCAAGGGTCCTGAGGAAAGTAGGTATTGGTATACCCAGGCCCCTATATCCATTCACTTACAGCGACACAGCACCTTTCTCCGGTGGCCACTGGAAGATTCACGTTGAGTTACCCGACCAGTACCCGTACAAGAGTCCTAGTATTGGATTCGTAAATCGGATCTTCCACCCCAATATCGACGAGCTGTAAGTCACTTTCATTCACGCTCCTCAAAGGCGGACCCTAATATTTATGTTTTAGTTCCGGATCGGTTTGCCTGGATGTCATCAACCAAACATGGTCACCAATGTACGACATGATCAACATCTTCGAGGTCTTCCTTCCACAACTCCTGCGCTATCCGAACCCATCGGACCCATTAAACGGCGAAGCTGCCGCAATGCTGATGAGGGAACCTAAGAGTTATGAGGCCAAGGTGAAGGGTAGGTTATCCACCGAATACACTGGGCATGTACCCATATACTCATAATCACAGAATATGTGGCAAAATATGCTAGCAAAGAGGCCGTCGACGATGCCGGAGAAGACACAGAATCCGAAGATGAACTGAGTTCCGCGGGCAGCTACGAATCCGGCGGGGAAGAACCAGCCGGTACGATGGACGATGTGTAAATGAGTCTGTTCTTTCTAGTTTCCTTTTCTACAGTTATGTCTGCGTGCGATTCTTCCTGGATTCGGTATTCGACATTGTGAGCGTAACTACCTCGCATCGGCATCGTCATTTCTTCATCTATTCACTATTTCAAGGGGTTCAGGGTAATGGCGTTTTCGGGGCCGGGTTCTGACATTCATGGCGCAACTGACGACAGCGACTGCGAAGACTGAGTCGAGGATCGGACCGATGAACAGCGCATCGCTGAACTTGAGGTGTCGATGAACCATCTGCAGTCCGGGAATTCCCCCCTTTTTCCAATCCACTTACATACAACTATTGTGCCATTCTGGTTGTTTTCTGCAGACGTCTGCGCGCCTGGATTGTGCAGGTCATTTCAGAAATGTCTTGTTTAAGCTGTCCATATGCTTCCTCGGGTTTGTAGCTATTAATACAACACGAATTTATTGTAAGAAGTTTTATTTATCACTTTTATTGTGATATGACACCGTGGGGTTCATAGCCAAAAGCATGGACAAAAGAAGGAAATCACATATTGACATTAATAAAAGATCGTGCATATGTTGTTATATTTGAACGCAACGTAAAGAGCAAAAGACAAACAAGTTAAACCAAAGCAGAGAAACAGACCAAACAAAAGAAACAGAAAATACAGCCAGGGTATTAGAACAGAATCTCTAGGGCGAAGGGTGGCATCGAAGAAAGGGAGAAGAAAGGGAGAAGAAACAAAGACACGGCGGGCGTGTATGACAAGAAAGAGGGGAAGACATCGACCGTCGACCGGCGACCTATGCGAGAGAAGAAAAAAGAAAATAAGGAATAAAAACCACCAGTTATTAACCGTCATATCGTCCGTTGTCAACCTTGAACTAAGTAACCTTCAGAACACCAAACACATCGCGGGCATCATCGTCGGGCTGCTGCGATTTACCCTTGCGCGGATTTATGACCACCTCCCCCCAGTGTTTTGGAACGGCGCCTGGTTTCGGAGAGCCAGGTTTGTGGGCGGAAGAACCGGCCTCTGATGCTGGGGGAGTGGTGGTTACTCTTACGGGAACATCATCCTTTGTACCAGCTCGAGAGGAAGCTGGAGACACGGGACCGTGGAGAGTCGCTCGGGGTTGTAGATGAGGTTGGGGTTGGAGGGACCAGATATCAATGACGGAACTGGATTGTTTCGAGTATTTAGTATTATAGTGCGCAAACTACTGTCTATCTGCTGGTGTTGTATCCAGCAAGGAAGAAGCCGACTTACTCCGACGTCCGTTGACAGATAGCTTCGAGCGCTTCTCGTTCACGCTTCAAGTATCCGGTATCAGGGTGATTGCCTTGGGTAGAATTGTTTAACGCGCCATATCCATAGCCAGGCTGGTAGATATCGTCATCGAGGAGGCGTTGGGAGGACTCAGACTATGAGCGCATTAGTTAGTGACGGAAAAGAAGTTGCGACCAGCCTATCCTTCAAATCTTGAAGTCTTTCTCAGACTTACATCCTGACTGTCCCGACGACCAGCCCCCAGACACGAAGCACAGATACCCATTTATACCAATATCGACGGGGCTCGGTTGAGAAACGAAGGAGCACGAGACATCCAAGACCGGGAAGCGCCTGAAGGGGGGGGGTTCCAAAGACGATGACTTTCAATTGAGACTGGCGGGTCAAGCACGAGGAAGATGAACAGGGTTGGTAAAAGAGTGGAATGCTGAAGTCAGACGGGCAGCGATAGCACCAACCGGTGATGCTGAAGTGGTAAATAGGATTCGGAGAATTTTCCTTGATGTATTATATTTTTGTCTTTGTTGGAGAAACTGCGAATGGCTGAATCAATTGGGATGCGGGATGCGGAAGTTCCCTGGGCCGGTCGGGTGGATTCGATAACGTTGGTCCGTGCGTTCCCGATGTCATCTCCCTTGCCTTTTCCGTTCATTTCTCCTGCCTCTCCATTCCACCGTAACTTTAGTGCTCATGAGTGATATACTTTTTCGGTATCGAGCATTGTCAACCATGTGGGCCTTGCTTTTCTCAAAGGGAGAGTTATCTCAATGACAGCAAGGATTTGACATTCTTGGCTTCGATTAGTGTTATCTCCTTTGCCATGGTTCATTTGGAGAACGACGTAACTACTACTAGCACTGCGAAGATCAACAGATCTGCTCTTCTAGGTTGCCAGTACCAATCCTTAGTCCAATACGAACTGTGTGGAGTATTATTATTGGTAGACACAGGAAGGTACCTCGGAATCTTCATCCAAGGATGTGTCACAGGACAAATCGATCGGCCAGGGTCCCTGGCCAATTCGATGCCAAAGGGATGCTACCAACCCCGCACCTGTATAGACAAGACGCCCCTCATCCATAATAAATGAATAGCCTCAGCCATCATCTTTCTCTCTTCTTATAGCACCAAGCAATTGATACCACTCTTACCACCGATTTCATACCCCAGTCTTTTTCTAACCCCCCCCCTCCCCCCAACCCCTCCTACCCCTCCTCTTGACAACCATGCCCGGTCGGCTAGAAGGTAAAGTCGCCATCATAACAGGCTCCGGCTCCGGCTTCGGCCACGGCATCGCAAAGAAGTTCGTCGAAGAGGGCGCCAAAGTCATCATCGCAGAGATATCCAAAGAGAACGGCGAAAAAGCTGCAGCAGAACTCAACAGCAAGTTTGTCCACACAGACGTAACGAGTCGAGAATCCTGGCAAGCACTCCTCCAGACAACCCTGGATACATATGGCCAGCTGGACATCATAGTCAACAATGCCGGGGCAACCTATTCCAATAAGCCCACAGGCCAGGTCACAGATGCCGACTTTGACTTGTGCATGAGCGTCAATGTGAAGTCGATCTACCTCTCGGCGAGCGTCATCGTACCGTATTTCGAGCAGAGTAACCGTCCCGGGTGCTTTGTCCAGGTTTCTTCTACCGCTGCGCTTCGGCCGCGCCCAGGCTTAACTTGGTATAATGCTTCCAAGGCGGCGGTTAGCAATGCTACCAAGGCGATGGCTGTTGAGTATGGACCGAAGAAGATCCGATTCAATTGCGTTTGTCCAGTTGTTGGTAGCACCGGGATGTAAGCATTATCTATCTGCCTTACTGTGCTTTCATGCGCTAGTGATACATGTGGCTCATGGGGTTGTTAATACAGGACGCATCTGTTTCTTGGAAAACCAGATACAGAGGAAAACCGGGCGGCGTTTGTATCCACTGTCCCGCTAGGGCGTCCTAGTACGCCGGCGGATGTTGCCAATGCCTGCAGCTTCCTTGCTAGTGATGAGGCGGAGTTTATCACTGGTGTGAACCTAGAGGTAGGTGGACTTGGTTCTCAACATCTCGTTTGATCAGTACTAATCATTCCACACAGGTCGATGGCGGTCGCTGTGTCTAGTGACTATCACTAGGAAATGGTTGGGTTGGTATGTGTACAAGCCACTTTGAAACGTTTCTGGGCAATTCAGCTACTTCTAAAGCATATTGATGAAACTACAAGTACATAGTACTTCATAATAGTGCCCTATATCGGTCGTAGTTAAGTCAACTACAAACATGCCCGTATACTATTACTCTGCCGTACCAAAAAACTAGCAGCATTATAGACACCCCTACTAACCTACACCTCCCACAAACTAATGCAAAGTCCCTCTCATCATTCCTGAAATTCAGAAAAGCACCAGCCTTTTGGATAGATTAATATAGTTCCGTAAGTAGAGAAGTGGAACCTCCGGGCCGTGGCCGCACCAGCACAAAACCCGTGGAAACAACCCCTCCGCCATTTTCTAATCTCATCCAATTTTCTCCAAAGCACCTCGACTACACTAGCGACTACTCATTCGCCAAAGACCCAATCCAGCCTACCACCAAGTTTCCCAAAACAAGGTCCTCAACCTAGTGACTGCGACTAATCGATACACATACATCGCCAAGATGTTCGACTTGCCGAACGCGAAACGGTACGTCCAGGCCCTGTCTTTGATTCCAAGGAGCTGAAATCTACCCTCCCCGCATTATCATCCAAACAAACTACCAGCTAACATAGTGTATCAAACCAGCGTTCGTCGCAATGAGATCCTCTCCCCGTCCTCATCACGGTCTCCCTCGCCTCAACCTGAAGATACGCTTGTCAGTGGGTATGAGCGACTAGGTGAACTGTTGAACCTTGATTCCTTGATGCAGCCTGAACAACAACCGCAACAAACAGATACTCAAGCCACTAATGCAAAAGAGGACGAAGAAGAGCAAGAATTTGAATTCCGACTTTTCAGCGCGCCGGTTCGGGACTCTACTGCTACTGCTACGCGAGACACAGGTTCCGCTGCTACAGGATCTACAGAGGAAAAGAAGAATGACGTTGGGGCGGCAGGGACACAGAAGTTGCGAATTCGATTACGGTCTCCGACTCCCGGAGCTGGGGGTCCCGATGATGGGGGGTTCGTGAAGCCGTTTCGCGGATGGGAGTATTACTTTTCTGCGCCGGGGTTGCTTTCCGGGTCGAACGAGGATGATCCGAAGCTTTCACTAAGGAGGAAACAATTTGAGGAGGTCGCTGTTAGCGGAGAGCAAATGGGGGAATGGGCCAAGGTTCCTTGGGTATGTTATCCACCTAACACCTTTAGTGCGATGCGCGGTAAGTGGCACTTGGTCGACGCTTGGGCTAACTATGGATATCTCAGCCTGGGTGTCACTTACCGTGGCGTGTGATTCATTGGAAAAGGCATCAAACGAAATTACCCCGAGAGGATACTGCTACCGCTGTTTTCATCGCCGAGCCTCAGATCAGAGACCCCAAGTCTCGGAAGAAGCCGGGCAAAAAGCGACGGCTGCAGCTTCGCAAGCGTCTAGCAGTGGCGGAGCGGGCCAAGGAAACGGACGCTGAGAAACGGAATCGCAAGAACCGGGAGAGGAAACTTAAGCGGAGACAGAAGGCAAGAGAAATAAAAGCGGCGGCGGCAGCCTCGGGACAAAGCCAGGACGCACCCGCTATTGGCGGGGATGATGCTTCATCGCAGGAAAGTGATTGATAGACTCCCAGAGATGCGCTTCCCAGTGGTCTTTGCTCTAGCTCACAATAGCCTTATCTGATTCGGGCGTTGAACACACGAGATGAATGGGTTTTTTCTTATTCCATTTAACACTAAGTCACCATGAAGCCGCAGTTCGGTTCAAAAACTAACACGAAGGATAATGATGATTGGCGCATGGCCTGTATTACAAACACTCTTCAGTCAAATCATGGGCCGAGGAAGAAACCGGGGGTATTATACGAGTGACACGGTCGACAAGCATGGGTACAGGACCAAAAACACAAACAATGCTGGGGTATGAGAGGCGGAACGGAACAAGGCTGAAACAGAATTGAGGAGCGAGAGGCTTATTTAGCTTCAGCTGTATATGATGGTTAGCATGGTTTGGCTAGTGTCGCATCATACAAACTCACGTTTAGCGGGCTCGGTAGGAGTTGTTCCACCAACCAAGCCGGCAGTTGGCTGAGCGGCCGGGGTCTCTGCAGGAGCGGCAGATTCCGTTGTCTCTATGGGTGGGATTTGGGGCAAGGGTGTCGGAGCAAGTGCGTCATGCTCATCATGAGGCTGCTCTGGTATCGAGGTACCCGGAGAGATGCCAGGCGTCGATTGTGGCGGGCCCGTTGCCGTAGGAGCTGCATCTGTATCATTAGCCTTCTATTATGGAACCGAGTGATAGGGTCTATACGATATGACATACCCTGAGATTCCGCGGCCGGAGCCTCGTGGGTGGTGGTTGCTTTGGTGGTAGCTTCGCCAGTAGCTTCACCAGTACCAGCGGCAGTGGTATCTTCAGGCTTTTGCTCCGTGGCCTGAGCGTTCTTCTTATCGCCCTTCTTCTTTCTCTTGAAGATAGATTTAAGGCTCTCCTTAATCTGTTTGAAGGTGTTCAGTGCTTTGCGATCCAGTTAGTTTAACAATGCCATGTTCAGAAATTACGCACTTCTTGAAACTTACGAACTCCACCCATTGTGACAATCTCAACCTTGTTCGGTGATAATAAAGTTATATAGAAGTAAGACGGACAACGGTATAACTGCACGCACGAGAATGGCGGAACAGTCAGTAGAAGGTCTTTGGACGGGAATGTAGGATTATGAAGACGAAGGATTAGAAAAAGAAGAGAGGGGAGAAGGGAAGCAGTTGAGAAATAAGAGATGGACTAACCAGCGTCAGGAATCAACTAATAAAGCAACTGTGATGGACACCTCCCACGTGATGCTGCACGGGAGTCCGTGATCATGGTTCCTTTTCCCTTTTTGTTCTTCTCATTTCCCCTCCCCTTTTTTCCTTTTGGTCTGGTCCAGCTGTGATTAAAACTGGGGGAGACGTTCGCTTCTCCTTTCTGCTGCTTCATTTGCCGACTCCATCATCTCCACGATAGAGGACCACGACCGACCCACTCAGTTCGCGATTTAACCCCTCCGTTTCATTTGCGGCCATGGTTCTAGTCCTGCAGTTCTCTGCTGTCGATCATGAATCTATTTTAGAGTGGCTGTGTTGGAGCTAATCAAGCCCAACGTTCTCCCGAAGAGACCCGGCCAGATTACGAGTCAGATGTTCGTCAAAGACATTTTGTTTCAAATGATTAATTTCCTGTCCGACGGGGGACTCCCTTGAGTCCTTGTATTACTTAGTCGAATGAGGTATCGGACCGCTGTGAAATGAGATGTCAGAATATCCAATTTATTGGCGACAAATAACTCCCCTTTAGCCCTTGGGTTGATATGGATCGGTAGTATAGCTAGTCTCGGCGCTTAGCTGACCCATTGTCCTTATTATAAAATTGTGGGGATCCCGAGAGGAGCTAACTTAGCTACTCATTCCGTTAAGGGGATAGGTATCTACTATCTAGTCCTGCCTGATCGAGTCGGGGACTTTCCTACGGGTTTTCTTGGTTCAATCCTGCATATCAGGGGTTGCTCACGATCGATTCGATTCGATTTCCTACTGCGACAATTGTGGTGTTATTTCGATACCGATCTTTTGCATGAGGCGCGTATAGCCGACTTCAATCACCGCATGGATACCGTATTGAATCGTACCAATCTCTTTACTCCTATGGCCTGAGGCGGCACACTTACATAGAGACTGCAATTTAAATACTTGCAGATACCCCCACAACGCTTGAAATATGGATCAATTACTCCTTTTCTCAATCGGCTCACTAACATACATCACTCGGCCCCTCTCCTTTCCTCAGACTAACTAACGAGTATTACGTAGATTCCCAGGGGCCGTTGCGTAGCAGATGAAGTGACTTCCAGAGATCTAAGATGCTTCTAATGCCTCCGAAGTGGAGCTTCTCATGAAAGCTATTGTCTACTACTATTTGCTAGGGACTTACTACTTACTATATTCCAAATTACACATTTCTCACATTTCTTAATTGTTAGCCACTCTCATGCTCCTATTCTTGCACATACTCCGTAGATTCTAATCTGTAAGTCATATGAAAAGTCTCTGTTCTTTCTTGAGTCTTCCCACCAGGCAGGTGACCCATCTCAGGGCTCACTCTCGGCTCGACTTCCATCCAACTACAGCCATCATAATAGAGTACTTCAGCTCACAGCTCATATTTAACTAAATAAAGTCTTACCACCATAAAACACCTCGAGAGCCTATCATATTCTTCTATCCCTAGGGCCTACACTCCGCGGAAAGATGACATTCCGATACCCTCCACCAACAGAATCTCCAAGCTCCCCCATGGTGACGACATCCAAGTGCTGCAACACTCCAATAAACATGAGTATCACTCCAAAAGTCACCCCTGTCCACAACATCAGGGTATCGTAGTCTCAGATAGCTGCAAGCACGGCGGGGTAAGATGAGCAGCAATTCACCATTTGGATCTAAACACAAGGCTAACGAGGTTGCAGTGAATGTGCTCGTTAAGCCAATCTATAACACATGTTGACTGCACGGTCTATTTATACTCACTTCAGCAGAAAACTTACTCCTCTGCTTCTTTGATCACTCCCCCAAGCTATCTCAGACCCCATGGCAAAGAAAGGTTTCAAAATGAAGCGGCCTCGGTCAACCCGTGCTTCTCAGGCGGTCGATCCACAAGCAGAAATGGCTTCATGGTCGACAAGTATTGAAAAGAAGGATGTCAATATTTGTCACGAAGAGGGTTCTAGTCAAGATGTCGGTGACTTATCTGCTAGTATCAAGAAGTCTGTCTGTCTTTTTCTTTGCTCTAGGTGGCCACAAGCTAAAGAGTGCATAGGTTCTTCATCTCGACCGACTTCTCCGGCCTAACTATATGCACAGCAGATCAAGAATTCAAAGTCCATCGACTGTTTGTCTGTGGACAGTCTGTTTATTTCTCTCGGTTGTTCAAGGGAAACTGGACGGTAATAGTATGGACACATCGCGCAGTAAGTGAATACTAACACTAGACATAGGAATCCGTCGACAACACGATTCAACTCAAGAGCGATGATCCGCGTGCTGTAGAGGCAATGGTCCATTTCATGTATGGATTCGAGTACGACAGCAGCGGTAGCAACCTTGGTCGCGTTTCACCCATGCTATTCAATATCAATGTATATCAAGTTGCCGACAAGTTTGGGGTTCCACAGCTCAAGCAGAAGGCCAAAAACAAGTTCGAAGCCATCTCGGAGGCATACCAGCGTACCCACAAAGAAGACAGAGGCCTCCGCGATATCCTTGTGCGCATTTCCCATGAACATCTTGAATGGCCGCTGGAAAATGAAGATTTTCGGACGGTACTCGAAGAGACTCTAGGCTTCGCAGCCGACCTGGTTAAGCATTCAACGGTGAAGGAACGGGGCTGGGGAAAGCAATGTTCTGACTAGTCACTCTAACTATCCAGACTAAGAGTCACAATGAACTAACAGGACAAATACTATTAGTTGATCCTCTAACCCATAAGGGAATATTAAGAGCATCCATTCCCTTGTTCGACCCTATTGATCCTATCTTGTGTATGGCAGTGAGCAAACTTGGGAGTTTTCCAGCAGCACCTTTTATATTGAGTTCATTGACTTTTTCATTCCTAAGCTTTGTAGTGCAGGGGACATAATACAAGTGCAGTCAAGAGCAAGATTTTCTCTTCTACCTTTTCTTTATATCCCTTTTCACCTCGGTCAGATTTGTGGACATGTTAACATAAGTCAGCCCCATACAATTAAGATCGTGGTACGGAGTATATTCACTCCTTATACATATCCAAGCGTGCCAGTTATTGTCTAGCGTAATATGCCACGATTCAGCCGTAAAATTGTTCTGTGATAGCATGCATAAAAGACCATATTCCGCTAAAGAACCTACGTGCAAAGTTTTTATATGTGTTTTCTGTTTCTAAACACAATCATCACAATGACATTACACATGAACTTAATATTTAGCAGGTAATTAAGCCAGAGATTGAAAACTCCAGCCATTTAGACAAGTTCAATTTATTGTGTAGGCTATACCTATATAATCAAGTGCGCAACCAGGTATGCTCCGTAATCCGTAAAGCCAAATAGGGGGTATTTCTAACAATAGGAATCCGATCAAGTCATTATACAAACGGAAGGAGAAAAGGGGGAAGCCTAAGAAGTACAATCACAACACCTTCGTTTTCATCCATTCGCTCGTCCCCACGCCAAGGTTGAGCCCATTGCGAGCCCACCACCGCCGAACCCTTTCTTCGGCACCGGACACGGGGTCTGCGTCTTCGAGGGCCTCTTCGATATCGCACGTCTTGAACTCGACGCGGAGGCCGCTCTGTCGCCACCATTCGAGGACGTTGTCGTGTCCGTTCTTTGTCGGTCCGACGAGGACCTGCGAGTCGAAGATCATCTTGGCGCCTTTGAGTCGATACCAGAAATCGAGAACGTGGACGTGGCCGTGTGTGCTGGCGATGCGGGCCACTGATTCGGCGTGGCTGTAAGGTATGCCTGAGGCATCCCACCAGGCGAGAGAAGCTGTGCGGCCTGATTGCGCTGCTAGGAGGACGGATTTGCCGACTTTGAGCGGGATGGGATCCGATGGGGGTGCGTTCGCGGAGGCTTTCTTCCACCAGTCTAGAACGGACACACGGCCTTCCGCGCTGGCTGACTCGAGTGCTCGCTCAGTGTACCGTAGTTCGAGGCCGGAGGTACGCCACCATTCGAGGACATTGACGAAGCCAGCACGTGAGGCACCATCCATTGCATCGGCGATGTACTCCTTGGTAGGAAGCGCGGGGGCATCACGCCACCAAGTGAGGATGTTGGGGTTTCCGTAAATGGCAGATGCACGGTATGGCAGGTTAGTAAGGCGAGAGGTTGTCCATAGAAGATCAAGGTGGTTCTCTGTTAGGTATGAAAGAATATCGGTCCGTGAAAATTTGAAGATCAGGTGGCAGGCAAGATCCGAGATTGGTTTCCACCGTGGCAAGCTGTCAATACGTTTCTTGATTGCTGCGAAGGAGCCCCGGAGAAGTGTATATTCGAGGGAGGCAGGGGCCGACATCTTGAGAAGGTGGCTTTGCCATTCCTTAGGAACAGGAAGATTCGTTGGGATACCGACTGCTTTTGCGATCTCCCAATCTCGCAAGTGGTCCTCGAAAATATTCAACCACAGTTCCATTGGTAACGACCGTGACCCCTTATCGGTTCGATGAGGGGGGTGTCGTAAAGTCGTAGCAACCGCATTTAGCGATGCTTTCTCTCCCGACGAAGGAACTTTCAAAACTTCGGACGATTGGATAGGTTCTGTTGAAGATTGACAAAAAGACAAGCCTAGGGTTGTTTCGATAGTTTCATGAAGCTCCTCTAAGCCACTCCAAGGAAGCTGGACGAGCTCCTCGGGGTTGGTGGATTTCATCAGAACAGGCGTTATCACACTAACCCAAGGCCAATGTTGGTCTACCTCCTGAAGCTGTCTAGCATTTAATGGGTGGTGCCATTCTGATACAGTCATGCCCGGTATTAGGACGACAGGTTTTGAGGATATCCAACCGCGAAGAAGCGCAAGTGTCAATGTGTTGGTCAGGCCATATAGCATCGATCCCAACGTTCCAGCGTCTATGGGAGCAACAAGCAACATATCCGCCCATTCGCAGAGTTCTGCAGCCTTAGCCTTCAGCCACCTCCGAGCACCTGTTTTTTTCTCAAAAGTCTGGCTATCTACTGTGTCCATGTAGTGAGGAACCTTGTTCACACCAGCGAGAAGCGCGGACGGTTCGTCCGTAATCAGTCGTAACTCGATGTCAGGATGTTGAACGAGAGATGAGAGCACATTGTCGACGAAGGCGCTTTCTGTAGACAACAGCAAGCGTTTTCGGCGGCGTGCCGGCAAGGCAACATCATTATTCGGCAGTTCGTGCGATGTGATGGTAGAACGCTCTTTGTTCTCAACTACTTTTTCCCCGCCTCCATCAACCTCCATTTCAGTGGGCCACGGAGCGTTTGCGACAGCACTTGAGACAGCACTGAATGAGTGATCTGCTCGGTAGTCAACTGTCATAGCAGAAAATAAATCTAGGCAAAGTAAGTTTCAGGAGTATCGGTATCGATATTTTCAATCTGTCGAGTCGATGGTTGTAAGGATAGAGGTGTGTATCGTCAGGAGTAGGAGTAGGAGTACGGCGAAGGTACAGGCTTGATTGGCGATATTTGGGGGAAGCCACGGTCTTGGTGTATGCAATCCGACGATAGAGAATTGGAAGAAAAAAGGAGCATTAGAGTTGACCAGAGTTTCGCCCAGTCGACCCGCCGTGTAATATAAAAACGGATCACTTCACTTGCGCCCAACCACTCCTCCAACAGCGAAAAGTAGCGCGAGATCCATGCAAGTGTCCGGTTTTGGTGCGATACGTGTTACAGGATGGGTGGTCTGATCAAAGGAAATATCGAAAAGCGGTGTGGTTATATAGTTGGTCAAGGCATAAAAGACGGAACTTGGGCGTGAAACTCGAACGTCAAGTTTGTCTTTTGATGCTCCGCTTCTTCGAGTGGGCGCCGCCACGTCCTTCTGCACCGATGGATCCTCAACGCCACCAGTTAGGAGGTAACTTGGCTTCCGCTCGGCAGGACTAGGGCTAATGTCAGTTTGGGGGGGATTAGAATCCGCGAGATAAAAGACTACTACCTAATCCGTCCCTTTCCCTTGGAAATCGGAAACCGAGAGTTGGTTGAACCGGAAAGTGAGCTGACAGTGTCATGGAATCCGATCATTTGACGAACTTGCAGTACGGCTACCGGCGGCGGCCTCGTTTGCAAGGCATCAGAGTTGATTGGTGGAGGAAGGCGGTGTGTTGCACCCCCGGCCTGAGGTTCTAAGTGGCTCCCGGCATTCGATGGGATTGGGATCCATGATGTCGCTCTGACACCACCAAGTGGCTTTTTGCGAAACATATTGATTAGTAGGTAAAGCAGTACTGTGGTAGCGGTAGTGATCATGGTTAGGTTTAGGCTTAGCTTCCCAATGATAACTCAAAAAAGAGATCTCATCTATAAAGCAGCTTTCTTCCGTAGTATATAACTAGTATGTACTTTCTATCCATACTCGGGTTATAGAGTGATACCCAAATGATCCACCTATACATATAGTATATCATCCCCCTTTATTCTGCGTCTGCGTCTGCGTCTGCATCCGGTAATTCGGCACGTGCCAGATTCGTGTGCAATTTGTGTTCGCGCATACCCAAACTGACCAATGCCCCTAAGATAGTGAGTCCAAGTAGAGTAAGGAACACAGCTCGTAAGGACTCCATGTACGTCGCCAATACTCCAGGTTTCCAGTCAGCAGGGAGTTTCCGAATTTCATCAAGGCTGTCCCTGATTCGTGGGATCAATTCCTTCGCATCCTCCCGGTCACCAAACCGTGACCAAAGCCCGGACTTCAGGATGTTCTGGAATACTGCAGAAGCGACAGTTATACCAATTGTGCTTCCTGTACTGCGAAAAGCGTAGGATGCCGATGTGACCACAGCATGATGTTCATGGTCCACGGCAGAAACAAGTGCCACGAGTGTGATGGTGAGAATGGCGCCATAGGCCACTCCCATAAGAAGGAAGTAGATGAAAGGCTGCCAAGAAGGAGAACTGAGGGTCAAAGTACAAATGAGAGCATTAGAGACGATGAGGAGGGACACGGATATCATGCTGTATAACCTATACCTCCCACTTGCACGCATGAGTATCCCAGCCCCCAACGAGCCGAGCGACGTTCCGACTGCCTGGGGGATCAATTTTATGCCAGCGCCGGTCGCTGAAGAGCCCTGAACCTGGAACAAGAGTGGCAAGTAGAAAATGAGCCCATACACTGCCATGACAACTAGCCAGTTCGTAAGGCAGGCAGAAAAGACGGTCCGGTTGAGAAGCAATCGAACGGGAATCACAGGCTCGGACGCGATATTCGCTTCGATGTAAACGAAAATCATTAAGAACACGGCGGAGAGAGGAAATGCTGTGAGAACCAGTGGATGCGTCCATGGGAGCTGATTTCCCCCAGTATTGAGCCCGAGAAGGAAGAGAACGAGGGTGATGACCAGCGTGATCGCTCCAAGGAAATCAACTCGCTTTAATTTAGCCTTCCCTGATTCCTTGACAGGTAGATCCAACTTGACTGCAACGAGAATGCCCGAGACTACAACAAACGGGACCTGAATCAGGAAAGCCCATCGCCATCCCAGCGTGTCATTGATCCACCCCCCGAACACGCCGCCCAGTCCGCCTCCGGCTCCGTAGCAGATGTTGCCAAAACCTTGCCAGACCCCTCGTTTCCTAAGAGGCACTAAGTCGGAGGTGACAAACACCGAAATCGTAAGGATACCACCTCCACCAATGCCTGCAATAACACGGCCTAACACAATGACGCCCTCACTGTTGGCCAAGCCGCATATTAGGTTACCAACTGCGAAGAAGACATTAGAGAACACCAGGCCGGTACGTCGAGAGAAGATGTCAGTTAACCGCCCGCTCAGCGGTTGAGAGGCAGCATTAGCAATGAGATACCCGGTTGCCAACCATGAGAGGAGCGAGAATGAATGGAATGAGGACGAAATAGGACCGGTTAGTGTGGCAACAACAGTCGTGTCTAGTAGAGTCAGCTATTTTCCGCCCTCTACCACATACGACTGTCAAGGAATACCTAAAGCAGCCAAAAAGACCCCCACCCATACACTTCCCAAGATCAGGATCACTTCTTTTGTAGTGAGTTCCTGTACTAGATGGTCTTGGCGCTCCTGGGATTCTGTGGTCGCATTGAGACCTTGTTCCGCAAGGAGCGGTGTTTGCTCCGACACCGAGCTTCCCCGAGCATCTCGGGAATGAGCTGCGAGGCTTGAGACAGACGGAGTTGGAGACATTCTAGTGTTCGGTTGGGATTCACCGACTGGCCTTGTGGTCAATTCCACATGAGTGTTTGGTAACAATTAATAGGCTCCTTGAGGAGGCGGTAACCACCTCAGTGAGGGGGCTGGCGGTTAGTCATAGTGCTTAGTCTGTTGAAGTCAGAATGCCGGTTAATACCGTTCCCGTTCGGATATATTACCTCTATATAGTACTGACTCTACAACTATAGCCATGAAGAATTTTATGTTAAGAAAATAGCACTTTACAGGTATAGTAGTATTCCCAATGCTTAGTCGTACATCTCAAAGCATACATAAGGATTGAAGAGAGAAAATAATAATGATAATTATCACCACTAACTGTCATAAATCATACTCCAGGCTAGTAGCAGCGTCGTGATCAACCTATAGAACATTATCATCGGGCACGTAACTCCGTTAAAATGTAATGCAAAGGTCTGCAATCAGAATTTGAAAGAAACAGAAAAAGGACGAAGAAGAATGGTATTTAGTCATGCAGTGTCAGATCTAAACCTCTTTCCTAGAAGAAATTAGCGAGGAAAGGTAGACGGGAACGAATTTTCTCACCAGGTAGGTTGGGATATCTCCTTGTTTGGGGTACGAATGGCATTGCGATCACCGAATGGATTGTCCTCATCATCGTCTTCTTCACTTTCGGACTCGCTATCACTGTTATACACGCGCTGCTTGGATGACGAGGGAATTGATATGCTCATCGGCCGAGCAGGTCGTGGTGGCCTGGGGGGGTTGACAACAAGCCCCGCGAATGACGCTTGAAGATCACGATCGTCGCGGTCAGGACTCCAGCCAGACTCAAGGACATCCTGATCGCTATCACTATCGTAATCTACGCTTTTGTCTAAGACTTCAAACGCCATAAGGGCGGTGACGAGTTCCTCATTGGCATGTATGAGACTGCCCAAGAATTCCTCACTTTCTACGTGTTGGATGTAACGAAGAACCTGGCGCCTGAGCTGCTTGCACGTTTCAAACCGGTTAACCACCTCTGCATCTTCGCTCACCCGGTGTGTTTCTCGGTTGACCAGTTTTAATGCGTTTAGGAGATTCGTGCTAGCGACGGACGAAGAGGCGAGAGTCTGTAAGATTTCTGGTTTCTCCTTTTCCAGATTGAAGGTCTTGTCTCGAACTTTCTTCTCTTTCTTTTCCTTCCTGAGTGATTTGCTGGAAGTATGCTTGTGTTTAGGGCCACTTAGGACTGTAGCCGGGCCATTTCCCGCAGAGATAGATACGGTGTGGCCCATTGGAGGTTCATCAGAAGTGCCAGACTCCCGGAGAACCTTCGCTTTAGCCTGACTAGCCGGCTGTTTGCGTTTCGGTAATTGCCTGTAGAGGCCCGTCACCCGTTCCATGCCGGGTGTGTTCTTGTAGGATACAGTCCATTGTCCGAAGAGCTGCTTGCATTTTTCTTTGACCAGAGGATCAGAAACAGGGTCCGTAGCGGCGATACGCAAACGTTCCAGTAAAGGCTCGTCTGCAAATTCTCGCAAAAAGCGGTCTCCGGCATTTTGGATCAGGAAATCGAGTATAGTGAGAGCTCTTAGTTGGCGGTGCAAGTTTCCATATTTACTAGAAGCCAATTAGGGACGGGGCCTATGTGAGACTGGTTGGGCACATAACTGACAGCTTCTTACGCAGGGCGCGACTTGCTTCAGTCGGGCCACTGCCCTGTATCATTACAGCTTCAATAAGATCAACGATGCCACTGGAGTCTTCAACATCATATTGTTCACTAGTTAGAACCTCAATCTGCACCGATACAGCCGAATATGGCTTCTATATAGCAGCGTTAGTTCCGCAATGTTAATATCATGGGCCCAAATAGACCTAGCTCAACTAAAGGTTGTTCCTAGAACAGACATGCCAACAGGCTAAACTCACCGACGAATGGAACATGATGAATTGAATTCAAGTCGCAGGGGTTCCCAGAATTTGTTAAATTACTCTCTGAACAAATACTCAAGACCGATAGTAACCACACGACGAACGGACACTCAAATGGTCAATCGCCACCTGCCCCGTAGATCCAGCCCGTATAAATTAACGTGCAGACTAATAAAGCAAAACGCCTTTCGCCTGATCAATCCCACAGTTATAACCCCGCTATAAGCTCAATGCCCGAAGCGGAAAGTTTTCTAGCGATACGTTGAAGTGACCAGACGAGTAGGTAGTAATAGCCGGACAGTGACGTGTTAAGAGACCCAGTGAGGAGGCTATCGCTTCGTCTTGGCACGACTGATTCAGTTCGGCGTACAGTGGCTTGACGGGTTCAAAGCGACGGTGGTTGATGTCAGTTATAGCCTTTTAGCCCTGCAGAAACACACAAAAAGGAGGAGGATTGTTTGTCCCTGCCTCCGACGTCATGGGACGTGCGATAGTAGTGACCAATCTCGTGACTGCCCCTCGCCCATAGCCTAATGTGGTCTAGGGCGGGGGAACATTGGGATGCCTAGTTGCCTGGGGCGCTGGAAGTATCAACAAAAGGTGAAACAAGTTGGGGTAATTGCCGGATTGGCCGATGGACACCCTCTTCTACCCATACTACATCCCACTCGGTCCAATACACAGCACCTATCGGGATTCAAGATTAGTACAGGGCCAAATCCCCTTCAATTGCTGCTGGGCAGCATCTTACGTACTTCTGCCCCCTAATCAATGGGTCACCGGTCTGCGAAATCGGCAGGCCGTCTCTCAATTCGCCAACCGCGACGGTTGTTCTCCCGTCTAGTCCTCTGCTCCACTCTCCTACTAGGAGTCAGCATCGTCCTAAAAAACCGCCACCGTCTCAGCTCCTTCTTCCCCCACTTACTTACTTCTACACACTCAAATACTCAAATCACAACCATGTCTTACCAACAGGAACGCTACATTGCCGAACTCGCGGTCCAGCGAGCTACGCTCCTCACCCAGAAGGTCTTCAACGAAAAAGCAAAGGGTACCGTATCGAAAGATGACAAGTCGCCCGTGACGATCGGTGATTTTGGTGCCCAGGCTCTGATCATCCAGGCTATCCGCAAGAACTTCCCAAACGATGAGATCGTCGCCGAGGAAGAGGCCAGTTCCCTCCGTGAGGATAAAGGACTGAGCGCCGAAATCTGGAGACTGGTTAAGGATATCAAGCTGGATGACAGTAAGAGCGATGAGGTCCTTGGAGGGCCCTTGCCAAGTGAAGAAGCAATGCTGGACATTATCGATCAGGGAAAGAGCGCGGGAGGTGCGAAGGGTCGCATCTGGGCCTTGGACCCCATCGACGGTACGAAGGGATTCCTGCGTGGTGGCCAGTATGCCGTCTGTCTCGGCTTGATTGAGGATGGTGACGTCAAGGTGGGAGCGATTGGCTGCCCCAACCTGCCTGTTAATGACTCCGATACTTTGTCTGCATCGATCGGTGTTGACCAGAACAGCGGCGCTGGTAACGGAGTCCTTTTCTCAGCTATCAAGGGCGCCGGTTCCATCAGCCGGCCTCTGAAGAACGGCGCTCTCGCCGAGAGCAAGCCTATCTCCATGCGTCCAGTGCCAGACATCGCGCAGGCCGTCTTCTGTGAAGGAGTTGAGGCTGCCCACTCGGCTCAGGGCGATAATGCTGCTGTTGCCCAGCGCCTTGGCATTACGGCCCCCAGCGTGCGACTGGATTCTCAGGCCAAGTACTGCTCTATTGCCAGAGGTGCCGGTGATATCTATCTACGCCTGCCTGTAAAGAAGGACTACCAAGAGAAGATCTGGGATCATGCCGCTGGAGATCTCATCGTGCGTGAAGCTGGCGGCCAAGTAACGGACATCTACGGTCAGCCATTGGATTTCAGCAAGGGCCGGACCTTGGCTGCCAACAAGGGAGTTGTCGCTGCACCCAAGGCCCTTCAAGATCAGGTCATTGGGGCTGTAAAGATTGTCCTGAAGCTGTGATGATAAAAACAACTTGCAACGAACTTTGTCAAATTGCTCACGCTAGATGCGTCTAGAAGTACATAAGATAGATACCAATCGCGAACAGAAACCAAATATGCTTGGATATACATGTACAGTAAAACATAACCACTGTTCCTCTTCCCAGAACCAGAGACACCAAGTCTACCGAATTTTCTTGGCCTTCAATTTGATTGTCTCCCCGTTGATGAAAATACCCTTGCCCTTGTATGGTTCTGGCTTGCGCCATTCTCTAATTTCGGCCGCAAACTTCGTCACGACGCTCTTGTTGACGCCCTCCAGCAAAATACGTGTCGGCTGCGGAGTACTTGCTTTGACACCCTGTGGAACACCCAACTCAATCGGGTGGGAGTACCCAACCTTGAGGGAGACGAATTGCTGGCCGGGGTATTCAGGTTCGACGGTGGTCGCCGTTGATTCGACAGTAGCTCTGTAACCGACACCGACCAGACTGAGAATGCAAACATGGCCTTCCGACACTCCTAGGATGTAGTTTTGTAGATGTGCCCGAGTGGTTCCTATGGTGTAAAACGGTCAGAAAAGCACAAGTGAATGACAGTTGAAGTGATATACGTACCCCACATAGCACGCTGATGCGCGACTGAGGAATCCTGGACGGAGAGAGTCGCTTTCCGAAGGCCTTCATCATGTGCAACTTCCAAGAATGGGGGAATGCTCAGTGTCAATTCACCTGTGATGGATTCATAAGTCAAGCTGTTCACCTCAACTATAGGTGATATAAGAGCGTGCCATACCCAAAGGCCCTTTAACTTCGATTGCCGTCTTCGGAATGTCCTTCGCTACTCCTCTCACTTGTGTCTGAGGCAAGTCGATGAATTTGAGGGAGACTTCGGGGGGTACGGAGATCGGGGCGCCGCCGACTCGAGATTGCGTTGGTGAGGTGGTAGAAAAGGGTTGTGTCCGTTGAGGGTGCGAGAACGCAGGTGCGAGATAAATTGGCAGTGAGCCCTGCCTCAAAGGGCCCCGGGAAAGCTGCTTAAAGCAGTTCTGTGTTAAGGAGCGCGACATGATGACAATTGCGGTTTGTTGCTAGAAGACAACTACTTTGGATCTCCGATGCCGACTTTGATTTTGGCCGGAGACCCTGCACTCCCGATCTGGTTAGCGCATATCACACACGTGATCATGCCTTTTGTATAGATCAGGATTTCGACTCGAGCTCACTGTTGTTTCTCAGAGATATCTGGATTCAAAATGTGATAAGTCTTCAAAGATGAGTCGTTGAGGTGTCTGTGTTGTCTTTTTAGATGCACTATCGTTCACCTTGCCTCATATCATACCTACCCTTTACTTATATCTCTTTCTATATCCCTGTCCATCTATACTGCAAAAGTCCTCACACTGTCTACGGGACGATTGATCCCCTGCATCATCAATTACTATATGACTTCAGTCTTTAGTCTACCATCTTTACACATATGTTATCCAGCTCATTGAGTTAAGTAAAGAACTATTTTCGCTTTCAGCCAACCCGTCTTCTCTAGTACTTAATGCATCGAACTCCCAGAAAAAAGTATTGGTATCAATGAGAAGGATGGCTGGCCCACGTCCAAATATAACATTTCTTACACACGTGCTGCCCATGCTACTTCTATTCTCTCTGCTTTTCTCGGCTCTCTGTAGCACAGAAGATTCAGCAAGTGGTACGTTACCTGCAAAAGAACGAAATGGATCATACTAATCAAGCCGCCAAACATAGATCTTTTAATACACAAGAACAATTCATTTGAGGAAGTGGACTTGGCTTCCTTCATCATCTCGAAAAATATACAACACGATGTCATCTTCAAGGAAGCAGTGCAGCTGCTAGAGTCAATGAGGTCGTCTCCTTCCTGCAACCGCATCGCAGCCTCCAGACTTGTCACATCCTGCCAGTCTGTTAGGGAGAAAACACATAATGTTGACTCTGAGACCTATAGAGTGTTAGAACATACTAGATCATTGTATGCAGCAAGACTCGCTATCTGCGAACTTGAAGGTGCCGGGACCCATATCCCCAATGCCTGTCTTCCGGTCACTATTCCACCCCCACAGAAGAAAGGAATCTTTGGGTTTTCCATAAAGAGTGGAAGTCCGGTCAACGGTGTGGACCCGATTCCAGTCCAGTTGTTGGAATCCTGTCTCAAGTCGCTGGAGTCACGACCTCAATGGTGGACTTCTTATAGCAACAGTAGGCAGAACGCTTTCGTAATATGTCAAGCTGCAAGGATTGAGAACGAAAAGGAAGAGCTTTTGGACCTCCATAGGTCACTAGTCCAGGGCTCTAATAAACTCAATCAGGGCCTTCAAGAAGCCTTGCGGGCGGCTGCTGCTGAATTCTCACAGCACAGAGCTTTCGCAAACGAGGTTGCAAATATGAATGCCAGGCTGGTTCATGACATGGAAGAAACTCGCTCACACTTCAAGACTATGATTGAAAAGGTTTTTTACAAGATTGAAGCCAGGGCCGTTTCGGCTCTCAATACCATTACCTCAGTGCTCGGAAAGGCTCAGGCTGAGGCAACAGCTCTAGATAAGGTGCCATTACAAGTGCCCTTTTCTACAACATAACTAACGAGTGATAGAATATTCAGAATGTATCCTCCGAGGTTAGCAAGCTGCAATACACTTTTCAAGATCTTCTGGACGAAATGCTGTCCGCAAATGAACAAATAACGTTGGCACATCAACAGAATGCTGTGTCACATAACGAGCTTGCCGTTAATCTTCGATCGAAGCTAGAGTACATATTACAAGATGATGTGGCTAGATTACTTCATAATCTTGAGGCATTCGATTCTTCATTGGTAGGTGAGCACGCCCCAAATGAACAATAAGTGTTGACTGTCTCAGGAATGGCTCTCTGGTAGATTCGGGCTCCTATCCGAGCAAGAAATGAGTATATCCGAGGTTGGTGGTGCCCTGAAACTGAATGGAATGGTCTAACTCTCAGAAGCGTCTGCGATCTTTCGATATAACATTGAAAGAATTCCAGTTGAGAGCCGAAAATCTACACAAGGCGCAATTACAGCAAGCTGAAGCTGTCGAATTCCAGTCAAAGTTACAAGAGAAACTACAGACCAGCGTACAAATCTCGCAAGCTTTACTTGACAAGGCAGCCGCAACTACAGCCAATTTGCAGGCGATGATCGATGAAACATCCGCGCGTTATAAGGACTCCCCTGTTTTAAGACCGCTTTTTAGCACGTACTCCTCGTGGACCTTTTATGGTCTTCTTCTGAGTCTTATAGCATCTCACAACGTAAAAGTTGCTTTAGCATTGCTTATTATTAGTGCTTGTAAGTGCCAGCATCCACAGCCGATATCCCACAACTAATTGTACCGTTTTTAGTCCAATTCATGGCCACGAGGATACTATGATACATCGATGGTTGTTATGTTGGAAAAGTCAATGAAAACTCCACTATATCTCTCATATTCTACATGGCTCATATAAGTATCTAAAGGTTGAACTTTTCTGCGTTCTTAAGTTTGCGCCAGTTTCTAGGAACGATTGCACCATCCGCTGCAAGTGTTGATCATGGTGGCACGGACTTGCTTTGCATTACTTAATGATTGTCATTGTTATTATTCTTATCTTCTAATCGAAGCGATCTTTTGAAAGAGAATCTAGGCACATCCAATGACGACGTCATGGAAGCTCCAGTTATGATATGTTAACATTGTTAAGCACTTGTCGCGTCGATTAGACTTTCACCATACATTATAGTACACTCTATTATACTAAGTAAACAAAAACCCGTCAATAAGAGCTAGACTTAATCGATACTACGGTGGACTGCGGTAAAAAGATTCGGCAACCAGACGGTTTTCGGCAGCGACCGATGCAGATTTGATCCGACCCAGCCTAGGCCACCCTACTTACCTCCTACATTTATGCAATATCGCGTCCATACTACGGGCCCTCACAACCCATCTCAAATATATTTGCTTCTAGGACAATGATGAGTTAAAAATGAGCAAGAACACATTGCAGGTATTTTTGTGACACAAAAACGAATAGGTCCTGCATGTCCTGCATGTCCTGCATGAGATGCCGAGTCGGTTTCACCAGGATCTAGGATCCAGTTCCCTCGATGCCGAGAAGAATGCCCGATCACTGTATTCATGTGGCTCCGAGATGGTTTAACTGCCGATACTCAAGCCCTTCAGGTAAGCGAACGTCCTGCGCGGGGTGACCAGGGAAATTCTCCGCATTCTGTGGGGAACCCCATGCGACGATCGTTGGGATGTGGAGACCTCGTTTGAAGATGACAGCGACCTGTCCACTCAGCGCTGCTGGAAATTCCCTCCCTAATCCCGGCTTTTCCTTGTCAGAAATGATTGGGAAGTCTGTCGCGTCACGACCAAGCTTCTGACTTACTGATTGCTGAGAGATCTCTGAACCTAATCCATGGTACATTCCTCCGGCCAAACTTCGGAGAAGCCCTAATTCAGGCACGGGATATAGTCCGATCTTCACGTACCGACAGATTAGAACATTAATAAACATGCTTCAGACTGCCAGCAGTCTCCGGTATGTCCGAGACAGCTATATATAGAGTCACCTAGCTCACGTCAGAGGATAATGTCTCCGTGAACCACAGCCACACCCAGTATGCCTTCACTTCGCCGGCTTCTACCTTTTCTCACTGCGGGCTCTGCCGCTCTGGCAAGCCAAGATGCGTTTCAAGACAAGTGTACGGATTTTGCAAGCAAAATAACCCTGCCCAATGTGCGGGTGAATTTTGTCAATTACGTGCCTGGCGGCACCAACGTTTCGTTGCCAGATAATCCAACCAGTTGCGGCACAACTTCTCAAGTAGTGTCCGAGGATGTGTGCCGCATTGCCATGGCTGTTGCGACCACGAACAGCAGCGAAATCACCCTCGAAGCGTGGCTCCCAAGAAACTACACTGGCCGCTTCCTGAGCACGGGCAACGGTGGTCTTTCAGGCTGTATGTTCTACCCGGTACCGCAATGGGAGATGACACGCCTTCAAATCAAACTAACGTCTTACAGGTATTCAGTACTATGATCTAGCGTACACCTCCGGCCTAGGGTTTGCCACGGTCGGCGCCAACAGCGGCCATAACGGAACCTCTGGAGAGCCTTTCTACCACCACCCCGAGGTCCTCGAAGACTTTGTACACCGTTCAGTCCACACTGGTGTCGTGGTTGGCAAGCAATTGACCAAGCTCTTCTACGAGGAAGGGTTCAAGAAGTCGTACTACCTTGGTTGCTCCACTGGTGGTCGGCAGGGATTCAAATCCGTCCAGCAATACCCCAATGACTTTGACGGTGTTGTGGCCGGCGCGCCGGCATTCAACATGATCAACCTCATGTCATGGAGTGCCCACTTCTACCCAATCACGGGTCCAGTCGGGTCAGACACATACCTATCCCCTGATCTGTGGAACATCACCCATAAGGAGATCCTGCGTCAATGCGATGGTATCGACGGCGCAGAGGACGGCATTATCGAAGACCCGAGTCTTTGCAACCCAGTCCTTGAGGCCATCATCTGCAAGCCTGGTCAAAACACCACGCAGTGTCTAACCGGGCAGCAAGCCCACACCGTTCGCGAGATTTTCTCCCCGCTGTACGGAGTGAACGGCACCTTGCTTTATCCCCGCATGCAGCCTGGCTCCGAGGTGATGGCTTCTTCCGCGATGTACAACGGCCAGCCTTTCAAGTACAGCACCGACTGGTATCGCTATGTCGTCTACGAGAACCCCAACTGGGACGCAACCAAGTTCAGCGTGCGTGACGCGGCCGTCGCTCTGAAGCAGAACCCATTCAACCTCCAGACCTGGGATGCAGACATCTCCGCGTTCCGCAAGGCCGGCGGCAAAGTCCTCACCTACCACGGGCTCATGGATCAGCTCATCAGCTCGGAGAACTCCAAACTGTACTACGCGCGCGTTGCGGAAACCATGAACACGCCTCCGGAAGAACTGGATGAGTTCTACCGCTTCTTCCAGATCAGCGGTATGGCCCATTGCAGTGGAGGTGACGGCGCGTACGGCATCGGAAACCAGCTTGTAACCTATAACGATGCCAATCCTGAGAACAACGTTCTCATGGCTATGGTTCAGTGGGTGGAGAAGGGCATCGCCCCGGAGACTATTCGTGGTGCTAAATTCACCGATGGCGCGGGCTCGGCCGTCGAGTACACTCGCAAGCACTGCCGCTACCCTCGCAGGAATGTGTACAAGGGGCCAGGGAACTACACTGATGAGAACGCCTGGCAGTGCGTTTAGAATATTGACGTGTTGTAAATATATGTGCATTACATAGAACAACGCATTTGCGTGTCTTGATAATTATTTATTCGCCCATCATAGCTGAGTCCAGAACATATATCTCTGCAGTTGAGTAGTAGTGAGACAGTTATAGCACATACAAGGCTATCTAGAGGCCAGACATGTTCATGAATATACCATATGTTTACAAAAGAGGGAGACGATCAACGAAAATGTACAGAAAGATTTGACCAAGTAGGACCTAAAAGCCCGAAAAGTAAATTCCTTGGAGAGGGGGTATCAAAAAACAAAAAAGAAAAGAAAGAAAGAAAGAAAGAAAGAAAAAGAAACGACACCTGTAGGATTCACTACTCGGCCAAAATGTCTTGTTAAATAAACATAAATAAACTCTTCAAACTATATCGAACGGTACCACTCAAAGTAATAAGTAAAGCCAGCCCCTGGCAGCCAAATGCCAGCCTCCACAAGCCCAAGCGGTCCACACCAGCCAGACCGCCTTGGAACTGGGGCGCGATCGCATCATAGGTTCCACCCAAAGAAGTTGGCTGGCAGCTAAGGTCCAGTCCTTCATGGCATCATAGCCCATTCATACAAAGCACACACACACACACACACACACACACACACACACACTGGCAAAAGTTTGCGCAAGACTGACCATTTGGGGCGACGCAGTATTTTTTCTAAACTCACCGGGGACAAGCCGAGTAAATTGGCCGCTAACAATAGTGATCGCTGATCCATCCCTCTCTGACCTCCCCCGAGCTGACACGGATCGCTCTCATTGGCCTAATTGGTTGCGCCGCGGGGGGCGCGTGCAGCATTCCCTCAGATCCGCTCGATATCGGCAAGATATATTACGATTTACAACTCCCACGTTTCACGATTGAATCTTGAAAAATGACCGACCCCGTTGCTGATACCCCCGCCATGGACGAATTTGCGCAGACTCGTGGCGCCGATGACCTGTTCGACGATGAAATCGTGCCTGTGGCCGCGGAGCCAGAGGTCCCGCCGGAAGTGCAAGCCTTGGAAGAGAATGTCGCTTCGCTATCGTTAGAGACCCAAACCCCGCCGCCCCGTACCGAAACCCCTCCACGGTCGCGTGGGGGCGAGAGGCGAGGACGTGGCAGAGGAAAGGGACGCGGTGGCAGACAAGGATCGCAAAATTCAGCTTCGAGGCGGGGTGATGGAGCAAGGACAAAGCCCGTGGATGATGCTGCTGCCCAGAACGAGAAGAATAATGGGGAACCCGCCAAGGATATGTCTGCTGAAGCGACAGAACAAGCAAAGAAGGAAGACCCAGCCTCAGACTCCAAACCCTCCGCCGACGCTAATGGGCAACGCGTGCCAGCGGTGCGCGGCGATCGGAGTGCTACAGGTGGGATTAAAAAGGTATACCAGCTCTCTTCTCATTGAATGAGGGTTTATTTACTGATCGTTTTAACAGCCAAAACTCACAGAGGAGGAACTCTCTCAACGTATCGCCGCGGCGAAGGAGAACGCTGCTCGCAAGGCTGCCGCCCACGCCCGTGCTGAAGCCGACCAAGCCTCCTTCCTTGAACGAGAGAAGGTTGCCGAAGAGAAGCGACGCCAGGAACGCCAACACCGCCGTGTGATGGATAACGAACGAGAGCGCAATCGGCAGCGAAAACTTCAGGCTCTGGGCGGGAGAGAGTGGGATTCGCAGAAGCAGGAGGAAGATTATAACCCCCGCGGAGGTAGAGGTGGATACCGACGAGGAATGCACGGCGGTGTCTCTGGATACGCTCGACGAGACTTTGGAGACTCGCAACCAGATGAAGAGACGAACAATCACCACCATAACAGCCCTCGAGGCCGGGGTCGTGGCGGTAGAGGTGGTCGTGGACGCGGTCGTGGGCCACGACCAGACATTCCACCATCTGAAGGCGCAACGAATGAGCCAATCTCCACCGAGCAAAAGCCCGCGCCAACTCCAGTCATCAATAATGAAGCCGAGTTCCCTTCCCTGCCTGGCGGTAGTAAAAAGGAGAGCACGGCCGACACTGACTCTACTGCGGCTAAGCTCGATGCGGTCCTATCGCCGATATCTGCAAGCGGTGCTACATGGGCGGAACAAGTCGAGAACAACTAGATATCCAGTGTCACGAGTCTATACTTTTCTTTAATCATGTTTTGGAGGACTATTGTTATTGCATGCACGGATTATTCCCCGAACTATTGTTAGTCGCTATACTTCTAAACCATGTTCACCCTTTTGCTCAAAGGATTACCCGCCAACATTGGATAATGAAAGACGCTCTTTCCATCCCGTGATTCTTCCAAGCTACGTAATACATATGCATCACGATGTCTCCTATATATTCTTCCTGCAGATCTCTGCAGGTGATGGACTTGTACTGCCCAGTGCATATCCTAGCTATCCCAATCGGGTAACGCTCGAGCTACCGCTAACTCAGCGCAGTGGCGGCCAATGAGAAGCACAGCGTGCGGTCATGATGATATCACTGAGATCATTGTGTTCTTTTGCTTCGTACAAGGACCTCGTGCATGTGGGATAATTCTCGAGTATAAAGACAGTCCTATCTCGATAGTCAATTCTCCTCATCATTCTATGCAAACATTGTCTTACTTGAACATATAGGTAAATGACCCAAAACACCAATCTACACCCCTCAAACCCCCAAAGCGGGAAACTATATATATCCCTCCCCCGAAGTATATATATACATGTACACATACTAAACCCAACTCCCAATCCCAGATCCACCAAACCAAATCAACTAGCAAAATGTCCGGAGCAAACACGCACATGAACGAACACCCTTCAGGCGGGGAAGGAGCTGGCCATATCTCTGTATGTATCGTATCCTCACATACACTCCAATGTTGTTCTACATTGATGTAGCTAACATGTTGGTCTGCCCAGGACAAAACCAAGACGTCATTCTCATCTGCGAACGAGTTCTCGAGTTTAAGAGAGCAGAAGGGTATGGCGGAGAGGAATTTCCTGGATCGGAGGAACAGAGAACTCGGTGAGCAGGAGGGGACGTGCGCGACTGAGGATCATAGTTTCATGACGAAGAAGCCTGGGGGTTCGGATACTTTGCCGGGGTGGGAGAAGGCGAAGGGTGCTTTGGGTAATATGTGAGTTTTTTTAAGGTTCCCTCTTCTTTTGGATTTGTGTTGGGTGCTGATTGATTGATTGATAGGTTTGGTTGAATGGGTTATGACAGGGCATGTTGATCGGATGTTATGAATCTGTTTACTGGAGTTTTTTGTGGTATTACGAGATCTTGTATTATAATGCAACCATACATTGGGTTAGATGTTATGAAACTATTGAAGAAAATATAACGTATGTATGTGCATTATTGATTCTACATGTGACATTGCTATTCAACCTTTGCGCTCTTCCCTTTTATACGATCCCGTATGGCCACTATCTTGCCCGCTAGGCGGCCCTTTAATGTCTGTGATGTGAGAGCGGCTGCCTCTTCGGCGGAGACGAAGCGACGGACCAAGAGGTTGAAAATGCTGCCAAACGCTAGAGCGATGACCGTGCTAGTAAGGATGATCACGTTGTACGGCATGCTAAAGTCCGGCGTGGGTAGCGGCAAAAGGAGGCTAGTTGTGCGCATATAGATCGGGTTCTCATGTCTACCGAGCTTGATAACCGCAGGAGCAACGTTGAAACCACGATTGGCGTCCGGTGGGTACTCGGTGTACCGCAAGATAGCCTTCTCGAAGTCATATGTCAGAGTCACGCTAGAGGCGGCTGGAACTGATAAAGCTAGTTCTAGCTGCGTGCCGCGTTCTCTGTCAATCGCCGGGCGGTAAAAGGTCTCCCTGATGAGCTGTGAAGTGGGAACTTGTCGGCGGACCCCATCACGTCCAGTGACTGTTGCTTGTAGCGTGTGTACATACGGGCGCAAGAACCATGGGAGGGTCTCAAAATACATGAAGTCTACCGCGTCCGTGTCGGACGGATTATCGAAGATGATCCGCATGCCCCCCCGTTCCACGCCGTGGCCAACGATCGTCCGTTCCGCACGCAGGACAGGCTCATCTAGAGGAACGTGGGTTGTGGCTTCCTGCTCCGGCATGACCAGGTCAAATGCGTTGGAGCCCTGTAGTGTGTAACACCGAGTGAAGCCATCCGGCTTACGAGTCTCAACCGTACCTTCAGAGACAGCAACGCCTCGCTCATCGGGTACGCGCAGGCAGATAGTTTCCTCGGAGCTTTGACTATCGCCTAAGGGGCAAACGCCGCTGACTGTGCGCCCAAAAATTTCGCTTAGAGACCAACCGCCTTCGGAGGTCTTCTCCAAAGGATAACAGGTATCATCTGAGTGATATGGCTTCGATGTATCGCAGGCAAGCTGCTCATTAGGAACTGGTCGCGGAATTGGATTGTCTAACACTTGTTAATGGCTCTGATGAATGATGACAAGATTCGTTTGACTCACCTCGAGGCCTTTTTGATCTTTCAAGATCGAGCACAATGTCCACGGTCTGTTCAATTTGTACCAGACAATCATCAGGGCGAGAACATACAGGACGTACATCAACCGACATACTCTGCCAGGATGCATCAAACAACTTATGTCCATCAAGCAGACTAGCAACACCGGCCTTGCCTTTGCACGGTAGGAGTTTCAGAAAAGGTGTAAGGTTCTCTGTGCAGACAACTTCGCCCGGAAGCGTGCCATGCAAAAGATGTAGGTTACTCGAAGCCGAATGGTCTCCGGCGAGAGCGAAAGATGCAACTGGTCGGGTAGTCCGAGTTGAATCGATGAAGTTGAGCGATGCGCAGAACAAACCAGACAGAGACTGGGTCAACGAAATCCATTTTGCAAACGCTCTTGATCTTTGTCAGCATATGCATCCAAGGAGCAGGGTTCCAAATGACATTGCACGCACTCTTGATCATCTGCCGCATCGATCCATGCCCACAATTCTACACCTGTGTTTCCTTCTTTAACCCCATTCCAGGGGCGTGACCCCCAGCTTTCAGCATCCCATCTGCCTGTAGTGAATCGCAGGTGTAATTCCTTGGTGTGAGCATGTTGCAATATCTGGCCTAGCGCACGGGGAAAGTGGCGAAAATTCCGTTCGTCAAAGGACTCCTGAGAAGCATTGCTTCGGAAATTGAAGGACGCTAATAAAGATGACTGCGGTAATGGTTGCAGGGTGAGGCTCTCATGGTAGTCCGATGTCGCGTAGGTGAGCGAGGACAACGCGACAAGGAGAAAGAGAGGAAGAAGAGAAGGGACAATCATTCCGTCATGCTGCCAATGAGAAGTTTCCAAGGACTATTGTAAGAATCTCTCCCAACCCAATATCAAGCCATGCACGGGTTGTAGAGTGTTAGATCTCCGAGCCGATGGAGACAGAATAAATTAGCGTCTAGATCCCGCAACGTAATATCGGGCAGCGCTCAGGGAGGAGGATAGCTGGCACCGGGGTTCGGGCTTGAACGAAGCTATTGGTAATTGGATTAAATTGGAATCCTCCTTCAGGTCACTCGGCCATAGCTTTGACACTCTATGGGGTAGAACATCTGGACTAACCTATGCTCGGACACTTACCGAAAGGGGTTGATGACCTTTATAGTAAGCGCAGCCGCGACCGCGTTTAGCGCCACTCCGCAGAATAATCGTCTTTCGTTCATCGCAACAGCTCTCATATACGTACGATCCCCACTCTTTTCGAACGAACATCCTCTTCTCGGAGTCATTGCATCATGGCGGCGGAACAGAGAAAGCTGCTCGAGCAGCTCATGGGAGGTAAGCTAGCTCTAACAAAAATGACGCAGCTCAAACCCTAGCTAATAGAAATCTTCTCGTAGCGGACCAGCTCATGGGCACTGGTGCTCCCTCCCGCAACGCTCAGCTTGCTATTACCGATCCCAAAGTCTGTCGCTCATATATCGTCGGCACGTGCCCGCATGATCTCTTCACCAATACCAAGCAAGATCTTGGCCCTTGCCCTAAGGTGCATAGTGAAGGTCTGAAGACGGAGTATGAGACAGCTTCGGCTGCGGAGAAGGCTAAATGGGGCTTCGACTTTGATTACATGAGAGACATGCAGAAATACATTGACGATTGTGACCGGAGAATTGATTCCGCACAGCGGCGGTTGGAAAAGACCCCGGACGAAATTCGACAGACAAATAACCTGGTAAGGATAGCTTATTCGCCAAGCCGACTAAAGCCAGTTGCTAACCTTTAATAGCTCAAACAAATCTCTGATTACACCAAAACGATCAACGGCGGTCTGCTGGAGATTTCCGTCTTAGGCGAAACCGGCTCCGTTGCGCAGGCATACAATGAATTGCACAAGATCCGCACAGCCAAACACCAAAAGGAAACGTGTGAGCGCGAATTGAAGAATCTGCAGGATACCTCTGGTCCGTCTGGCCACCAGAAGCTGCAGGTATGCGATGTTTGCGGCGCATACCTGAGTCGTCTCGATAATGATCGTCGATTGGCGGATCATTTCTTCGGCAAAATGCACATGGGTTACTCAGACATGCGCAAGACATTTAAGAAACTCAGCGAGGAGCTCAAGGGTAGACCGCCGCCAGTTCGTCATCACGACGACGAGGACGGTGGCTGGGGTGGGCGCTCGGGTGGTGGCAGAGGACCTCGGTATGGTGGTGGCGGCGGCTACAAGAAGCGTGGTGGACGGTGGTGATAATGATGGCTGTTCACTACTCTTCTTTTCTTTTGCTGCTGGATTTGCATAGCGCAGGCGTTATTCTTTCTATCAGGACGTTATGAATTGTCATATGTGTTAATAGGATAAAGTATTAGTCTTGAAAATCCAAATCTGGGCCATATTTTGCAATACAGTTGGTCTGCTGGCTTGAGTCGCAAGCAGCTAGTGCTACGTAAATGATGGTATGGAAGCGCAAATCACGAACTGAGCTTCATAATTGGAGACTGGATGGAGTATATAGGACCGCATTGACAAGCAAAAGAAAGCTACAAAGGTAAGTTGGTCTGCAAGAGTTCAAATCTGAATTGAGTAAAGAAAATATTCATCGCTGTGCTGAAAATTCGTTGTGAAAACAAATGTAGATATCCCATGATCACCCAATATCCCATTTTCCCTTTCCCAGTAAGAGTAACAGCAGTACAACACAGACACCATGTCCAAAATGAACCTAAGAAAAATAACCGATGATTACTATACAGTCGAATTATAGCCATCTACTTTGCATTCTGCTGTAGAGTATGTCCATTCGTCGTAGCCTGGACCAGTTCCTGCATCAAGATTTCGTAGTTCAGTGCTGTCTCCGGCCGACGCAACAGGATATCACGGACGACACTCAGTTGGGTAACGTCCGCGTTCGGCGCCTGTTGCAAGAGCTGTTGAATAGCTGGGGAGCTAGCCTGAGTACCCAGTACCTGGACGGCAGCTGCAAGACCCGTGACCGGAGCCTGATTTTGTGGCGCTGGACTCTGATACGGTACGAATTGGGGAGCATGTGGAGGATGTTGGTGTTGAAATTGGTGTTGCTGCTGACCATATGGGGAATGTGCCAGTGGCGTTCCATCAAAGTTCGAAGGTGCTGGAGTGATTTGAGACACAGGCCGCGGCCCAGGAGTCATAAATTGTTGTTGTTGAGGTGTCGCCGGACTCGCAGAAGCCATTGGCTCCTGGCTTGGATGGTGCGATGAGGGCTGCACTGAAGGAGGATTCGATTCAGAAGTTTTCACGGCAAAAACGACGAGAAGAACCCGTTCCGGAGTTGGATCCTCCAGAGTATTGTTCTCTAAGAGTTCAATGAACTCGGGTTTCTTAGTCGACCCAGCCTCGATGGGAATAATATAAGTATCCTTGACGGCCGCTAGCGGATGCTTGCCTACCACACCGTATCTCTTGCGATCCGAGAAATAGTTGAAGAGCTTATCGAAACCTGCCTGCTCTTTTGGCAACTCGGGCCTGCCGATACAAATGACTGACACGTCTGTGGAAGTACTGAAACGCAAGTTGCAGAGATACTCGCTGGCCAGTTGGATATCAATTCTGCCATCCACCAACAAGGTCGAAGGCGCGAGCTGACTCCAGGGAATTCGTCCACTGAGGTCGGCACCGCCAACGTGTTTGGCCGAAGAGGAAAACTCGGCAATGGGGTTCATGATGACTTTGCCACGCCAAACTGCTCCTTCGTCATGATAATCCTTAGGTGAATAAGGCGGCGACTCTGGTTCATCATCCTTCAAAAGCTGATCAATCTCTGCATCGGCCTGAGCCGTTCCAGTCGGTAATGGCTGTCGAATATGGGTTGCCACCTCTGGAAACACTTGCTCATGCTCAGTGCCGCCAGGAGAGTGAGCCCTAGGTGGGAAGTGCTGGTCGTGAGAGATGCCGTCGGCGGGTTTGCTGTCAGATGCTTGTTGGTTACCAGATTTCCGAGTGTTATCGCCATCGCCGGGCTGCTGAGGACCTGGGCTTTGACTGCCATCCGCATCGACTAAGCTTCGACGGGGAGCAGCAGAGAACACGGGCTCACTGGACACATTCTGATTATCGTCCTCAACCAGTTCCTCGCCTTTATGGGTCCGCCTGATCCTTGGCCCTTGCTCTTGCACGATAATATGCTGCCTTTCGGCTTCGCGCTTGATCTCGGCATCCTTCTGTTGCAATTCTTCACTTGCCATGTCTTGGGAGCTCATCTTAGAGAGGGTATCTGGGCGTAAACTACCTACGAGCAGACGATCCCGTAGAGAAGGGTTCTTCTTTACGTTGAACAAGATCGTCCGCAATTGTGCTTTATACTGCTCTGTGGTCTCTCCAGATCCTCCGCAGAAATTCTCATACATTGCATTCTCGATTGAGAGAGCGAGTTGCCGTGCGACCTCCTCCGCTGACTTCCCATCCGACAAGCTGAAGGAACCTCGCCTTCGGGCTTCAGAGACCTGATCTACAAATAACCTGACCAGAGCACTGGCCGCACTTTTCCGAGCAGGATTAGAGAGTTCTTCCACAGCCTTTACGCCCTCAACCACTGCCGTTTCTGCGGTAGAGTTCTGACGTGAAGGCTGCTCCTTAGCTTCATCCTTTACTTGGGTTGATTCCACGCCAGACATCACAGTATCTGCCGGGGGAGAGACCTTCTGCTGTTTCGATTTCGGTGTCTGAAACATGAGGTGATTAGTTATCAGAGTAGCTTGTTCGAAGGTGTCATCCAGAGCACTTACAGGTTCAGGCGTAGACACATCCTGATGCTCATCAAACTTGCGTTTTTGAGCACTTGCCGATCGAGCATCGGGGGCGACACCATTTTGCTCGGTGGTAGGTGTAACAGATGGTGGTGCTGGGGAAGCCGGAAGAGCCTCAGGAGCTGGAGGAGCAGGCGCGGCGGCGGGTGCAGGAACAGGAGCAGGAGTAGGGGCAGGAGCTGGGGTTGACGAAGCTGCTGTACGTGCTGGTGTGCTCGCCTCGGTTTTAGGCTCAGGTTTAGGCTCAGGCTTGGGCTCGCTGGGTCTGCCTCTTCTGCCTCCCTTTTTACCCTTTCTGCGACGCGATGCTTTCTTTTCCTCAGCTTCTTTGCGCCTTTTTTCAGCTGCCTCCTCCCAAGGCTTTTCACCACGGGCAATCTTATCTAAGAGAACTTTATGATTTTCAGGCTTGCACATCTCACAAAAGTACTCGTCAGGCTCCTCGCCCTTCGCGAATGTGAGGCCCATGCAGTCATTATGTTGCCACGCTGAACAGCGATCGCAGCAAATCATATCACGTTCAACGTCTTCCTCCTCTTCATATTCTCCGCATATACATCGGATAATCTCTTCTTCTTCACTGGGGGCAGGTGTTGGCTCGACGGAGGGCTTCGGCGGTTTTTCCTTTGGCTGCGCTTTCGACTTGGGTTTCTTCGCAGGTGTTTCGGGGATAAGATCGAGGTTCTTGTGCTGACCCTTGGTCGAGCGACCTGATCGTCGCGGTTCTTCTGACGTTGCAGTTAGCTGGCTATTCAGACTGAGTTGGGGATCTGCTTTCAACCGTCACTCCACTCCTATGTGGACTGACATACTGTCCGCGAGATTGTGGTTACTATGAGCTTACCGGCCATGGTGGGGATATATAATGATAAGATGCAAAAGCTTTCTACGGTGCGATGTAGAGTAACCTGGGACAAGCGCCACCCAAATCTCGTTCTACGGCATCAGAGGGTTCAAGTAATACACAGGAGAAGACGCTGGACAGTGGCACTGCTGCTTGGTCCACACAGGTATTACTTTATCTTCTCAAATTTGTTTCCACAAAGATTTATTTAAGACACAACGCGTAGCGACAGTACTTCAACACCGGGTTTCGGTGTTCTGACTCTGATGAATTCCTCTTTCGCGCGCAGCGTGAATGCTTGGCGTGAGCGGGGTCGCGTGAGCGATGTCTTGATGCTGGCTGAGATTTATAGATATGGCCTGCAATCTGACGATACCAAATTGGAAACCGAGCGACTGCGTACCAACTTCTGATGAGTTTGGCGACAGTTCAGTTGTCAGAGACGCGATGGGGAGATGAGGAGATGAAGTTGGAAGAAGAGGAATGAGATGAAGACGGAGTCGCGGTCGCCGGCTGACTCAGCAAACACGTGAATGACTGGATGCGGCTCGGCGGGGAGGTCTTGGCACGACGCCAAACAGGGTTCCTCTTCATCGCGTTTATTCATTGAAAGCTTCTCCGTATCCCCACATAGATTGCGCATTTTCCTGATCGTCCTGCATCTAACACTAGTCTAACTCAGCTACGATATTCTTGAATACTTTATCACAACCAGTGACGGCTCTCTTGATAAAAACAGAAAACAGTCGAACATTAATTAAAAAAAAAGGGGGTTTTATCTTCTTTACGATGGCGGATGTTCGATCATTACTTCGAAACGAACTGGCTTCTCGCAAGGGCTCAAATCAGACCGGAAGAGCAGCAACGACGACAACAAATCGTGTTACCAAGAAGCGCAAGGTAGATCCTGAAGATGACTTGACGCGCAAGAAGATGAGACACGCGATCGCAAACGCAGATCCGCAGTCGGCGAATATTCGTACCGTACAGCCACCGAGTGCCCAGTCCCTTGATGAAGACATTGAACTCCCAGAACGAGATACTGCTGGCCCGGAACCCCCATCAGAAGAAGACGCCGAGCAGCTTTCCGCTCAACCTAGCGCACAACCATCTGAGGCAGCAGTGGCATCGAATAGCACGACTGAGCAACCCAAGACTATTGATGAAGACGAATGGGCTGCTTTTGAGCGTGAAGTAGCGGCGCCAACCCGGGCACCACAAGCGCCTGCTGCAGTCGCCGCACAGGCGACGATATCAGCGGCACCTGTTTCCGCCGAGCAGCTGGCAGCACAACAAGAGAAAGAAAATGACACAATAGCCCGTGGTCGGGAGGCCGAGGCCGAAGGTGAACGAGAAGATGCAGCCCGCTTCTTAGAAGACGAGTTTGATGAGATGGAACAACTAGAGGAGCGGGTTAGACGGCTGAAGCACAAACGTGAGGAGCTAAGAAATATGAGGGCCACAGGGGCTAAAGATGTTGATTTGATGGATGGTCCAGCTTCGGCCGCCGCAGTGTCAGACCATGAAAAGAGCCAGGAAGATGAAGAAAATGACGATGACGACGACGACGACGATGATGACTGGGATAACTGGAGATTCAGGTAACAGACCGGAAAAGAGTCAAACTGGGAAAACGGAGAAGGTGTCATTTCTTACAAAGGGAGGTCTCGAACTTTTCATAATTACATTGATACCCCATGATCTATACGAAGTCGCACAAAAGTGTTCTCTAATGTGTCAACATACATGACTGGATTCCAAGGCAGGCGCGTTGGCTATTCTGTATCTATTAGGTATGCGTATTTGTTGTCACCTCCTGTGGCCAACATCGAACCAATAATTTTGTCGGGAGATTTGGAAGAAAATGCATTGGTCCCATAGCCGTGACGGTTCGGCGGGCTGCTGTTGGCCAGACAATAGCAATTGAATGGATTTGTACTATTACAGGATCATTACTACCTATGGATCACTTCCCTTCCTGGGCTTCCCCTTCCTTTGAAGAATCTCGCTCGACCTCTATATGGCTTCGTAATCCCGCCTTCCCTATCTTGAGGGCTTCTTCAATCTCTGCCTCTCCTTCTCTTAGAAGGTTCCTCCCACGGGCAAGGTCACCCCGCTGCTTCCGCTTGTCCTCTTGCACTTGCTTCTCACGTTCTGCCAAAGCCTTCTCACGCTTTTCGCGCTCCATTCTCTTACGCTCTGCCTCTTCTCGTTGTTCCGCAGTCATATGCTCGCCCTGCTCCGGCGCCGGGGGCAAAGTAGATATATAGGTTTCAATAAGGGGATTGCGAACCTTCGCAGGGAGGGAGATGTATCTGATATCAGTAATGATCGTTGGAGGGAGAGCTTCCAGGCTCGACGAGCGATTGAAATCATGCACAGGGACAGACTTCAGTAGGGCAGAGAGGTCGGACTTGCGAGTGCTTTCCGGCTGTTTTAACCGTGACATCAAGTCGCGATAGAATTTCTCTCGATCCTTATCGGACAGTTGAGAGTCTTTCATTTCGGGCTCTTTGCGATACTTGCGTTTGAATTCTGGCCAGTATAGCTTGGGAGTAGCGTGTGTTTCAAGGAAAGCTAGATATTTGATGCGCGGGTCCTTTTTCTCTTGTTTCTCTTTCTGCTCCTTAAGCACTTGGATCCGATCACGGCTCCAATGAGACCAAACATCCCGACGCGACCTCATATTCGGAAGCGCGGTGTAACGAGAGTCCTCTATAATCCGGCCTTCTTCAATAATCTTCTCCCACGTTGCATACGGGTTAATGTGATAATCATCAAGAAGGTCACGGAACAGAGCAATTGCGTCTTCCTCTGTGAGTGGTAGTCCCTCAGCACCTTCTTCCCAGCCATCTTCGCCTGGTTCACCATATTCGCCGGGATCAAGGCCATATTCTTCGCCCATAGCGGCGAGTTGATACTCAATATCTTCTTCCGTGAACTCCAAAGGTTGTTGTTGACCATCATCGCCCTCCATCTTCGGCCGTTTGGAAGGATGATCCTCATCTTCGCCTCCGCTATCTGTGACTTCGACTTCCTCATATTCGTCGCTCTCTTCGCCCGCATATGCAGCAGGGGCAATTCCCTTCTGCTCATGATGCTGTCCACTAGATGGTTCGGTTTCTCTTTCAAGTACGGAACTCTCGTCATCGATGTCTTCACCGCGTTCCGCCTTCTCTTTTTTCTCTCTCTCTATACGGTCGTACTCCACGACTCCTTTCAATACCTCCGGGGGGATTTTCCAGAAACTTTCATTTGTTTCAGGGTTGTGGACAAATCTCCTTCCCAGTTTGGTTTTGACGAGTATCCATGGTGCACAGCTGGGTAGGGCATGTTTTGATTTCGGCCTATCTTCCAGCCTCTATTTCTGCGGTCGTGATAGCCTCTTCCCCCACGAAAGCCGCCCCGATGTTGAACATGTTGAGGTGTTGCTTGATTAGATGCGCCGAACCCAAATCCCTGAGGTGCATAAGGTGTCGAGGAAAATGGAGGTAAAGTATCTGGAGTAAGATAAGGAGCGTTGTGAGTGGTACCGGGTGCAGAAGGGGTCGATTGAGGTTGCGATGGAGCCGGAGACGCCTGTGGTCTAGTGTAGGTCGATTGTTTTGTTTGCGAGTTATAATAATACAAGTGGCCTGCGTCCGGTCAGACAAGAGAACTTCCATGACAAGAGCGATGTGACGCACCCGAAGGAGCTCTATGCTCGGTCCACCCTGGTGGTAGTGGAGGGGGAGGGGTATAGGTGGACTTGAGCATGATAATCGCGATGCACGGAGAATATAGGTGTGATCGATTGTTGACTTAAGAATTTCCCGATATTTATATCCATAGATGAATTGGTAAAACTATTATTGTAGCGGAAAGCGCGTGCAATTTTGCGGCAGTCGAGAGCTTCGCATAGAAACTAAAGGTAAAGGCGTGGGCCCGAGCTTGGCGAATGGCAAGCCGCTGGACGCGCAGGGCGAGTTGCCTGGTCACTGACTGTCACTTGGAGCTCACCCCAACCCACCCTACACAGCTTTACCATAGCCCATTCCTCATCACAACCTCCCTTTCTTTTTCCTCCGCCTTCGCTCATCTACAAAGGCTCCTTTTTTTCTAGTTGTCCCGCTTTTACGTCACATTCGATATGTCACGACGATACGATTCCAGGGTACGCTCATTCCGTAATCCTCTTAGCCCGGAAGCTCTAGCTAACCGATGACGCTGTTCGATAGACTACCATCTTCTCCCCCGAAGGTCGTCTTTACCAGGTCGAATATGCGCTCGAAGCAATTTCGCACGCCGGCACGGCTCTAGGAATTCTAGCCAAAGATGGAATCGTTCTTGCAGCGGAGAAGAAGGTGACAAGCAAGCTGTTAGAGCAGGATACTTCTGCGGAGAAACTTTACACTCTGAATGAGTACGGATGATATTTTTGCAGACATTTTATCGTGGCTGTCTCCAAAAGCTAATCTTCCGGGTAGTAACATGATCTGTGCCGTGGCAGGTATGACGGCCGATGCAAACATCCTAATCAATTACGCTCGACAAGCCGCCCAGCGTTATCTTCTTACCTACGACGAAGAAATCCCATGTGAGCAACTGGTCCGTCGACTGTGCGATCTGAAACAGGGATACACCCAGCATGGTGGTCTCCGTCCATTTGGTGTCTCGTTCATCTATGCCGGCTACGATCCTCTTCGGGAGTTCCAGTTGTACCAGAGCAACCCAAGTGGTAACTACGGTGGTTGGAAGGCCACTAGCGTGGGAGCAAACAACGCAAGCGCCCAGAGTCTGCTCAAACAAGATTACAAGGAAGACTGTGATTTGAAGGAGGCGTGTGCTATGGCCGTCAAGGTCCTGAGCAAGACTATGGACTCTACTAAGTTGAGCAGTGAGAAGAGTAAGTGGCGGCGCATGGAATTTTTACCTGGCCTCTATCCCACTACTGCCATCTAGCGAAATTTACTAAATCCTCTTTTCACAGTTGAATTTGCAACGGTGGGAAAGACTCAGGAAGGGAAGGTTTACCACCACCTGTGGAATGCCGATGAAATTAATGCTCTGCTGAAGCAGCATGGGCTGGCTAAAGTTGATGACGAACCTGAGGCAGGGGACATTAAATAAATCATGAAAGAATGCTTCTTGTTCAGTTACTAGATCAAGATAATCCCATGTTGTTCTCATTGAAAATTCCCTTTCAGTAATCTACCACAGTCCCGAGACTATCATCCTTCAAGCTATAAGTCCATGAAAGCACATGCCGCTGAAACATACCTTTAACTCGGAGAGGATGGGCATGGAAATACCAGTAGTTACCGCCGGATCTGAAGCGTAACTACTAGTAATGTTGTTCACTGGTGACGTGGCAGGCGGCGACGTCAATTTGCACAACAGACACCCGAGCTCTCATGTCTGCTCTCGTGTTCTTCATGCCAATTCGATCAAAATTGCTGCAGAGCTATCCGAATCAAGATAAATGGTCCACGTAGCTTCGAAGGTCCAGTTGCATCTGGCGCTTGGATGATGCTGAATGTACTCCGTACAGAGGGTGTTGGCGTGAAGTCCTCATATATAAGCGGTGTCCAGGGACTATCCATCTCCCACTTGCATTCTTACGGCAGGATTATGAAGGAAGGCATCATTATCATCATCTACAACAAATGTCATTGCGTCGGTTCGCCATGAGGTTTTGCGGGTATACGGCTTTTCCTATATATGGAAGTATTCCATAATATCCAGCATTTGAACACGCTCAGTGACAGTATTAGAAATCGATAGGAGTATACCAGCCCTTTCAAGCTGTAAGGGAACAAGGACTGATGATAGAAGTACTTCACCAGTGCTGTTCACCTTATTACCGATTCGAAAACGAGACAGAGGGCCGACTAAACCATGCTAACTGAATTCGGTTAGACTCACGTGAGTACATACAATGGACGCGGGGCTTCACATTCATACCAAACTACCCTGTTTCACTGGTATTGATATCCAGACACTGATCGCTAGTGGATGTGATGTCTATACTGGGTAATTTAGGAATATGGGATGTCTTCTCCTTCAATTTCTTTGCTCAATTCCTCTTGCACTTTTTGCAATTGCTTATATATGGGGCAACTTGCCTATCCTTATCGGCGAAGCGCTCACCAAGAATATAGGCGCTTATTGAGTGGAACTGATCGTTGAGGATACCACATAAGATGCAAGATTTGCGGGATTCGGGACACTTCATTGGGTCTCATATTCAATCGGCAATAGGTTCCCATCAAATCCAAACTTTTCCTCCAATCATCAGATGGGTCTGTTTTCATGTTGATGGAAACAACCCAGCATGATGACACAGCCAACGAGCCACATGAACAAAATGACCCATGATTGTGAGACAAGAAATCATTACACCGAAATTAGGTCTGAATTTAAAAGAAATCGCAAATAAGGGAATCTTAAAAATAATAAAAAAATCCAGCTCCAGTTCGCCAGCGCCATAGCCCCCTATTAATAAGAAACGGCGATTCAAGACAGTGCTTTTCGTCGGTCATCACGTTCTCTCTGAAGCTGGCGGATCTCCTTCTCAAGTTCCATTATGAGCTTTTGTGATCGATCCATGGAGGCCACAAGAGTGCTTCCCTCCCGTTTCCACCGGTTCAACCGTTCCATCTCGGCGCTTCGCCGTCGGTGTTTGGTCTCGATCTTCTCACAAAGACGGCATTGCGCCGACTCAAACTCGGTCATGTTAACAAGCCTCATGCCACATGTCTCGCCAGTACGGTACTCGTAATTGCAACGGTGAGCAAAATTGGTCCAACTCCAATCTCCACACGCATATCTCTTCTGGTTGTAAAAACACATGCCTATCAGATCAGTCAGAGAATGCTTGTCCGGGGTCACGATCAAACTCACTGGTACCTGGTGCAGATTCGCTGTTTCACCTTCTGCCTTATATTCTATTGGCTCGACCTGGTGGTCCTACCGCCCTCCGAATATTTGATAGGCTAGGCTTGAACAAAGCCTATTGACCTTTGATGGAGATTTTTAAAAGTTGAAACGCGTTATATCACGATCAAGACTTTGTGTCTTATGGATTTGCTTGAGGGGATATACTTTGAAACGATTATTGATCCAGATAACGTCGAGATGAAGGATCGTTGGTCCTATTTATGTTTTGTGAACAGTTTCTATGTTACTGCTCAGCCAATTCTTGTTACTATGCCCATTCATTGTCGATCAGTGCCTTTGGTGTGTGATGGCTTATCGTCCACAGCATTCTACAATCACATTCGCATCACTTCCCTTGAATGCTTCTTGCGGTTGGCTACAACAAGTTTGCCCAACAGTGGAGACACGAGATGTCCGCAACATTCCTTTTTGGGTTGATTGTAATCAGTCGGTGCTTCATGGATGCATACACCCTGCTGTCGTGGCGAAATCATCTATGCTGCCTCAAGTCGAACTTTCGAAAATCCCTCATCGCGAATCATTATTTCGCTGTCATAGCTTGGCTTGGACTGCCATTGCTGCCTTGGGTGCTCAATTGACCATCCCCGCTTCATCTATGCATATGTGTTTCGTATGAAGCCATCGTTCGAGAACCATATGCTTTCGCCCTTACCGAGTCAAAGTTTCTGCATGATCTGTCACTTTGCTGCCAGCTGTCATACCGTCTTACACAGGTGGCCTGTTCTACTTTCTTGTTTTTTTTTGTGTTTTTTTTTTCTAATTCCAGGGGCAACCTAGCTACCACACTCAGAGGGGGAAGATAATGAACAAAAAAGTAGAATCCCTTCTGTTTTGCAATATCATTATGGTTCATCAGAGACTATCCCCTACATGTCTATGTGAATATTCATTAACAATTCGTGACCAATTAGTTCAAACACCACATGCTTTTTGTTCGTGTGCTATGGTATCAGAATTTGGATATCTAATTTTTACTTAATGATGAAATGGATTTTGGTGAGACTCTCATTTCTCTTTTTTTTCTTTTTTTTTTCTTGGCCTGTTCGGTTATTGGTATGCTTCCAATGAGACTTGATATCCGCATCTGGTTGCAACCCTACCTGACTTTCTCCACTTCATTATTTTGTCTCCTAACCCCGTTTACAAGGATATTTATCTTTAGTGGCAATTGGTGTCTTGCATCCTCCGCATGTTCCCGTTTCGATTAATTGTTTCTGCAATTAGTGGCAACAGACGCGTCACTAGAAGATATCGATTGGCATCCATTGCGCCGTGAATCTCGGTCTTTGTCAACTACCCTTTCTTAAAGTGGTATGATGAAGTCAATTAGGAGACGATCATTTTTCAGCTGATCTTTCACGGCTGCAGACGAATAATCCCGCATTCGCCCCCGCTCAGGTGCAGGGTTTATTCTTCACTTACCTACCTTACTCGGTGGAGATGATAGGATAGGGTATGACCACTGTATCTGCCATGGCAGATACAGACCGTGGTACGGCACACCTCCTGTTGAACCCATGCAGCTGTAATAGAATTCGGAGACTGACGTGGCGCCCCATGTCTGGTTCAAACACTCGAGTTTTCATCTCTTGAGGCTGATGGATGAAGCTCGAGGCGAAAGTTTGGTCATACCGTCGTTCATTGAGTGATGGGCGAAACGGTTTCGATGTGTGCCTTCTGGTATTGGAAAAAGAATAAGCAAAACGCTTTGGGCCTCCGCTTTTCCGAGCATCCTAGGTTGTGTTTCCAAACTGTGCCTTCGCACAGCTGTCTACTCGCTACCACGCAGGATTGCCGGCTCATCCGAATTGAGTGCTAGGACAATGAGCCGTCGAACAGCGGAACCATGGAAAGGGGTTGATGCCAACTCAGCGGCGCCGGTGCTAGCTTACTACCGTAACGAAGAAGCAACGTTAACGATTGACTGTACACCACCTACTGAAGTGACTGATTTTGGTTCTACAACATCATTTGCCACCCTCACACCTTGTCTCCCACCCGGTGCTATTTAGGAAATTACTAAACTATTCTTGGTCGTGGCGATTGACATTTAGAAGCAAGGGTCACGGAAACAGTGGTGATAAGTTCTGCCCAACCGACAAGAATTTCTGCTTCGACTCAGAGACCGCCAGCTTGGTCCATCCCGCGGGCTTACTAGTTTCTATATTAACGAGGCGTAGTTCATTAACTCTGACGACGTTGAAATTGAATATCTGACCCCCACATGCACGGTCCACTGTGCTGGGTTCTTCAGTCCCGTGATCGTAATGTTACGCCGGAATCCTCTGCACATCTACGCATATGTGCTTTGTGAGTAACAAATGGAAAGACTTAGGCTTGCTCTCAAAGTTTTAAGGTGAGAGGGCCTTCAATACTGTGTGACCCGTACGCGTTCGGATTGGCCCATGGCTAAAAATATGCTAAATTTCGGCAACGAGTTGTATCCAATAGAGTCCGACGGCAGGCCAAGGAATATATGCAACTAATAAGTAACCCTGTCGAGTACATCCCTAGCTTCGGGGATCTTGAATACGGGTTCCACTGACCCGCACACAGGAGACTCAGGGCGGCTCCTCGCATCTGCAAGCTGACAGCTGCCAGCAGTCCTTCTACGCAATTCATGTTCCAGGATTTTAGCTCTGCATATTCCCATATCACCCTGCTTGATACGCGGGGCCTGGCCGAACTAGATATCGGAATTCGACAGGGGTTTGGTACGATTGCTCTTGGGGATAGCACCGGAGTTGGGCTTGTGGGCACAGTGGCCCGACCGCTGACGCCAGTGTGATCGCCATCGAATCTGCACTGTGTTCCACTAGATTCTTATACGTAGTCGAATCAACAAACGCAAGCCTTAACATTTCCGCCAAAGTGCGGCCGACACGATCTTGGAGCCTACACTAGGGCCGCTGGCAAAGTGTGGCTCTATATGCATAGTCACTGTGCCATCACAATGAGGCAGCTACGCCTCAACTGAGGTCATTGACGTGGCAGATGTAGGTCTATCTGATGCCAATTAGCCAGGGGTTTCCATGATTTTTGGTTGCCTTACTTCTCCCTCAAGGTGTTGCGGTCTTCGGTCTAAGGGAATCCTCAGGCAGCTATGCAGCCAGCCTAACCTTTTCCAAGGATGCGAAAGTACTACTAGTAGTAGCATCGCAGTCGATGGGCACTCTTCTCTGTCCCTCCTTTGGAAAAAAGAATCACGCCTGTGCTGCTCCTACGTGTATGTACGAGAGGACAAAGCGCGAGAGTTTGGTGAACACCTCTTTGACTTCAGCATATTGCCCGTTTGGCCAGATAACGTCCTCAAAGCATCAATTCGTCCTGTGGAATAACCCCCCATACGCCAAAAACTCAAGTCCGTGTACTAGTAGTTACCCTGTGGTGCAGTCATCATCACGTGGTAAAGCAATGCCCTGGATGTACATACTGTAGACCAATGACGTCAATATGATCAATGGAATAAAGTACTGCAAGGTCGCCCACCGAAGTGCAAGTCCAGATTCTTTCTTCAACACAATCTCTCTATTTCGAAGAACTTCGTTGCTGTCAGATAAATCAAGTAATTCTCATCTATACTTGAGTACATCACCGTGGTTGCTAATATTACCTTAGGAAACACAACTTCATCTTCATACCTATCACCAATCTATCAAACTTGGACCCTCGATTCTCCTATCTTCAGCAACACATTTCATCCATTCGCTGCCATAACCATGTCAATGCTGAAGCAACTCACCTCAATCACTGCCCGGCTGGGCCAGCCCATCAAAACCGCCAACCTCCGCGCCCAACAACCACTTATCCAGCCAATTAAGCAAAACAGGCGAACCTTCCACGCCTCTTCAAGACCTCAAACAACTCGCCAGCAAAAGGAGGAAGAAAGTAAATTCCACGATCGGAACATCCTCGACCCTCAGCGCAATGAAGGCACCCAAACGGGTACGGATAATGAAGTCGCTAGCCACCCGTCAGCCTATGACCCAAACACGACGAGGCCTGAGAGCGAGGTCCAAGAGTCCGAGAAGGAGAGCCAGCAGCAGGGTAAAGTCAGCAACCCGCTGAATGTTAGCCCGGGGAATACTGAAGTGAGTGGCACACGACCAACGCAGGAGGGGCTTCCGGATCGTAACGCAGAGAAAGAGGCGACGAGTGGAAGGGGAGCGGCGCGGAAGAATAGAGAGGTCAACAAGCCGAAGAATTAGACAAGGGCTGTACGATAGATATTTGGTCATAGTATCTGAATACCCCGTGTTTAGCACATACTGGAGTTAACATAAATTTTGTTTTATACAAGACTACACGGCTCAGTCCAAAGTCTGTGAAAACCAGTAAGCACTATCATTATTATTTATGAGATATAATCTTAGACATTTATGGAAAATATACATCTTGTTGACTCAGTTCTGTGACTCAGCTCCATATTTGATAATGTCACTACCACCCAGGACCCAAACCTTCTCATTGCCGGCAGGAACATCCCCTTCCAAAGCCTTGAGCCCTGCATTGACTGCGGCTCGTGCAATGACATCCGCTTCCTGGGCCCATCCATTCTTCAGTCCAGAGTGTATTTTCCCGGCAAATCCAGCAATACAGCGGATCGCAGCTTCCATGGGCCGGCTCTCGTCTCTCTGCCCGGCGATGAGACCGGGACGCAGAATCACGGTTCTCTCAAATCCGAGCGCCTTCACGTCTTCTTCAATTTCAGCCTTCATTCGGGGATACGCGAAGTATGCATTCTTATCAGCTCCGGCGGATGAGATCAGAACGTAAACCTTTGTGCCAGCATCGCGTGCTGCGCGTGCCATTTCAACGTTCAGGCCATGTTCGATTTTATATTGGTTCTCGAAACCGCCCGCGCTTGCACGTGTAGTGGCAAACGAGGAAAAGAAGATGGATGGGGTTGGAGTGAGCGAGGAGAGCTCGCTGGCCCAGCGCGACGTATCGTCAGATACGATTGTGGTCAGTTTGGTCTGGGCGGCAGATGCGGCTTGTGGAGTGCGACGGGAAATTGTGTCCACGCGAGCGACAGAGGGATGTGCGAGAAGACTGTTGAGGATAAAACCCCCCTTTAAGACCCGACAATAAGAAGGAGTTGACAGTTAGCCACGACGCACTACTCGTGTCCGGTAGACTAGATATAACTTGTAACAATCTACATAGGGGGAAGATAATGTGTCTTGTTGCGATAAGTATAGTCATATGAAGCACTTACCACCATTCCGGTACATCCAATCAAGGCTGCGTTGGCCATCTTTATAAATCTGTAGCAATTGTGATTGTAGTGTAGAATGAGGCTAGTCAGATGAAATCATCCGCAGGAAGCAGAAGATGACGTCGGGCTGATTAGTGAACGAACTACTGATTATCAATTATTAATTGGCCTAGACTCAAATAGGATGTGTATGCCTCAGGCCTTCGAGAAATTGGAGAATTTTCCTGTGATCGTGAATAATGCGGAGAAGTGCCGGAAGTGGCGAGTTCTGCCTCCACTTACCGCTGGCGATGCCGATAAAAAATCTAATCGATAAGAGAGAATGAGAGAATCACGCAATTCACGCTAACCGCAATAGGCAACGGGGCCCTGGGGATTTCTATAGTAGACGGCGCATGGGGGGACTCTTTTTTACCCCATTGCCTCCCCCTCTGTGATTCATTCTTTTCTTTTCTTTTCCCGTCTTCATACTCGTTTGTTTGGCCTGTATCTAGACAGGAACTTTTGTCGGGATGGCTTCTTCCTCCCCAGTCTTGTCGGCTCTTGAGGGTCCGACCTATGTGACTTCGCAGACGCTTATCCAACAAGTGGCGTATGTCCTGAGTGATAAGATCTTCTCTTATTCTCCAGAGTCCTTCGACCTCGATGCTGCTCTTAAGCAATGGGCCTCCAGCCAAGAATCCAATGCCAATGGCGAAACTCCTGCCATCCAAGCAATGGAAACTCGTCAGGGTGCTGGTAACATCGCCCTTGGCTACCTCTTTTCTCAAGACTTCGACTTGAAGAAGCGCCATGTTCCCCAGGGCATTGTCGCCTCTTCTGCCACCCTTCCTTATATGCGCTCGGCCTTGGAGCAACTCTCTCTGTTGTACTCAGTTGCCAGCCCTGTTGCCGCCCATGTTGCTGCTGTCGACTATGCCGGAGAGGAGGGCTTGGTCTCTGACTATGCATCCGCCCTTTCTCTTGCTGAAGAGCTTGGATTGGGTCTCGTTTCTAGCGCCTCTGTTCACGAGTCGCAGCACATGGCGCTGCTTACGACTTTACTCGCGTCGGTCTTGCCTTCTGTTCACATTTACGATGGTGTTCGCGTTGGACGCGAAACCACCCGAGTCATCGACGTTTTGAGCCAGGCAGGTCTTTCTCGCACCTATGAAGCTGTCCGCAAGACCTTGGAAGATTCCCGCAGCCGTCACCTTGACACTCAGGGAAAGCTACTGGAGTTGCTCCAGTCCCTTAACGGTGAACTCGGCACGGACTATGGTCTCTTCGAGTACCACGGCCATGCGGAGCCGGTCTCTGTTCTGGTTGCTTTTGGTACCGTTGAGGCATCTCTTACTGCTCAGATTGCCCGCTCTCTCGCTAAGGATGGCGTTCGTGTTGGTGTTATCAACGTTCGTGTTTACCGTCCATTTGTGGAAGAGGAGTTTCTCCGTGTCCTCCCCCAGTCTGTAAAGACTGTGGGTGTCCTAGGCCAGGTTGTCAACGAACAAGCTGTTCAAGAGCAGGGCATCCGGTCTGCTCTATATGAAGATGTCTTGGCAGCCTTGACTTTTGCTACTGGCCGTGAGATCGTCCCTACCTGTGTGGACATCAAGTATGCCCGCTCCCAGCGCTGGGACTTGATCAACACCGCAGCTGCATTCCAGCTTATCTCCGAGAAACCTATCGTTCAGACTGATGGCCAGACTGTGCCACTTCAGTTGCTCGACCCCTCTGCAGTCCAAGAATATATCTTCTGGGATGTCGACACCTCTGCCTGCGATAATGCTGCTGCCTTGCTCTCCCAGGCCCTTGCAGCCGATTCAGCAAGCAACGTGACCACCAACAAGACTCACGACAACCTTGTCCAGGGAGGTGCAGTACGCATTGATATCCGCAAGAGCGCCAAAACTCTGGAAGCTCCCTATGCTATCACTGCCGCCAACACCGCATATGTTGGAGATGTCAAGCTTCTTGCAGACATCGACATCGCTGCCTCTATTCAGAACAACGGTAACCTCATCATCAACGCTCCTGGCGTGAAGGATGAGGATCTGGAGAAGAAGCTTCCTGTTGCCTTCAAGCAGCAGGTTGCGGAGCGTGGAATCTCTCTCTACATCGTGGACCCCTCCGTAACCGGCGACGAGTCGCTCAACTCTGCTGTTCTCCAGACTGCTTTCCTGCGAGTGGCCCTTCCTTCGTTGGAGGTGGTCGGCATCAAGAAGCTCGGATCGATCACTGGTAATGTTGAATCTCTGGAGAATATCAGCAAGGACCTTGATAAACTGCTTCGCCAAATTGAGATCCCCGAGGCCTGGAAGACGCCCGAGGAAGGCTTCGAGGCTCCTCAGCTTCCCAAGGACATCTCTCCCAACAGCTTTGTGTCATTCGATAAGGAGGACTCTGAGCCCGCTTCTCTGCTTAAGGACTGGCAGACTGCCGCAAAGGGCTTGGCTTTCAAGGAGGCCTACGGAACCAAGGCTGCTCTCCGACCTGACACTGCTGCCAAGACCTTTACTGTCCATGTCAAGGAGAACAGACGCCTGACACCTGTCACCTATGACCGGAATATCTTCCACATCGAGTTCGACTTGGGTGATTCCGGTCTTACGTATGACATCGGTGAGGCTCTTGGTGTTCACGCTGAGAATGATGTGAAGGAGGTCTCTGACTTCATCGCATTCTATGGTCTGAACGCCGACGATATCGTCGAGGTGCCTAGCCGCGAGGACCCTGCCGTGTTGGAGAACCGCACGGTGTTCCAGGCTCTCACACAAAATGTTGATATCTTCGGTCGCCCGCCCAAGCGGTTCTACGAGGCTCTTGCTGAATTCGCAACGGATGAGAAGGAAAAGACCGACCTTCTTACCCTGGGTGGACCCGAGGGGGCTGTCGAATTCAAGCGTCGCTCCGAGGTTGATACCGTCACTTTTGCTGACATTCTGCTTGAATACCCCTCTGCTCACCCTGAATTCCATGACTTGATCCGTATTGTCGGCCCCCTTAAGCGTCGTGAATACTCTATCGCCTCCTGCCAGAAGGTGACTCCCAACTCGGTGGCGCTCATGATCGTCGCCGTCAACTGGGTGGCTCCTAACGGCCGTGACCGATTTGGTCTGGCCACCCGCTACCTCAGCAGCCTTCAACCTGGCTCCCCCATCACCGTTAGTGTGAAATCCAGTGTGATGAAGTTGCCGCCTAAGTCCACCCAGCCTATTATCATGGCAGGTCTTGGTACAGGTCTTGCTCCTTTCCGTGCCTTCGTGCAGCACCGTGCACTTGAGAAGGCCCAGGGCAAGGAGATTGGTGCCGTTCTGTTGTACATGGGCTCTCGTCACCAGCGCGAAGAGTACTGCTACGGTGAGGAGTGGGAGGCCTACCAAGAGGCGGGTGTCATCACCCTCCTTGGCCGTGCCTTCTCCCGTGACCAGCCCGAGAAGATCTATATCCAGGATCGCATGCGCCAGACTTTGCCTGAGATCGTTGATGCTTACATTCGTGAGGAGGGATCTTTCTACCTGTGCGGTCCCACATGGCCAGTTCCCGATGTGACCGCTGTGCTGGAAGAAGCAATTGCCATCGAGGCCAAGGCAAACGGCAAGAAGGTTGATACTAGAAGGGAGATCGAGAAACTCAAGGATGAGGAGAGATACGTTCTTGAGGTGTACTAGGGGATTTGATGAAAAAGATTTTGCTGCTATGTTGATTTTCTTTTTTGAGTTTCTCTGTGTATGAAGTGGACATGAAGTTGATGACCATCCTGTTTTGGTTTAGCGCTTGTTAGCCTCAAAACACCTGATCTATAGAAATAGACTTACTTACCTTCTGCCTCATTCACGTTCCCTGAATCAAAGCATAACTGGGCAAGACATACTTCGTGTAGCTTCCTTCGTATAGCTATGATCTTAGCTGCTATACAGCGCCCGAGACGTAGATCTTGATTCTGGTAGTACTATAAATCTGCTAGTCGATCTGTCTTTCCGGCCCGAGCCATGTGGTTCTGGGCGCCACAAGTAAATCCCCACTTGCCAAGGGTGTCCCCTTGGGGTGACATTCGCTACCAACTTACTGAGGATGCTCGCAACCTATAGCGACCGGACGTCCCTTAGCCGCATAAATGTGCTAGCATTAGTGATATTGTATTAGGATTGTATTGGATTATCACTTTAGAACCTGTAGATATGGTATGCAGGAACCCAGAATCTGTTTGTACTACATTTCTACCACCGCACTGAACACTGAACTTGGTGTACACACATACCCTTTCGAATGATATATTTGGTATCCTTTGGGTATCTTCTATATAGTGGATTGTAGTGTAGGTCTCTTTATGTTTTCCAAAAACACCGCCTCATTTATGTAAAATCCAGGGTCCTGGCCTCTCAACAAACGACATTCGTGAATGTATCATGAAAAGACACGCACGTAATTTTTGTAGAAAAATCAAATTAGAAAATGTTAACCTCTCAAGCCCGACCGAGAGCCCCCAGTTTCGTCTTCCCATAGGCTCCCCCCTTTTCTTTCCTCAATTCCAGTGCTCTCCGGTAAGGCGGAGCTGTAGGTGGCTGGACAGGATCTAAGCTTACATGGTCCGGAGGAAGAGTGTAGGATGCATCGGAATCCCAGGAAGAGAGGTCGCCGCAGGCGATGAAAGGAGGAATCCACCTGTTTTCGACGGCGAATTTTTCAGTCACAGGCTTTTGAGAGAGGGGTTCTTGTGTAGAAGGGCTATCGGAGTCGGCATGCAGCATGCGGACCTGGTTCTCCTTGTGAGGTTCGGCTGAAGAAACGGTCTTTGTAGTCGTGAGTTCAGCTCCGGGCTTGGCTTCAGAGTCAACATCCATCACCTCTACACCGACATTACCATCGGCGGACACCGTATGTGCCACTGCTGCGCCGCCGAATAGGGGATTCTTGAGGGCATCCATGCCCATGGAGCCACCGTGGATGGACGGTGGAATGAAGCCCTCGCAAACTACGAACGCTTCCAGACTGCTTGCTCGACTGCTTCTCGGCTTTGCGACGCTGACCTTCTCGAAGACGGTACGAAGCTGTGCATAGATAAGGTCGACATCACGGCCACGGAAGATCTTGGCCACGAACTTGCCTCCGGGGCGGAGAACACCGAGAGCGAGATTCAGGGCGGCATACAGCAGCTGGGACTGAATGTAGATGTCTAGATCATGCAGACCAGTGACGTCAGGGGCACCATCGGAGATAACAAGATCGACAGGATGCGGCTGGCGGAGAGAAGAGGGGGAAGATGTGGTGGAATCGTAAGCCTCCGGGTCCAAGGCGCGGAGAAGAAGAGGGATCGTGGACGGGTGTGTAATATCTGCCTTGAGGGTTGTAATGCCTTCCAGCGGCGCCATCGGCTGCAGATCAATCGAGACGATCTTGACATTCTTCCTAGGTTTCAATTCCTTCATATCCGCATCTCCAACGTCGTTGTCCGTCGCATCGCCGTTCGCACTCGCCAGCGCGGCCGCTTCCTTGCTTTTCTTCTCCACCCACGCCCTACGTCCGAAGCTCTCGCCCTTAATCAACACCCGACTCAAAACTTGACTCCAACTACCCGGCGCGGCGCAAAGATCCACAACTCGGGTGACTTTCTCCGGGTTCTCGTGCTCGAATAAATCAAATTGTTCATCGATCTGGATTAGCTTGAACGCTGAGCGCGCACGCCAATTTTGTTCCTTGGCCAGTCGGTAGTACGCATCGCGCTTGTCCTTGGAGGATTTACCCATCTTCGCGGTGTCTGTGCGACGGCTGAAACTATGCCAATGGGTAGGTAAAGAAGAGTGATTTTCAATATTTCTCCGTGGGGCAGAGGCGGGCGGCCGATAAGATTGACTCCAAGGCGGCGAGTCGAGGGCTTTTTTTCTGCCGCTCTTTTTCCCTTCTCGGCGCCGAAAAATAATTCTTCAATCAGCCAGAAACAACATATATCCTCACAATTGCTTTCAGGTCCTCGTCATGGGTCAGAAACGGCAGCGGGATCAAAAGGGTCCGGGATCCTTTGCGAAGAAAAGGAAGAAGAGCGCAAAGCCTAGCAATGCGACCGAGGAAGAGAGCGACTGGGATGGCATTGTCGGAATGGATGAGCTCAACTGGAAGGAGGTAGCTCTGCCGGATCGTCTGGAAGATGCTGGTGGCTTTTTTGGATTGGAGGAAATTGAGGGGGTTGATATCATACGCTCCGAAGGCAATGGTGAGATTAAATTCAAGGTATGTTCTTTGCGCCGCGGTTTTGAGTGATCTCTAGTGACACCCATTAGGCAAAGACTGGAAAACCGAAAAAGTCAATCTTGAAGAAGAAAGAGCCGGAGGAAGAGAATGTCCAGTCCGATGATGAATGGGAAGGTTTCGGCGACGACGATCAGGCTGCGTCGCAGGACGAACCGAAGGAGACCCAAGACGAACCCAACGAGTCCGATAAGAAGGCGAAGGCGAAAGAGAGCAAAAATGCGAAGAAGGAGAAGAAAAAGGGAAAGGATGTGAAGAAAGAGCAGAAAACAAAAGCTGCTGAAAGTAAGGAAGACAAGAGCATTACATCCGGACTCTCGTTTGCAGCCCTTCAGGATGAGGAAGAAGACGACGGTGCGGATGTCTCTGCGTGGGAGTCCCTTGGGCTCTCTCCCGAAATCCTCACTGGTATCTCGAAGATGAAGTTCACCACGCCAACGTCTGTTCAAAAGGCCTGCATCCCTCCCATCTTGGATGGTCGCGATGTCATCGGAAAGGCTTCGACAGGTTCCGGAAAAACGCTGGCTTTCGGAATTCCCATTCTAGAGCACTATCTGGAAAAGCAGCGGAGTAAAACCCAGAAGGATTCAGAAAAAGCCGAGACCACCCCGATCGCGCTTGTTTTATCGCCCACTAGAGAGTTGGCGCATCAGCTCGCGAAACATATTGGAGAGGTGGTCAGCCATGCCCCGGGTGTCAATGCTAGGATTGCGCTTTTGACCGGTGGCTTGTCCTTGCAAAAACAACAGAGAGTTCTCACCAACGCTGATATCGTAATCGGTACACCTGGTCGAGTGTGGGAAGTTCTCAGCACTGGACAAGGTCTGATCCGCAAGATGCAGGCGATAAAGTTCCTTGTCATTGATGAGGCCGATAGGCTTCTGAGTGAAGGGCACTTCAAGGAAGCTCACGAGATATTGGCAGCTCTTGACCGCGTCGTGGAGGGAGATTTTCCGGATGAGTCAAGCGACGAATCTGACGATGAATCCGACCCCAGCTCTGAGAGACAGACCCTGGTCTTCTCAGCTACGTTCCACCGTGACCTTCAGCAGAAGCTGGCGGGCAAAGGCAAGTGGACAGGTGGTGATATCATGAGCCAAAAGGAGTCGATGGAGTACCTTCTTCAGAAGCTTAACTTCCGCGAGGAGAAGCCTAAATTCATTGATGTGAACCCCGTTTCGCAGATGGCAGAGAACCTTAAGGAGGGTATTGTGGAGTGCGCTGCTATGGAAAAGGTACGTTTGAAACCAAGCGCATCATCATGTATTCCGTCTAAAGATTTATGCAGGACCTCTTTCTTTACACACTTCTCCTCTATCACCCTAAACATCGCACTCTAGTCTTCACGAATTCCATATCCGCCGTCCGACGACTAACGCAACTCTTACAAACCCTTCAACTCCCCGCCCTTGCTCTTCACTCATCCATGGCCCAAAAGGCGCGACTTCGTTCCGTTGAGCGGTTCTCCTCTCCATCATCAGACCCTAGCTCCATTCTTGTCGCAACCGACGTTGCTGCGCGTGGACTCGATATCAAGGGTATTGACTTTGTAGTTCATTACCACGCCCCTCGCACTGCGGACGCATACGTCCACCGGTCGGGTCGTACCGCGCGTGCTGGGGCATCGGGAAAGAGCGTCATCATCTGCTCTCCGGACGAAATGGTCGGTGTGGTCCGACTCGCTGCAAAGGTGCATGCGAACATGGCCAACAGAAAGAAGGTCCCTCTGGAATCGTTAGAGTTAGACCGTCGAGTGGTATCTCGTGTCAAACAGCGAGTCACTTTAGCGGCTCGGATCGTTGACTCCAATATCGCCAAAGAGAAGGTTTCATCCGAGGACAACTGGCTCCGCACGGCTGCAGAAGATCTTGGCGTTGACTACGACAGCGAGGAGTTCGACAGTGCCGCAGCGCGCGGGCGCGGACGCGGACGTGGACGACAGGAACGGGAACGGAAGGCTGGAAGCACTTCCAAAGGTGAACTGGCGGGAATGCGCGCCGAACTGAAACAGTTACTCTCACAGAGAGTGAATGTGGGCGTGAGTGAGCGGTATCTGACCTCGGGACGAGTTGATATCGAGGCTCTACTGCGTGGAGAGGGTAATAATTCCTTCCTGGGACAAGTGGATGCGCTGGATTTCTGAATTGCGACATGTACATAAAGCATAAAGGACTATTGAATGTATACACTGCGCCAGCAGATTAAAGTCCCTGTGTAGGCTATAAGGTTAATTAATGCCCACGAACAACATGTATCTCTCACTGAAAATCGGATCAATTTGAATTTACTGCACGACAGGTAGGGGATTAAGTGAAGGAATATAACGGAAGAACCTCAATGGAACGTCTCACTTGCTCTTACCATCGTGGTTTCACTTGTTGTCCAAATTTGCATATGCACGTCAGTATTCTGTCCCCACATCTATAACAGATAGAAGTACCGCACGAACAGCTTATAACGATTAGCATCTATTGGGGAAGACAATGTCTGAAAGGGATTCTACTCACTACAGATGCTGGCAGCCTTCGTAGCGTTGCAGCATCCGGTGACACCCGGGACAATTCCTCCACTTTCCCTTCTTCGCCAACTTAAGAAATTCTCTGGTTCCGTCATCTCGAGCAGTAGGGGCATTAATGTCGCACCGCCCTTGGTGGGATGGCCCTTTGCAAGAGGTACAAGTGCTTTGCAGGCAATGGCTGCATACCCTGGAGCGATCGCGATGGGGAGAAGGAGCAAGATAGCGTGCGCAGCTCGCATTGGAACAATATGTTTTCTTAGTATCTCTATACTCCACCATTTTCTCTTTGAGACGTTTGGTCATGTCTTCCCCTAGGTATCCAGAGACGAGCCAGACTGGAATGACCTTGCGACAACATGTTGGGGGCAAGAAAATACCACTGCTATTGACGGAGCACTCGAACATTCTGGTGATGCAGGGGTGGCAATAACGGTGGGAACATGTGGTTCTCAAGGTAGCACTACGCTCAATGATTGACATACATGCTGTACACTGTTCAAAATACTTTTCCTTGTTTGTGGCCTTGGGTGCCGGGGGTTCTGTCGCTCCTGTGTTATGTTATCTCAGAGGTCTGACTTTTGCCAAGTTGGCATTGGGGTCGTAATTATCTCACGCGTTTCTGGAGAGGCTTCATCGGGGGCCGAGGACTTTGACTGGGTCTTGGAACGAGTGAGGAACTGCCAAATTCCCATCCTAACTTCTCGGAGGTTGTTTGTAGTAAATAGTTTTATCGAACTACAACAAGAACGAAACACCTTTCCACAGCTAGACCTCGTTGGGCTGCCATACTTTATATAATACAAGGCATGTGCGAGAGGGGAAATGGCTGTGTTGTTATGAGCTCATCTTCTCCTATTGTCACGCAAGGTATCTCTTTCGTATGGCAGGATTGAAGTTCCTGAATGACCTCCTATTGTCACATAAAAGTATCTCTGTCGTATGACGGGGTTGAAGTTCCTACATGACCAAACTTTGTGCAGATAATGACGTATGTACATACATCTCATCGACTACGTCCGTGAGACAGGTGGATTAGCTTTATACATGCTATAGATTTATACTACAGAGTGCTGGCAATATAGCGCACTGTCATTGAAGATGGCGATGTCGTCTGGAGAGTATGTAGTGTGACTTGTGTCATTTTAAGATGATGACCAGCTCAATGCTTATATGTTGTAAAATGCAAGGGAAGAAGCAAAAGAACCTGTCCACCAAAGTGCTTCTACTCCAATCATTGTAATGAAAAAGATTGTTTACCTTGCATCGATCTAGACTTTATTAGGGTTTGGGGAAAACTAGTGACTGCGCTGGATGCCGAAAGGGGAAGGGCACAGCCTTTTGGCCCACTCGCAATATTCTCTTCAGTGTCAACTTTCAAGGGGGCATTTAATCAAACCTGAAGCCTTCTAAGCTAATTAGAGTTAGTGCCAATCAAATTGCAACCAACGGAACTATGGATATGACTCGTTGATTTCCAGCCATTTAAACACCACCAGCGCGCCATGGAATTCTGCTGAATGAGAGGAATGGATACGGACCCTGGATGGAGCGAGAGTAAAACTGATCTTGGGATGCTGATCCATGTCAAGTGAAACAAACAATGGATTTAATGAGACAAGATTCGGTGATGAATTAATCCGGACCCGTTTGTACTGCCAGTGCAAATCATCATCCTCCAGGTCCTCGTCACAGAATGCTTCTTCAAAAAAAAACAAAAAAATGGGAATCGTTTGCTTTGGGACGCTGATGGACTCAGATCACGATGGAGAGCCCAATGCGAGTCATCATCTCTGCCTGCGTCACTGATATTGGTGGTAATCCACAACGACGCCATAATACTCTGGGGAGTGCGTTCTGCGAGGAGGTCATAAACCGAGAATTCCGTGCATCACTCCAACCTACTGGATACGACCACGTCCATATTCCCGCGGACTTCGACTCGGCCAAGCCGGTGAAGCGCTGGTTTATCTTCGACTTGAACGTTCGTGGCGAACTCGACGCGGACGAAGTTGCGCAGATCCCCCATCAAGTCTATCTGGCTAGCCGCCAGGGAGACAATTGGTAGGAGAGTCGCCACCCATTCCTTCCGGGCTACACGGCTTACTCTAGTGTTAGGATTTTCATTTCACGCCCGCAATGGATTGATTCCGCAAAAGCCCGAGCCAACTCATATACATGGGGCGGAAGACTGGAACAGAAACTAGTGGCTAGCATGAGGAATTCATTGCTCCAGGCGTGAATTACCTATCAAGGCCGCACTCAAGATTTTCCCCTTTCCGTCCCCGTTCGCATCTCTCTCGTCAAGGTGTCTCGGGTGGCGTTTGCCCCCTGCATGCTGGACACTCTTCATTATCCTTATCCTCCTGCCAGTCCCAGACGTCTTGGCGCTGGTTTGGCGGACACGTCACTTGGTTCCGCAGGGCCACAGCACATCTCGCGATGTATACAGTGGCTTCGTGGCCACAGACCCCGAACCGACCTCGCACGTTCTCACACATCTGCCTTTTGTCAGCGGGCGTTTCTTATACCCACGATATACGAATGTGCCTTCACCGTTTTGGACGTATCCAAAGGCTAGGACGATTACCCGTGAAGAAATGGCTGCTAACCGAAAGCCTAACCTTAAGTTAAAAAAAAATCCCATCAAGATAGTACACTGAGCCAAGATACCTCAAGCCAAAATGATCTCAAGCTTCACCCTCCCACAACTATTCACGAACTGTGCGGGTCCATATACATATACACTGTAAAAGTCTCATAGATGACGGCAGCGCGCATAGGAAATAGTAGACAAGAATATACCAGAGCGCCCTCGGTCCCTCAAAACGAGCAGACGCCCACTGCTATAAAGCACTGTCGTTTTCGGAAACTACAATGATGAAATTCGCTATACTGTTTGCTCCCCCCCATTAGCATCCTCGTTGGTAGGGAGACATCTGTAGATACCCAAAGAGCCGGTGGAGTTGGGAAGCAAACAACCGGATTGATTGGCGGCTAACTTAGGGCGTTTGCTGTCCACGTATAAGGAGCTTTGCCGACACGCCCGGCATTGATTTTCTTCACTAGATCAGCTGAAGAGGGGTTTATCAGTCTGCTCAGTGTCAAATGCTAATCGTCTATCTGGATTCCGGTTCCGATTGGGCCTGTGTGGCGTGTGTTTGACGAATGTATTTCTCTTAAGTCATAAATATCGTCCGTCCGGTTCACGCTTGGTTGCTATATTTATTTAATCATTGAATGAATTAATTCCATCCCTCAACTCCTCTCTGCCCACTTATCCTTATTCCTAAACACCACTTATACTTTATTGTCCCAAGGTCTCGCTCAGCGAACTCCTTCCGAATTATAATCCCTCCAAATATAGCCCCGTCAACCCAACAGTTCCTTACAGTGGACACACATTCAGAATAAGTTTCTTAAACCTTCAATCCTCCCCACTGGGCATCAACTAGTACAACTACTAGTGAAGCCAATTTTAAACTATAGGGCTCTGTATCAACGAACAGGACCCGGATCGACGCAACTGTGAACCGATGGGTTCCCGCTTCGGGCATCTATGAGAAGCTACCTGCCTGCAACCCTAAGTCGACGGCACTCAGTTACTGAAAACCTTATTCCAGTTAAACTACGACGCTCGGTAAATACTTTCCTTGCAGAGCTGGGAAAGCATGTGGTGGAATAGTGGGGTTGGATTGGTGTGGCTATGGTAAGGCTCGAAAGGAATTGCGTGTCCTAAGGAATTTTGGTTGTGTTTCGTATCTTTAGTTCTTCCTTCATTGTTAATGATGGGGCTATATTAAAGTTTTTAGCGTTTCATCGATTGCACCCATTCCAAATATCAACCATGCTATGATCACCATGAGTACGAGATGAAACTTGACAGTGCCAACGTCAGGTGCCTGTATACGATCAGAGGCGACAAGTGCAAAGTGGACCTTGTCAGGCCCAATCGGCGCCAGTATCAACCTCATGAATCGGATTCAGGACATCGAAAGTTCGAATTTCTCCCGTCCACGCACGATGCTGAAACCAGCTGAAACCTTCTTGAACCACACCACCGTCCTTAAATTCATCGATCCAAATCTTCCCCCGCAGTCGCACCTCACAATTGTCGAGCGAGAACGCAGCATAGTCATCACAGATGGCCGCACCAGCAAGCGACCCCGCTTTGACAGTCGTCTCCGGGTCCAGGAAGGCCGACATTAGCCAGCGAGCACGGTACGATCCCCGATTCAAAGACCCCAACCACCAGTGGGTTGGAAGACGGATAAAAGAACGCACCCAGGTCCACACCTCGCGCATTCCGGTAGAAGCTCTGTCTCTTATCGACATGGGGAACTTTCAGTCGGTCTCCGTGGAAGTGGTCCGAGGCGATCTCAGAAGTGCCCTTCCGCGCTGCAGTAACGATTCCCGGAACGAATCGTTGCAGGTGTGCTTTGCTGACGTCGGAAGACGATCTGATCCAGTGTGAATTGGCCCGGTTGACGGAGTCCTGGGGGGCAGCGATAACTGCTCGGCAGTAGCCAACTGCATCCTGCCAGGCGTGGCTGTCAGGAATGGTGATCTCCCCTAGTAAGCCTTGTAGTTCGAGGCAGAGAGTCCGTCGATATGTGGATGCCGCGTGCTGGGCGGACGGACTTAATGCCTTGTCGGGGCTTTCTTACCATCGACTGTCGAAATCTGGGGACTCGGTCTCTTTGAGTAGTTTATAGATGTCGGCTACCAGGGTTGCGTCCATCTCTGTAGAAACCTTTCCAGAGTGGTCGCCTATGTTGTCCTGGCATTCTCGGGTTGAGATTGGAAGGCCTTCAATATCGACTGGGTGTTTTTTTATTGAGGTTATAATCAGCACCCATGATAATATTATTAGCCATGGTACAAGAGACTGGGGATATCAGATTTGGCCTGTACTGGGGTGAAAGATGTATGTCGTGAACGACAGTGGATAGTGTGCAACGGATGGAATCCGGATACATAGTGGGGACAGGCAAGAGTTTATATACACAGTAATAGATGCTTCGTATCTATTGTTATAGTTATTAGCGTATAAATGAGATAGTAATAAGGTCAAAATCAAGTCTCGCCGAGAAAACAAGGTCTACGTAGATCCTTGCACTAACAGCTGCAGCAACAGGTTTATCCATGCATAAACCTGTGCTAGTAAACTACTCACAGCTGCTACTGGGTCAGAAACCAGTTGCAACTGTATTATGATAGCGTAGAAAAGGGGGCTGGGCTCCTATTACCTTAGAAATAAATTATATTCTTTCTTCAATCCTGCTTTAGTTAGAACATATATACAGAATATACAGAATATGTAGAATATGTAGAATTCTACATTACAGAGTACGTACCCAAATCTCGGTGATAGTAACACAGGGTAACCCCATCGGGTCAGGTCTGCATATTAGTAGACTGGCAAACTTGGCCCTGCGTGACAGCGAAATGCCTGTCCAATGTGGCTGGCTTCTTCACTCGCCATGGACCTCGCTACGGTTGGCGAATCAAGATCGCATGCTTCCTTTCCTTCTCTGCGGCCTAAGAACGTGCTGGAATGCCTTTCCCCAAAAAGGTTGTTCCTGTCGTGCATCAGCAAGTGATATTCATGAATCATGCCTCATCCAAATCATAGAACTCTTGATCAAAGTTTACTTTACCCACCCCACATATATCCGGGAATCCCTTGTCCATATAAGTGAGGATTAGATACTGTAATATCTTGACTATAGTGCGAGGTATCAGTCCTGAAGAGCATGTATGTGATATCACATGGGAGGAGCATGTAGGCGGACATCCCAGCTTTTTAGACCTAAGATGGGCGGCTAGTGAGAGATAGCGGTACCACTCCAAGTAAAGTGCTCCCTTAAAGACGTTAGAAGAGTGTTCGAGCCCTATATCGAAAGTACGCAGTGATATAGGGGCTGTACTCTTTAGTATAGATATCTGCATGAGTAGATTCGAAGGCAACCATCGAGTAAAGCCAGAAGATCCAACCCCAGTAGTAACAGCATGGAGACTGGACCGTGATAGGACCCCCTCCATATCGCTGTATCTTTCAGAGGAACGGTGTTCATAATGTACTATCTTGGGTTCACCTGGAGCAGGCCCTCTGTCCGCTTTCCACCTTCCCGAAGCATTGCAATACAAGGCCGCGCGCAGTCAAAGCTATATTCTGCAACTTATCCGAAAGGATGTTGAAGTTTCAGTTATCTCCAAGGCCTCCGCTGACTTTGAGATCCATTTTCCCCCTCAAAAATGTCATGTAGGTTAACGCAGTATACGTCCTCTGCAGCCGCAGACACCCCATTCCTCTTTGCTTACAGCGTTCCACCATGGTGTATTGCTTGGCAATGGAAACTGTAACTCGCGTGTATAAAGCCCCTTCCCCCCCCCCCTCTTGCTTGTCCCTGCTATATCCAAGCCATCTATACTTACCCCTTGTTCGCTTGAGCTGCTGAAAACCTTGAAGAGAGCTATGTTAAACCGTTAGACTCCCTCGATGCTTACCCAGACATATGAAGCAAGATCATTCTGGCTGTATTGACTACGTACGTTTGCATAGTACAGTATGCCCGGCTTTTTGCAACTGCCGACATGGAGATCAGTATCGGCAGGAGTAATGTAAGGCTTCAAGTCCATACCAGGCGCTCTACTGCTTTTATGGAGCACGGCGAAGATTATATGGAGCAGGATACCCTGATATGTCGGTATAGGCCAAGGGCATGAGTCCTCTAAGATAGAAGCATCCCATATATCCTGCGGGTTTGCTCGTCAGTGAGATAGAAAGAACAGCATAGAGGCGAAGAAGAAGTCATCATCCACTTTCATACCATATTCTTTTATCTGTGTGGCTAAAACTTCGGTCCTTGGATTGGTAATGACCATGGATATAGTTTGTATGTACCTGGACGGCGATCGGCTAGAGAGTAGTTCGATGATGGTTAATAAGAACCGGACGGGCGATCGGCCCTGGGACATTTTAGCTAGTTAATCAATGACCATTGGTCAATATGCTTATAAATTAACTACATTTTGAGTTTCGATATGTAGCTATTAAAGACAGGACGAGCCTTCGCTTTCTGATCGCTCTTTCACCAATTCATCATCGAAATCGATATATCCACCGGGGGAAAAAGAAGCAGAAAGAGAAGACAAAATGCCGACCCCAAGCGTTCTAGTGACCGGAGCCAATGGCTACATCGGAAACGCCGTTTGCCGTGCCTTTGTCCGTGCTGGATGGACAGTGTACGGGCTGGCGCGGCGTTCAGAAGCTCTCCCAGCACTCTCCGAGGAGGAGATCATCCCAGTTCAGGGCGCCCTCGGTGATCTATCTTTTCTACCACCACTCTTTGCCAAACAGAAAACGTTCAATGCTATCGTCTCAACCACGGATGACGTTTACAACTTCGACTCCCATTTTAATGATATCCTCAGCCTCCTACTCGCCGTTGCCAAGTCAAGCAACGCCGCTGGAGTGCGACCGATCGTCATCTTCACCTCAGGCTGCAAGGATTACGGTATGACTGGGCGGGCGGATTCTCCCGATCTCGCGGCCCATACGGAGAACTCGCCCTTGAACCCTCCTCCCGCGGTGAAAGCCCGTGCCGTGAACGCCGTCCGTGTCTTTGATTATAAGGACGCCTTTGACGCTGTGGTGACCCGTCCAACCACAGTCTATGGTCGCAGCGGGAGCTACTACGGTCCGTTCTTTGAGCTGGCGCAAGAGGCAAAGGAGACCGGACAGCCATTGACGCTCCCATCATACCCGACTAGTATTGTGCATGGCACGCATGTTGATGATTGTGCGGAGGCCTATGTTGCAATCGCCGAGAGTGAACGTGCCCGGGTGGCGGGTCAGTGCTATAATATTTCTGCGAGACGATATGAGGTCTTGGAGGAGATTGCGCAAGCCTTGGTTAAGGAGTATGGCATTGGTGGTGATGTGGTGTATGCGCCACCGAGTAAGGCACCAGGAGAGGACTTTGATATCATTCAGGTGTTGACAGGGTTCTCGCAATGGGTTGGCAGTGAGAAACTGCGCCAAGATGTTGGCTGGAAGGATCGGAAGCTGTTGTTTTCTGAAGGTGTCAAGGCCTATCGGGTGGCCTATGAGGAAGCGGTTCGATCGGGACACAGCAATGTTCAGCGCGTCAGGGGTTATATCAAAGATTTTAAGGCGTCAGCATAAAGCAACGATCACACGGTTACTACTGGCAGGAGTTATTCATGTATTTAGTTCCGGAAAGGACCCGGGAGCGGATTTTTGGATGAGCCTAAACCACGCCAATGACACATAATGGTTATCGAAAGCGGGCAGCTGTCTGAACCAAGCCAACCTTGGTAGGATTGTGATGAATTTCATCCTTAAAGGATGTTAGAATGGTCTTCGTTCACAAAACAGGATGCTCATAAAAGTATAGAACTTAGAAAGGGTGCTGTGAAAGATCTTTTGGGGGAGTTTGAATTTGTACCCCTGCTTCCCTCGCTGCAAAGTTAACAAGATTGAGAGCTTCTTCAGCAAGTGGGTATGTGTCTTGCAGCTGGAGAAGTATTTGCTTGCAGTGATGGAAGTGCTCCAAGTATAGATCGGGTCCTTTCGACTGCATATTCATGATAAGAGTGGTCATTGCAGGAAGCAAGAAGGTGGTTGCTGTTGTGGACAGGTATCGCGTCAGGCCAATGTCATAAAGGTCTTTGCAGATAGTTGCAATCCTAGAGCCTGCAGGGCAGACTCTAGAGAGAGAGAGCGCCATAGTATCAGAGCTGAATTGTGACTTATGGGAAGTCACTATGGGGCGATGGAGGGTGCTGGAAGCGGCAAGATACATCAGTTTTAGCACCGCAGAATGGAGGTAAACAATTCGATCTCCTTCAGTTAGTGAACAACTACTGGGTGATGGCTTGTGGCGGATATCGTCTGGGATATTGTCAAACCACCTCTGCAGGAGCTGGTCGCATCTTCGAACCTCGTCCTCATCGATTGTGGTTCTCTTTGGTAATAACGTCAGTTTGCCAGTTCCACCAATTGGTTGAGCACCAGCAGTGTACTGTGCGGCGAGGATATCACCTATACAGATTGAGAGTTTGGTTTGCTCGATGAACAGCGCTGCCAACTTGCGCTGATTCCCTGAATTATAGGTAGCTCTGAGGCCACAAAGGGCATGTAGCACCTGGGAAGAAAAGCTGCCATAGTTAAAGTCTTCCCACTCAAGGAGTGGCACGTCGCACTCCGTGACCACGATTGTAGCCTGTTGTCGAAAGCCAAGCTCAATCTGTTTTTCCCGAACGTATATACTCCACCAGATACGCTTACATAGTCGTTGGTATTTTATATTATTGCAATACCTTCTTGGGTCTCTATTGAGCCCCATGGTGTGCGCCACTTCCAGACAGACCCCAATCCAGTACTTCGGGCCCTCGGGGTCATCGACACACTCCGACCAAAGAGATAAAAGGAGAAAAGCTTGGACAAGCGATAATTGATCGTTCTCCGAGCCCATAAAATACAACATCTAATAGCATCCATTATCTTCAATTGAATTGTCTTTTCTATGCACAAAAAGACAGGGCGCAAGGGCTAGCTTACCTTAGCTCGTTCGTAGAAGCTTTTCCGGGCCTCTCTCCTCGTCGAAAATCCGGCGGCACGTAGATGTTGCCAGTCGGCAAATGCTGCACCGGCGAACATGACTGCTTGGAATAAGAGAAGGCTGACTAAATTGGTGTTGTCCTGGTGGAAAATAGCTTGCAGGAAACACTCCGTGTCCAGGACTGGCATGTACGGGTGTATGTAAAGCATATATCCCTTTATTAAGTTGTCGCGTAGGGCGTCATGTGGGATGTTGAGAGCTCCATTTGCTTGAAGCAATCGAAGATCGTTGTCTTGGAGTTGTGGGGGAAGTCTTTTTATATACGCAGGCCGATGGAAACCAAATGAGGCAGACATCTGCTGGATGACGGAATCCTGGGGGGTTTGGTCTGGCGGAAAACATCCGGATGCAGAAGAAGGCAGCGGACAAGCTTCTGGAAAGATATTTCCCTCATTTCCGGTTACAGCGGTTTGGAAAGCTCCTTCCGGATATCCATCACACGTCTTGGTGCTATCATGCATCGTCGCTTGCAATTCCTCTGGCAGGGGTGAATCGCAAGTTGTCGGCCTGCCAGCGGTGCGTGTATATCTCACTCGTGAACTACCGGTAACGGTGCAGTCCCGCTGATTTAGTAGGCAATTCGTACATGGAGAACCCTTCTCCACCACATCGCATCGAGTTTTACGAGCTCGGCAATTGAGACACGCCCGTGGTGCCCGAGACCCTACCGGTGGCATGGCTCTGAGGGTAGGCAATTAGCGAGGGCCTTCAACCGGGGGCATGTGAAATCGAATGGGCATGATGTTAGGGGGTGAGCCATACTAGTGAAGCTTCTCTCTGCTCGGTTGGGATACTTGAACAGTCCCCTGAGCCCTAAAGCACGTCAAGTTACTTTATAAAAGATACCTGGAAATCTCTGTTCGTTTAACTTAGTTATATACTTATCTGACGTAATTCCCGGGTGATTGGAATTTCCAGCCTGAGGCGTAGGCGAACCACATGCAAACAAGATAAACATAGTCAAGTGCTCCAAATCGTCACGGGCAGATTCAGGGAAATATCTATACTAATAGCATAAGGCTGCTCTACTATGTACTCTTTGTAAACGATAAAAGCTTAGATATATGTATCTTTAAAGAGGGTTGTGGGATCCCGTGAAGCCGGTCCAACGGCCCGATTCTATATCGGATCCGTAACGTTATGAACTATAAATCAAGACCCGGTGCATAATTCTATATGAGTAAGATAGTCTAGCAAGGTTTTAATTAACTAGCCTTTCCTAGCTAAGATGACTTAGCAAGACTTATGTTGGATTATTAATTGAGCTATTCTTTTAAGTTAATCACTGAGAGGTATGCATGCCAATAATTTGTCACTTATCGGAGAGCCCACCCACCATCTACCCGGAGATCCCACTCCCGACGTAAACTAGGATCTCTTACAGGTATAAAGAGTCAAGGAATTTACAGGTCAATCTTCTTCCCTCTAGGATCTTGCCACTCATATTTCAATTCTCTATCTCGCAGTCACTTATCCAATCAAGTCAAGCCCGAGCCGAAGTGAAGCCCTCTAAACTATGGAACAAATGAAAGCTGTCCGTATTATCACCGCGGATAGTAAAACCAGCGCAGAACTTCGTGACGAGCCACTACCAAGCCCGGGTCGCCATGAAGTGCTGATTAAGATGCGCGCGGTGTCACTGAACTACCGCGACACGGCCCTGTTGAGGGGGGAATATCCTCTGCCGACCAAAAAAGACGTTGTCCCCGTGTCAGACGGTGCCGGCGAAGTTGTTGCAGCTGGCAAAAACGTAACACGAGTGAAGAAAGGCGACCGCGTCACAGTTAGCTGCTTCGCAAACTGGACCGGCGGCCCATTTACCCCCGACTACCATTCCAACAGCGTCGGCTTCAGCATCGACGGGATGTTGGCTGAATACGTACTTTTCTATGAAGACGCAATCGTCCCCATCCCGGACTATATGACCTACGCCGAGGCGGCCTCACTCCCCTGCGCAGCTGTCACGGCCTGGACGGCGCTGAACAAGATCGAGCCCCTCCAACCGGGCCAGACGGTCCTGGTCCAGGGCACCGGGGGCGTCTCGCTTTTTGCGCTGCAGTTTGCGAAGATCTTCGGTGCTCGTGTGCTCGCGATCACGTCATCGGACGAAAAGGCCGCGAAGCTCAAGGAATTAGGTGCCGAGGCTGTGGTGAACTACAGCACCTGCCCGGACTGGGATCGCGAGATCCTTGCTCTGACTGATGGAAAGGGGGTCGATAAGGTGCTGGACATTGCTGGAGAGAAAACTATCGCCAAGTCTGCAGCGTCGACTAAGATAACTGGCGTGGTTGTCGTCGTTGGCTTCGCAAGCGGGTTCGGCGGCGGCCTTCCGCCAGTTGACATACTTGTTCGAACCCTGACTGTAACCGGATCAACTATCGGTCCACGTATTGATTTCGAGGCAATGCTTACAGCGATGCAGAAGCATGAAATACGGCCTGTTATTGATCGGGTCTATCCCTTTGCGGAATATCGCGAGGCTTACCGGAGACTTGAGACCGGGCAGCACGTTGGCAAGATTGTTATCGAAGTCACTCACTAGGCGGGCCGATTGGATTGTGAGATAGTATTGTAAGAGGGTACTTATTGCATAGCCTTTGTCGAAGATTCTTATAAGAGAGGTTAACTGTGCTTCGCATTAGGCCTTCGGAGATAGTCCAAAAGTTAATAGAATTTGCTCCGTTGTGCAACAAGCTTATATATTGTAATCATCATGAAAGAACTTGATATGTATGTAGTGTAGTTCCGTCAGCCCAACCCTCCCTTCGTAAAGTCCTGGTGCTGTGATAACTCTGAACGTATACATATAAATTTAAATCCTGATACACGCCGGCTCAGAGCTCCATCCATCATTGAAGTCCAGGGCTTCCTCATCCTCCACCACCATTCCAGAACACCTGAAACCAATCAGTGGCCGTCGGACTTTGACTCGCGCAGTAAGTCCTGTCGACTCCCAGTACCTCGTCGAAGCCACCAAAAACACCTGCGAGAGAGAGTAGCCGATCATCAAGGTGGTCGGCGTTGCTGTATTCCCATTGAAGACTATCGAGGCAATCCACATAAGTTCCAGCAGTACGCTTACGAGAAGTCCCCGTCGCTTGGGACGGTGGAAGTTGTAGAACGTTTGTGGCATGGCGTATGTTCTTCTATATCGTTGGTATCGGATGTCAACGCAGGGTAAGTGGAATCGCACTTACTCAAAGCTGTGTGTTTGCGTGAGGGATGCATTGGCTATATCATACGGATGGGGCTGAGGGCAAAGGAAGGGAAAAATCTGTCGAGTGGCTGGCTAGTCGGTAGCCTTGTTGAAGTCATAGCCCAAGGACCGAGAAGCGGAGATTATTGTAGGTATGATAGCTCTCTCTTGCTGTTGTAACCGTGGCAGCTCCAGAGCTAGTTCAATTGATTCTCTTCGACCTTAATTCGATTTAGTTCAGGGTCGTGTTTGTACCGAGAGCTTCTTTGATGCTCTCTGATGCTGGCGTAGTTTCGAGAACTGCTCTGCACAGGTTGTTATTTCATGGGCTCTATGCCTAAGCCGATGTCAATGAATGAACTAAATGCAGACATGTGCTGCGAGTATAGAGATATGAACTTTCGATATTTGCAGATAAAGATCGATCTCTACGACCGAGTTATTTACATCTGGGATGGCTCATATACATGGGTTGCTTATGGATGCCATGTCTGTTAACTATGTGTACAATATGTCGAGATATTCCCGTATATCAGCCACGGGCGGGAAGAACAGTGTAAGAAATCCAAATCCAAATCCATCCCAGTGGAATTGACATTATTTGGTTGAAGCCAACTTTGATCCAACTTGACAGCTACAGCTAGATGTGATACTGCCTCAGAGACTCCGACTATAAAGCTCCTATAGTTGATCCCTTTGAAGTCCCAGACAGCGGTCCGCATAAAGTTCCCGGCATAGCTTCAAATATAAAGGATTATCATATAGCGGTCCAACTTCTCTTGCACTATATCTATTACACTCTCGGAGGAACCGAAAGACGATGGTGTCGTTCTGAACAGGGAGCACGAAAACATTGAAATAGTCCTCGACAGAAATGGGCGTATAATCAACGGCGGGAAGGCGAACGGCAAGCATATAGCACAATACCTAGCCAAATGGAGAGGCTCAGCCAAAGACTCGTCTAAAGAATGAAGATAAATTTATGAAACCCCAGTTCGGGGGCTATGTTTATTCCATGACCCCAATCACTACATCGTAACGACCAGAAAGGAGGCCACAAATCTATAAATTAGACGATCACCAGCAAGGGTCCCTCCCACTCACGACGCGAGATCCACTGCATCATGCTCTCTGAGCAATTCTACGCGTTTTATTTATTTATTTATTTTTTTTAAAAAAAAGAAAAGGAACACAGAAAATGCATGCAATGTTCATCCCCGCGTGGCGAATAGTCTCATCCCGGGTCCACCATTAAGTAATAAGCACATTGACCCCTTGAAGACCGACGCTCAGATACTATCTTAGCTAGGGAACTCGACAGAGTCCTAAGCTTAGCCGATGCTTCTACCACGGAACCGCCATGACGGGTGTTATATTCCATGGCCACAAACGGCAGCTGATCGTCAGGAACATCCTACCCTAAGGTTAAATCGATCTCGATAGTCCATGAATAATGCTGCAAGCCCCATTCAATAATATGACTCGCGTCGAGAAACATTTCTATATCCCCGGAATTATTCTAGAATAAGTTTCACGTGTGAATATGCAATGGAATTGAACGAAACGCTGATAGTTAGGTTTATCGTTCGCTAACCAACCCTAAGTTCTAACCTCGACGGACGGCGAGGGTTATTACCCTAGGTATCGTATCAACCATGCTTCCCAACGGCGTTTCTGAAAATTCTTGAGCAAAAGGTTACACTCGGAGGGCTCGGAAGGACGCGAACCCCAGTTCGACTAGTACCTAGTCGCTGTGAGTTTCCGTATCGGCTATAGGCTAGACTTCGAGGCTGTCATGAACGAAGTGGATCTACGCAACATTCTCCGAAACGGGGCACTCCGTGTGGATACAGGCGAAAGTGGGCTGGCTGCTGCCAACACAGAAGTTCATGAATCATGAAAAGAGCAGCCGGGTTCTGCATTTTTCCTTCGGGTAAATTGGGTTGGATTATTGGTGCTTGGTAACCTCCTAGTCGCAGAGGAGAGTTCAATCAATTGTCCTGGTCTGGGGTCGCTTGTGTGGTTCAGCATTTCAGAGGCTGGCGTTTTGGCCCCCACGGGGATATCAGATCCACTGAGTGGGCCACGTCAGGCCATGTCCTGGGGATCTTTTCTGTTCGGAGACACGTTGGGAGGCTGGCTGATCTTGCGCGGTTTGACTGTGAGACGAGGTGCCGATCCAGAATATATACTCTGTCCACTGTACAAAGCGGAAAAGGACTCCGTGCAAAGTCAATATCAAATCATGACTAGTGTCGACGACGAACACGAACTATTGATCGTTAAAGTTCATACATTAGAAAAAAGGAATTAGTCATATATACATGAATTAGAAAACTCATAGAAGAAGAAAAAAAAAACACCCAATCAAACCGCCGTGTAACTGATCGTCACTTCCTCTCTCACTCGGATCCCCGAATGTCGCGAGGAATTCCCCTCGCTCCCTTTCCGTTGCAGGGAGGTCGACTTGCGCTCGATCACCGTATCCACTAGCTCGACCTCATCTCCATGGGTCCATGTCATACTTGGACTCGTGAGTCGCGATTTCCGACTACCCAGATTATACCCCGAGGCGGTCTGTTTCGCGCTGGCGCTTCCCGACTTCCCGGTGACGATGCTGGACCACCAACGACGGAACAGCGGGGATAATGTCGGGAGACATGCGCAGACGATGCCGATCGAGGGCTCGACGCAGGACCATACGAAGACGGGCGCAACGGTCCAGGTTGCGTCGTCCGAGTGGGTGTTTCGGTTGAGGAAGACGAGCCGGACGATACCTGCGATGCAGACACTGTGGGGGAGTTAGCGGCGCCTATCGTTACTGCTTTTTTTCTTTTTTTTGCTCTTTTCTTTTCTTTTCTTTAAGGTATCAAGAGAATGTCGACTCACAAGCTACCCAGTAATAGAATCCCGATCACGGCCAACCTCTGAGTCTTCGGCATTTGTAGTTTCCAGGTAATAGGGATCGGAATGATGAGAATCGCAATATCGATCATAACTGCCGCGATGCCGTTTCCGAAGAAGAACTTGGGGATGTCGATGCAGCTGCCGACAGCGGTATCGGGGTCGGTGTATTGCTCCCAGAAGTATGGGATGGGGTCGCAGGCCACGTTGATTGTGACGATGATGACTATGAAATAGCTCAGGATAAAGAACATAGCGAAGTAAAGAGAGTAGCGGAGGTTGAAGATGCGTTTATAGAACATGATAATGGACGTTTTGGTGCAGGTCACGCAGAAAGCGTATAGCATCACGTGGGCGTAGAGAAGTTTCCAAATGACAGTGAATTCGTGCTTGGTGAGGGCTTGGATATGGTGTCCGTTGCGGTATTTGACGCCTGTCCGCGGTCAGTTGCTGCGTTGGTGATGAACTCATGAAGTGGTGAGAGAGAAACTCACTAATGAGTACACATATCCCGAGCGAGTAGGCAAATAACTAAGTGATGGCGGGGAGAATGAGCTATGGCTCGCATACGCTTGGTTTCGACCTGGAAGGCAACTTACCAAGGCAGCAAAGCTCAGATAATCGTCAATAGCAAATTGGAACTTCTTGAACTCAGTCCGAGCGTATATCCGCAATACGACTGACAGTGTCCCCAGGATGATTAGGGTAATGACCGCTCCCAGCATGGAGCCATCTTGGTTCTCCGAGAGGTCGACGCCTGGGGGCGCTGGCCCAAAGTCTCCGGAGGCAGACATGGGCAGCGATGCGTCAGAGTCGGCAGTTCGGCCAGAGACAGCGAAGAGAGAAATAGCATGAGAAGTGTTATGTATATATATATGCTTAAAAGCGCTAAATTCCAGTCTACGAAGGTAGCAAAAACTTTGTTGGATTGTGTTCTGCAAGGGTGAGATTCCATTCGCGTGTTGGCTTTAGGGCTGCTAATGTCTCTAAGAGGACCGTAATCCAGCCGAGCCCTGTTCGTCCGGACTCCGACAACCGAGGGCTGGCAAGAAGAATGGCCGATGGCCGCATAAGGCCGCAGTCCGGTGGGTTGGCATCCTGTCCGCCCTGCGTATGAGATTTATGAGGTTGCAATAGTCCAGTGACTAGCTCGCTGTTAGTGACATGAAGCCATTGCACTAGTCGCGAGGGATATAACATGTTGATCGCAATCTCGCCACTGAGAGATGCTTCGCGCACAACAATGCGTTATGAATGGCCATCCGTAGCGATAGTGCAGGGTTAGAGGGCCAAAGCAGCCCCTGCATCGTGCACGATGGAGTACGTAGTAATCTCCACATGCTGCGGTGGGTCATCCAATGCCAGAACTACCCCCGTGCGAGGCCGTACATTAGGGTTGGCATAGCGCCGCGCCGGCGCGAGGCACGCGCCACTTAGCCACGAACGGACTTCAACGGAGTCGGGGGTTCGGTGGGGGTCAAGGTCCATGTTGTCGTAAATATATTGGGACTAATTGGGGTGAGAGACACTTCGGCTGCGCTGCCTGCTCCCGATCTACAGGGATGATGACAGCGATGGCACGATAGGACGGAAATTACTCCGGAGGGGTAGTGCTTACCACTAAGCAGTGGTACCTATTCCAATGCCAATGGATTATATAGCATTTAGGAGCTCCGTGGAGTAGTTCCTCCTGTCTCACACTGCCCAACACACACTACAACCATGAAACGCCCCGAGGACGCATCAAACGGACACCCAGTCACGTCGGCCAGTCTTGTCGCCCAGGGCCAGACTCCTCCGAATTGGGTTTCAGTCAAGGAAGATGTCGCTTTTACCCCCAGGAAGATCAAAATAATCTGCGCAGGCGCCGGCTTCGGCGGCTTGACCCTCGCCCACAAAATCCAACATGGACTCAAACTAGAGGATGTGGTGGATTTTGTGATCTATGAGAAGAATGCAGACGTGGGCGGAACCTGGTTTGAGAACCGATACCCAGGCGTGGCTTGGTAAGAATCAATCTTTGAGATGTGTCGAGTAGTAGTCGCTCACCAGTATCAATTGGACTATTTTAGTGATGTCCCAGCCCGTGAGATCGCGCTCATCAACTTCATCACCAAGAATTATGCTAACTTTAAGGGAATGACCATCAGATGCTTATACTTTCTTATTCGAACCAAACCCCAACTATTCGCATTTTTACGCCCCAGGCCCCGAGATCGAAGAGTATATACAGAGGACAGCGCGCAAATGGAATCTTTATGACCACATTGAGCTCAATTCCAAGGTGGTAGAGGCAGCATGGGACGAAGCAGCTGGCAAATGGAAGGTGAAGGTCGAGCAAAACGGTGTGATCAAGGAGGATGAAGCCGAGATATTTGTTAGCGCCTCTGGTCCATTAAGGTAAAAACAGTTGTCCTTCGGCTTTTACGGCTCTTGCTGACCACATGCAAAACTTGCAAGCAAATGGAAGTTGCCCAACATTCCAGGAATGAGTGAATTTAACGGCAAACTAGTTCACACTGCGGCCTGGTATTCCTTCCTGACCCACTTGAGACTTGCAAAAGTAAACTAATATCAATCTAGGGACGAATCATATGAATGGAAGAACAAGCGCGTGGCCGTCATTGGAAACGGCTCGTCGGGTGTCCAGTGTGTTGCAGCGATGCACTCTCAGGTGTCCAAGATGATTAACTATGTCCGCAACCCAACATGGATTGCTTCCAACTTCAGTGGCCAGTTGACGAGGGACGGGAGAAACTTTGCATACACTGAAGAAGAAAAGAAGAGATTCAGAGACGACCCGGTGGCCTTCTACAAGATGCGCAAAGAACTCGAAAACAGGTAAGGAGCATCTCAGCAGTCATGGCTGGTGGACTTTCCTACAGGCTTGCACTAATGCTCCCACCCCAGTGTTAATGAGTTCGCCTATGGTATGCTGAAAGACCACACTTTCAATAAGCTCGCGACCCAGATCGCCACACAGCAGATGCAAGACAGACTGAAAAACAGCCATGACCAATCCATCGTTCTGAAAATGAAACCGGATTTCAGCCCCGGTTGCCGCCGCTTAACACCCTGTGATGGGTATCTGGAATCCTTTGAGAACCCGAACACACACATGTGCTGGGATGCAATCGACTGTATCACAGAGAAGGGGATAAGGACGGTGGATGGAAAGGAAGAAGAGTTTGATCTGATCGTCTGCGCGACTGGTTTTGACACATCCTTCGTTCCTCGTTGGAAACTGTCAGGGCGGGACAACGCGACTCTGGACGAGCGGTGGAAGCACAGCCCAGAGGCTTTCTTCTCTGTGCAAGTGGATGGAATGCCCAATTACTTCATTATTGGTGGGCCGAACTTCACTGTTTCAAATGGCTCACTTCTAGGTGGGATCTCCTTCGTATGCGACTACATCATGAGGTGGGCCCAGCACATGGCCACTCATGACATCAAGTAAGCTCGCCCTTGACTGGTAAGGTTGACACAATTAACCAATAATTTCACAGGTCAATGGAGGTTAAGAAGGAGGCTGTCGATGACTACAATGTATGGGCGCAGGAATACTTTAAGAGGACGGCGTGGGCCGATGATTGCCGGAGCTGGTACAAGAACGGCAAGACTTCAGGGCAGGTCACGGCGCCTTATGCGGGGACAACCAGTCATTTCAAGAAGTCTCTTGACAGCATCGGCGCCGAGCATTTCAACTTTCAGTATAACTCTGCGAATCGCTTCCGCTGCCTCGGCAATGGTCAAGTGGCAGGTGAAGAGAATGGCATGGGAGACCTCTCATACTACTTTGTCGAAGGGCTTTGGTGATCACTTGATGCTGTGGTCAGTTGTCTAGTGGCTTCGATGGCAATGACTGCTCATAATACTGGGTGCAGTGTGATGAAAACAGGCTTGCGAGCTAACAGTACTCCATGTAAATAACGCAGAGCTAATCAGGCAAGATTGGTATAATTATCATCCGAGTATGAGTTCGACTTACATCACATCACTAACTAGAGTATAACAACCTTAATTTTAGACTACATATTATACATGGGACGAAATGCCAAGGCTAGAGTGCTAAACAATGTTCCAAAAAGAGCAACAGCCTACTTCAACTTCTTGGTAACTACAACGACAGCGCATAGCCCACATCCGCAACCGGATTTAGCAACAGCTAACCCAATACACAAGCACGTACATACACCGGGGCCAAATTCCCTATCTATCAAGTATTGGTATATCCAACTGCCGTTTTGAGTAACAGACAAAGTCCTGACGCAGAGTACTAGATTCAGCGAGCCCAGAATCGGATGGCACTTTGATTCAGGTGGATACGTTTATACTTTGAATAGCAGAATAGCAGTTCGGAAATATTTCCTAGTTCATACAGTTTTGAACCCTACTACGACACGATAGCTCTATAACTCTCATGTGTACTCAGTGCATACTGAGTACTCCGACTATCGGACTCGGGAAGACTCCGAAGGGACCCACTCCAGCCCGATCGAAGAAATATCGGCATGCGACTAACCTTATTTGGAGGCATCAAAGTTTTCGAAAGCAAGAACAGTCCTGGTATCGTCAAGGCAAAGGCGAATGCTTAGGAACCTTGGCATGATTGTTAGAGCCATCACAAGTATTCCCCTACTCTCATTGACCACTATCCATTAGCAAATAGCACGTTTACTCGTCCGGTTCGGCCGCTATTGAAGAAACAAGTTTGATTTAACCTGTGATGTAGATTATCCGAACCCAAAGAACCATCGATGAATCTTAAGCCACGAAGGACCCTGAAGATCTAGCTCTAGATTTCATCACGATCCGAAAGATAAGGCGATCATGCAGGATTGGCTTCGCGATAGTTGCGAGCATGACGGCATATCCACGTGGGCCCTCTAGCGTAGACATACTCCACCACGGAGTTAGTCTTCTTTTTCTCCGGTTTTTTTCTTCTTTTTTTTAATCTTTATCCGGGTTTTGTTGCAGCGAGGAGTCCTAATCTCATCCCTGATATCAAGATTCACTTCAATAGCTAAAATAGCTCATAACATAGGTACGTCGACGCAAACCCTAGCTAGCATGGATGAAGTTGACACCAACTAACGAAATTAAGTTTTTATAGATCTACGGCGTTTATAAAAAGCCCTGATATCATTGTGCATACCGAACACTACCTCCCGATACTACCTCACTAAAAAAAAACCCACAACCCCAGAAGCAACAATGACGATCTTAAACAGAACCCTGCATTACACCCACAGATTAAAGCTTCTTGCAACAACAACCCCCCAAACAACACCAGTTCGCACAGTGCGCATCGCCGCCTCAGCAACAGCCCAAGACCACCATGCCTCAACAAACTCCTCGCCTGTCGAGGACGTCCCCTCATTCCGCACCACACCACCACGACCACCACACACCCAAGTCGAAACTTACATCTCACGTCTGCCCCTAGTGCAGTCCCTCCGCCGGGACCCAAAGTACAAAGAAACCCGCCCTCACCTCTCCATGAACCCTTCTCTGCGGCCCGCTCATTTCGTCGCGGGCTCTCTGGCCGGCCCGGAGAAGATCACCGTTCCCCCGTACATGTGGACGGCGTCTGAGAAGCTCAAGGACAGCGGCCGGTGGGCCGGGCGTGTGATCTCTGTGTTTCATATCGGGAAGCAACTGTGCGGGCACCCAGGATTCGTCCATGGGGGCTTGTTGTCCGTTATGTTCGACGAGGCATTTGCGCGGTGCGTGTCGACGTCGTTTCCGAGTGGCCTGGGTATGACGGCGAACCTCAATGTGGATTTTCGGAAGCCGGCCGTCCCTGATCGGCTGTACGTGTTGCGGGCTGATACCGTTAATGTTGAGGGGAGGAAGGCTTGGGTCGAGGGGAGCTTGAGCTCGTTGCCGGCTTCTGGGGAGGAGAGTGATCCTGTGATGGTGGCTGAAGCTAGGGCTTTGTTTGTTGAGCCTAAGTTTGCAGAGGTATGGTCTCCCCTTTCTCTTTAAACCTCCAACTCAGTTGGTGACTGACGGTTTTTGTTGACAGTCTATGGTACCTCTGTATCGCGATTAATTGAGGCGTGGCAGCTGAGAGCGCCATATGATTTAAATACTCTTCGGCACAATACTTTCACGGATAAACTTATAATACCTTATATAGACTATGGACATAAGATAAAACGGAGTACTGATAGACTGGGCAACAATTTTGCGCTGAAATTCTCCATTTTCTATCTAGAATAAAATAACGAACCCCATGACTCCAAAGTCCGGAATCGATGCCCTGCGACTAAGTAAATAATGGACTTTGAATGCAGAAAGCCGGCCGATGTAAACAGATTCGATTCACTCATGCCGTCATTATAACCTCCCTTAATCAATATGTAAGGGTATTTTGCTAGATACTGTACCAATGGACCAAATGTACCGTTTTTTGTTTCGTTTTCCTTTTCTTTCTGATGTGGCTTCCGCTGAAGAGTGGCGGAAGGAATGGTCGCTAACCATCTGTAACTTCATAGCAAGCTGCAGGACGGAGAGAAACTAAGACAGGTGGAATGCTCCCTGTCCTTCTTGGATAGCAACAGACAGTCGGGTTCGCAGGACATCTAAGCTGCTGTAGTCCGGCAACTTCAGGTAATTTACACACGTCATAACGCTGGGGAGATAATCATCGGGGGTGTATGGCGGTTCGCTGGGGCGACAAACAACGGTGAAGATCGGGGTGAGACTCTTGAAGCCTGTAGATGCAATACTTGGTCAGAAACCATCTCGGCTTAAATGAAGCGTGGGCTTTCTTCCTACCTCCAATTGGGAGCTTGGGACTACCAGTGACAAATTGAAGGAAGTCCCGACGTTGCTGTGCATCCAACTGACTCATCGTTTGGAGCAAATTCCTCACACTGCGACTATCCATGTTGAAGCCATGATCGGCTTTGATGGAATCCATGAGTGCTAGGACCAGCATGTTAGTGATCCGTACTTAAACAAGTAGACCAAGTGTACTTACTTTCAATAGACCAGTCCTCCTCTGCTCTTCCAAACAACATCACAAGTTCCGCAGGCGTGAAGGTCCGGAGAGCAGAATATGGGAAAACCTGCGAAAATCCCTCCCGGAACGCTTCTACTTGACGCTGGACACCGCTACTCAAAGTCATATCCACGACCCGCTCAACGTACAGATCGACATTTTCGATCGTTACCGGAACATTAGAACCATCCTTGATCAATTCGATGGCTGGGTAGCCGGGTAGAGTGAAGTCGAGGCTCAGATCTTCAACCTTAACACCGTCCACTTCAACATTTAGTAGGGCATGCCTCTTCTGATGCTCTGAAAGCCCCTTGTTCTCGACTGCTACCTTCGCATTGGCGAAGCGCTTCAACAGAAGCAATGAATTTGCCAAATGTTGATCGACCGCCTTTACCGTACCCAGCGATGGGGCTACGGAGAAAGAGCTATCAGCGATTCGGAAAAATGCGGGATTGAAGGAGATATCGATAATCCTGGAGTCGAGCATCGAGCGAGCAACAAATTTGCCGAGGACCTTAAACAAATGTAACTGTTTCTTCCCGGACTCGGAAGAAGCATACTGTTCGCTCATAGGGGCGGGGAACAGGCCTCGCTTGCCAAAAGCGAACTCTTCGACATCGTTGCAATCGTTTTCTCGCCAGATCTTGAGCTTCTTCTTTGAGAATTCTTTTGAAACGGTGGAGTAGAATTCTAGAGTCGGGCCTAGCCCAGTGCCAACTTCCTCAAAATATTCCACCTCCAGGACGCTCGGCGAAGAGCCATAGAGCTCCATGACTTTCATAGCAGACTCTAGGATACGACTTCTTGAGATACGCACCTTTTGTCGCTGGAGACGGCCTAGGAACGGTCGATCATCGCGTCGATGATCGTTACGACCATCGTCGCCATTTTGCGAATTTTGCCATCTCATCATCGCCCGCGAGTAGCCAAACGCAGTCGACTGAAGGAACAAATGGCGTGTCTCAAATGGGAACAGGAAAGGGAAGAGACAAGCAAGATCTTCGCTCCAGCTGGGAAGGCAACTGCTCGCTACGATCAAGGGTTCCTCCAGCTGTCGGTTAAGCTTAGCCGTCAACTTAGTATTAATAAACTGCGCAAGGGCTTCAGGTTTAAGTGCAACCAGCTCCTTGCTTTCAGTGAGTATATCATCCAGCGTAGCATTCATTTCGTGCAAAAGGCGAAGGAGCTGGAGGATCGACGCAGTTGTTGTATCTTGGCTGAGTGAGGGTGGCATCTCGGTGCTAGTGTTATTCGCAGCGGACTCTGGTACACTAGGTGTGAGCGCAGTAGGCTCTGGTGGAGGGGCCCCGGAACGCGTCTGAATTTGACGGTGTGGACAGCAGACCACACGTGCCTTCCGCTGGGGTCTGAATCTTGCCGGTTGTGATGAACAGCACGGTATATTGTTGTGTCACCGGTAATCGGGTTGCCATCCACGCTAAACTCCAGATGCCAGTCCGAAGGGATAGAAGCCATTGCAGCGGCGTAGGAGGAGAAAGGACGGCCAGCCGTGGCAAGGGAGTTGTTTCCAGCCGGATTCTGAGCTACACTAGAGGCAGACGACGATGCCTTAGAAGCTGGGGTGGATTGAGACGGAGTGGCCACACGTGTTCCATCTTCCTTCCGAGCAGTTACCTTACCGGAGGAGGCTACCTCCATATTCACCGCCGTCGGGTCGGGAGCATTGTCCTCTGAGAGGTCATCGTCTAGATCATCCATAATAGCATTCAGTTCTCCGTCGTCACCGTCGTCATCTTCTTCTTCGTCCTCACTCAGGTGTCTCTCATCCGCGCACTCCAAAGGCTCATCATCATGGGCAAGGTCTTCTGAAGTTTGCTGGTGTCGGCCAGAACGCCTGGATCTCGAACTACGTTCCTGGCCTTCGGTCGATGACTCCTGAGCATTCGGTCGCGAGTCTTCTGGATGCAAGGGCCTGTCATTGTTCGTGCTCTGTGGCAACGGTGGGATATCGCTCCCAGGGAACTCGCCATTGCCGGCTAGCTGATCCCGAAGTCGAGCGGCATTAGCAATCTGTGAGAATAAAGATTCTCTGCTGCGGGATGGTTTTGGCCGATCTGACAGACTAATTCGTGGATGTAGGAAGTCATCCAAAGCTTTGAATGTGGCAATGGCGTGGATTGACACCATTATGCTTCGATACGTGCGGGGAATATCAGAGTCTTCATCGGCCACCAACTTAAGCCTAAGCTGTTTTCCAAGCATATGTGCAGCATTACTCCGCGTGTTTTCCAAGGAATTGTGACTGACAGTAAGCACTTCGAAATGCTCAGTCCGGCTGAGCAAATCCTGCAACTTCTGGATCAGAACACTAAATGGAGTCGTAGCAGTGCTTTGGCTTTGGGCTTTTTCCGAGATAGTAGATCCCATGAACGCCTGTAGAAAAGCAGCACGAGCCTTGCGCATAGACGAACGGTTAAAGTCACCAAACACGTCCAGCAGCACCTTGATGATACCCGAGTTCAGTAATTCTGAGCTAGTGATACTCTCGAGTGCGTCGCCGTCGAAGTATGAGGCCAGCTTTTGGAAAAGCGCAACGCCATCCTCACGTGTGTCTGAACGATAACAGGCTTCTAGATTCGAGGCGAGATTTTGTAATTCGGTCAAGACTTCTATAGCTTTCTCTCGCATATCCCTCCCATGGCTGGCTTCGTAGAGATCAACAAACGTCCGAGCATCGCGGATAACGAGGTCCTTCATGGCGTTGTCTATCCTCGTAGAGAGCACTTGGCCGGATGCTGAAGAGCTATCCGAATCCGACATATCATCGTTCTCGTCCCGCTCATCCTCTTGCTCATCGTAGTCGTCATCATGAGTATCGTCGTCTCCCGGGCCATCGACATCTTCGGCTTCCCGGCGTGAATCGCTTGAGGTGTCCATGGCAACAGATGAATCAGAAGGCTTGGTCTGCTTCTCATCCGACAGAGGTCCCTCCGCTAGCTTGAAAATTTCCGAGACGACACCTTCACGGTGAAATTGGTACTGGTAGACATGTTCCAAGCGCTGGAAGAGAAGTTCAGAGCACCGCAGCGCTGACGAGACCAACGACGGATGGTCTTTCTGAGATAAAATTGCCGCCAGGAACGAGGCATACGGCACAGATCGTAAAGCTTCCTCCACCAGACCGGCGTCTAAATGGTGCAACATCTTAAGCTGCGCGATGAGAACCTTTTGTCGGACCTCTAGGTTGACGGTGCTTGAGTAGGCATCGGTCAATGTTGGCAGCAGGATCATAGCGAAGCGCTTCAGCTCGCCTTTGCATTCTAGTAATAGAGAGCGTCTCTTTTCGGCTACCTCTTTTGCCTTGGGTGACTTCAAGCCAAGAGCCGGATCGCTGTCGAGGGGAGGGTTAAGCCAGCCGTCGGTTTGTGGTACATGTCGGCCAGGAATGCCGGGTAGCATCTCGCAAATCACATTAAGCGTCTCAAGGACTTGCTCCCTAGGTCGGTGTATCAAGGCTTGCATCACGAGCACGCTGTCCATCTTAACGGTGGTATCTTCCAGGTTTCCTGGCGGCGATACCCCAGTCAAGATTTGGTATAAAGTATCGACCACGTTCATCTTCAATAATTCTACAGACAACCTGGGGCTGGCTTTTGATACTATCGCTAGAACGCGGAGGAATTGGGTGTGAATGTGCGGGCCAATTAGATTGGTGGTACCTGGCAACAGCAGACGGAGTATCGCCTTCAACATCGCGGGTTCGATAAGTTCCTCCAGTTTCTCCGGCTTATGCTTGAAACTCTCCACAATTCGGGAGACACACAAACAGCCTTGCTCCATCACCTTTGGGTCATTGCTGGACAGCACATTTAGAAGTGTGGACATTACATCCCGCACCACAGGAAAAGAGTCGTGTGGAAGGTTACGGCAGCAATTTGCTGCGTGGTCACCGCCGTACGCTGTGTACTAGTCGGGAAAAAGTCGAGATATGTCAAACAAGCAGTCAAGCCCCCCTCCCGAACAATAGAGGCAGGAAAATCTACAGATATTTTGGCCAAAGTCTGGGAGTTTTTAGCATAGATCTTAGAAGTCGAGTTAAGAGGTCTAGCGGCGAACTTACGCTCAAGGCTTGTTCGGCTAGATCAATGAACTGTATGTCCAGTAACTTCTGACACAAAATCGGTACAGCACCCCCGTAGACAACGTTGGCTACGGAGCCGCGAAGAGCCTCCATCAAGTTCGCCAAGCAGCGGCATGCGAGGAGCATGATTTCGGGATTTTCTTCGCCGAATTCATTCGGCTGCATCAACGAGACCAATTCCTTTACGTAGGGATCGGGGGAGAACTGGCCGGAAAGATTATCCTCATTAGATACGAGTAAGAGATCTGAAAGCTCCTGTAAAGCGATTAATTGCAGGGATGGATCATCCTTCGCTCTGAGATTGCACAGGATTTCTCGCAAGCGGGATGACATGCCCGTCATCATCCCAGACAGCGCACGTAGGGTGCTCTGAAGACCCAGAGGGCTGCGCGAGCCAAACAGGCTATTGTGAAAGAGATCTCCATCGTCATCATCAAGGCCCGAATGATTGGTTCCATCGTTGCTATCACTTGGTGGAGACGACTCTCGTTCCTCACTCCGTTCACGTCTTTCCAAGTCCTCGTCCGCTTCTTTCATGGTGACATCTGGATTGTTTCTAGATGAACGCTTTTTCTGTTGACGCCGAGGTGGAGGGGATTGGGCAGCTGAAAAGCGATCTGACGACACAATGTGTTAACCGAGTCGCTTGGCCAGTGAGGGGGATATGGTTGCGGGAAACGGCCTCGAGCATCGTCCGTGTAACCTTACCTTGTGACACCTTCCCATTTCTGCTCGATTTTCTTCTGGATGTCGGAGGTGACGGCTGGTTCCTTGAGGGCTCCTCCGTTGGATGTGAGGATGAACTAGAAGCAACACGTCAATCAGCAACAACCTCAAGGATCGTTGCGAGGTACCTCAAAACTCACCCGGATTGGGACATAGCTGGACGATTGCGGGTACACGGCGGGGAGGAGCAGAGGCGGCCGCCGGTTGGGGGGAAGCTGCACGCCGCTGTTTCTTGGCTCTCCGTGGGGGAGACGGAGGATTCGGCTGTCCGGGGGCTTCCACGGACCGATCGCTTCGTGTGTGGGCTTTACGCTTCCGACTTGGAGCCGAACCAGCGGCGGGAATCGCAGGAGTGGGACCTGAGGTGGCGGGCGGAGGGGGTTCTGCAGCTAGTCTCGCGGCTGAGCGAGTAATCCTGGAGGACATGAGAAGCTGAGCACTCCCGAGTCACGGCGGAGATAAGAGGTTAGGTGAGGGGTAGGTATGGGAACGACAGGACAAGATAGGTGGAGAATAGAGGTTGGAGTAATGTAAAGAGAAGCAGTCTTTCCACACAAGGACCGATGGACTCGGCGTATTAGGGGAAGATAGCAGTCAGGATCAGGATGCAGAGCTCGACCTCGGGCTTTCTAGCAGATCCCAAAGTCATAGACTGTGCGGGGCCACGACGACGGAAGAGGCAGGATATGAAGCGTCACAAGGCGAAACAAACTGCGCAGAGAAAGGGAAGTAGATCTGGTATGTACCTGGCGGCAGTGGCGGGGGCTCCAGTGGATGAATCCTCAAGAGGGTCCTGGCGGTGAAGGTTGGGCCTTGTTCTGGCCATAAGTTGATGTTAACCAGAGCTGGACGAAGAGGGCTCGCTCGTCTGTCGGCCGTTTAACCCGCCATCCGTTACTCAGAAGGTAGTTGACCGAGCGTGGGCAGGAAGGTGACACTGCGTATTTTCAGGTTGTCCGTTTCGGGGGGGGAGGATATGGAAAGATAAGTCAGGGGACAACAGCTGGAACAGAGAACCAAAAAGGAATAAAGATATATAAAGTAAAAGGAAAGCAAGTATCTGAATGAATTAGTGATGAGTAACAGACAAAAACTGGGATAAAAGCAGTGGTCGTGAACGTCGTAGTGGCGATGAGGAAGGAAAGTGGAATGAAGAGGAGGAATGAATCAATTGGGGGGTTGAGCGTTGACGTGGTAGTGGTAAGCAGTGGTGACGCGGGCCTCAGGAAGCAACTCCGGAGAGCGTCAGGCGTCTAGAGTGCAGCCCCATCGGCCACCAATAAGTACTACTAGTACTTACTAGTAGTAGATATCACATTGAGAAGTATCACACAACAAGTACTTCTTTCTTACTTTCTTCTCTTCATTTTTTATTTTCTATTTTACGTTTTTACCCCTATTTATCTCTTTTTGAGTCTTTATTTCCAAAATAATAAGATCCAATTCTCCAACCTTTCGGACCCAACCGTACCACTTATTTAGTCATGAATGTATATCATATTTTGTAATTATTATGACTGGGTGACATCGACACTACTCGATCAAACCTAAGACGGACATCCAATCCAACACCAACATGCTTCATCTGCATCCAATCAGTGCCACCGCTCCCCCCTGTTCCTAACGGAGTCTATTTTACTTAAGTACTAGTAGAAGATGGTACCAATGCCGTTCTGTCAGATTTTCCAACTCCAAATATTGTCAATATTCCAACTAGAGGCTATGTCCGGAAATGGTAAGATCCGAGCGGACGAGGTCGTATTAACACGTACACTTACTCGAACCTATGGCTCTACGTCGTGGAAGATATTGTTTCCTTTGGCATCATCTAGAGTAAACAACAAACGTGTCAGTATCGGTTGTAGATATTTACCACTGCAACCCTAGCCATTACCCTGTCCACAAGGTTGATTTGGAATAACAAGGTTTACGACATGTAGCTGGAGGCTAAATCAAGAGTCATTCCATTAGTTAGCAAGCCTTAACGAACTAAATATTGACAATCTCTCATCAGGATTGGCCCATCCATACAGGCGCCAGAAGGTCATAATTAGGACTGTGTAATGGCTAAACTTTTCGGTATCCATGCCGAACTGTCACTTCGGGCTAATCCGGTTTGTCGAAAACCAAACACAGCTTAGTTGCCGTCAGTTCAGGTGCCTTTCTTGGACCAAAATGCTTGAAACAACGTTCTGAAAGATTTTGCAGGATGGCTGCCACTACGCGGAGGATATGTCACTCTTATCATGCATTCGCGGGTTGATTACGCTGTACCGCGGGGTGAAGAGTGCATGTATGGTTTCAAAGAGCATCCAGGATAGATGAATGGGTTTCCAAAACTCGAGAAGTGTGATAGCTATGTTATTGACCATACCGAGTAAGCAAACAATTTTGCTCAAATTTGTAAAGCCCTCGTGCGTATCTTGTGTCAGCTAAAGCACGCAAGGAATGTACTTGGTAGCGGTTACGGGAAGTATCCACCAATTCTATACCTAACAATGATTACAGCATCCTATTCAGTGAAGTTGCGCCAGAAAGATGCAGTGTTCTGATACAGCTTATTGTTTCACATGGTTTTCCATTGATAGGCACAGGAGTGAATTGACGACAGGGCAATATTCGACTCGGTTAGAAGACCCATGATGGCTTGACAGTGGTTGGGTGAACCTATGTTCAGAAAATGTATATATTCTTACCATAGATAGTTGGAATAAGTTATTTTGCAAACAGCAAGTATGACAACATAGTACTCAGTACTTATGCCCCAATCGAGGGAATATCAGGGAACACATCAGATTACATCCAATGGGTTAGGGTTCGCTATGAACCAAAGCTGAGTTGGCACATTGTGGATAAGCCCACTACGTACAGTTGATTCACGTGCTCAACAAACTGAAGGAGATATCCCATTTAATTGGGGTATGGGCCAGAGAAATTCTGGAAATAGTTGCGAAATTCAAGCAGTGAAAGGGAATAAATAAATACATAATCTAGACCGGCCCCCGGTGAGAGAATCGGAAGCCCTCAGGTATTATTATTATTAATTCTAGAGATTCAGATACTTCTCTGTGACAAAGTGCGTACAGTTGCCTAATCCTGCCTGGGCTGCTGGAGTGGTAAATACATACCAGTAAGTTCCCAGGTGGTACTCAGTCTACTTCCGATCAATACCAACCCAGTACCGAACAGAGTTGGAGAAATGAGGTGATCAGTCGCCGAGGTTCTGCGTTTCCCCTCAAGTGGATGCTCCTCAATTCTTTGGCCTCCCCCGCCGGATACATACCAATACGGTAACAAATTCCTTTCCCCGCGCGGGTCTGACTAAACCGCCGGCAAATGATTTTCTGAAAGGCTTTTGGTTCAGTCGCCTTCCATCATCCATTCAAAAGTCCCCTTCTTCTTTCCCATCTCTTTCGAATCTTTGGTACTCCTTATCCACCTCTGCCTATATCGCGCTACATACAAACATCCATTTGAGCCTCGGTTTTATTGCTCTGAGATCTCTACCCCGACCCGCAGCTATGACTGACATCACCGCTGGGCATGGGGAGGATGTTCATCAGCCCCCCGCCCATATCCCTCCGGCACCGATGGAGGACTATCAGTTCCCCGAACTCCGCCTGAAGCGCAAGATGAATGACCCTGAGAAGACCCCCTTGCTACTGGTTGCTTGTGGTTCTTTCTCGCCTATCACTTACTTGCATCTGCGTATGTTCGAAATGGCAGCCGATTACGTCAAATTCAGCACGAACTTTGAACTCATCGGCGGATATCTCTCTCCGGTGTCGGATGCCTATCGCAAGGCTGGTTTGGCAGCTGCAGAGCATCGGTAAGAAAATTGTTTCCACTATCAGTTTCCCAAGCGTATCCCGCTCTATTTCCTGTTTCGCCGGTTTATTTATAACCCCCCCCCCCAAAAAAAAAACATAATGCTGACCTGAACCTGTTGAATTCAGAATCGCTATGTGCCAACTTGCAGTGGACCAAACCTCCGACTGGTTAATGGTTGATACATGGGAGCCAATGCAGAAGGCGTACCAGCCAACCGCCGTCGTGCTCGATCATTTCGACCACGAGATCAACACTGTCCGAGAGGGAATCGAAGCTGCGGACGGCACACGGAAGCACGTACGCATCGCTCTTCTGGCAGGAGCTGATCTGATCCATACCATGTCGACCCCGGGAGTATGGAGTGAAAAAGATTTGGACCACATTCTTGGCAAATACGGTGTACGTACAATATGCATATATTAGATGAATCCTGGGCCCGCTAACGTTGCTCTCTAGTCTTTCATTGTTGAACGCAGCGGAACAGACATCGATGAAGCGCTTGCTGCGCTGCAGCCCTGGAAGGACAATATCCATGTAATTCAACAGCTGATTCAGAACGATGTCAGCAGCACCAAAATTCGTCTTTTCCTCAGACGTGAGATGAGCGTCCGTTACTTAATCCCGGTGCCGGTCATCCGCTATATTGAGCAGCACCGCCTGTATGAAGACGATAGCACGACAACCAACTCCACATCCGACAAAGGCAAGGGGAAACAGGAGCCTAACAAGTCGGGTTGATACCCTCAGACCATGCAATCGTGTTAGCCCCTTTAGCTATGCATATGAGTACGGATCCGCCCCTTTTTGCTATCATGCGGGGGAGAGAGCCCAGCTGCTGAGAGCTTCGCGTGCTATGAGAAAATCCCTTGTTACTTATTTTTGGGGTTACAATGGCAGCCACAAGCGACCCGTACTCGTGCCGACCACATTCATTGTCCAGAGGTGCTACTGTCCACCTCATCTCTTATACCTTGCACCGCAGTCCTTGGATCCTTGGGGGCGCTCTTAGCCAGACATTCTTTAGTTGCGGGGTCAAGGTGGACATGCCTGTGGTGACTGGCCTGAACTAAAAAATTCCCCTTAATTTTGGCTGTCTCCAAATTTTGTTCTCGGGAAAGTGTCACGAATAATGTGCTGAACATGCGATAGAGTTAATGTCTTCGTTGGCTTCTTTTTTCACCTTTGTTTCTTTTTTTGGTTTTCTCTTTATACCCCTGACACGACTCCTGTACTGATAAATCAGTGATAGATCATGGTAGATCTAATTCTCAAGATAAATGGACACCGTTACATTTATACAGTTGATGAATATTTACTCGTAAGGCGCTCAGAACAAGGGGATAGCTTAGCTTTCAAGATAAGGCCGAAAGCACAGTGATGACGCAATGCGTGTCTGTGTCAGATTGCAGGATATATACCAGCATAATTTTCGGTAACAAGACCAAAAGAAATCTATAGTAACGGGTGAGAAACAACTAGATCTATAGTTTCAATAAACAAGAATCCAAAAACAGGGCGTTATTCATAAACATCATATAACAGCAGACCAAAGACCTATGTGCCATCAAAACCATATACAAATATATGTACTGGAGGGAGGCGAACCCGAACCGCCAGAGTGTATCAACAGGTGTGGTAAGGAATTAATTAGTCACAACCATCCCACAGATCATCTGCTTCCAAGAAGCCCAAACAAGCATCGGGATTCTCGTCCTGCATGACAGCTACTACGGACCCCGCAGCAGTAGATCCCGAAACTAGCCGACGTGCATCGTCGACGGAGGTCGAGCTGGGGAGCCGGAGCCAATCATCCCGGGACACGGCAAACGGGAGCCTGAGACTGGCTAGCGCAGACGTATCCATGTCTACATAGGTTGATTGCGAGAGCGCGCGGAGATGTCGGGGTGGGATTATCTCGGAAGGAGACAGGCGCACCCAGGACTTGGCGGTCGGGTGTTGGATGGCTGTGAGCAGGATGTCGAGGAGACGGACAGTGCCTGTTGATGTAGATACTGTTGGGATTTGGTCGATGAGGACGAGCTTATCGACGATGCACGGGGTTTCCTCTGGCCGGGGGAGCGATGCGACGGACTGTTGTTGACTGGAGAGGTCGTCTGATGTAGTCGAGGGGAATGATGCGGTCGACATGCTCATTGGCGTGAGGATGTTTGATGCGGCGCCGATGCTCCGCCGGGATGGTGACTTTTGAAGATCTCTGCTGGGCCTCTTCCTGGAGATGCGTGCAGTCGTCTGGCGGTGGCGATAGCCAGCGCATCTCCCAGCGACAGGGCTACCGTTGTAGACGATGTTGGGGCCGATACGCCGATGGATAACTCCTCGTCCTCGTGAATGGGTGCTGGTAACAGGATGCCCATGTCGGATGATTGGAACGACAATAAGGGGCATGTGGAGGGGTGGAGGTGAGAAGTTATGGCGATTATAGGGACCGTTGATGGGATATAGGGGAGCAAAAGCAGGAGCTCAGGCGTGCGGCCTGAGAACGAAATCAACAACAGGGTATCTTGCTGTCTCAGAGCATCAATAAGCCTGTTAATCTAGATTATGATTATACTTCGACACTCACCGGTCTAATCATGCCCAGGTCTCCATGTAATGCTTCCGTTGGATGTAAGAATGCGCTGTAGATACCCAGGCTATTCATCGTCGCCTCAAGCTTTTGGGCGATCTTTCCACTCTTTCCTACACCACAGCATACCAATTTTCCTCCACTCCGCACGCTGCGAGTGATCTGGCTTACAGCCCGTGCAAGACTCTCTTGCGCCAACGCATTTGTTTCGTACAGATGTTCCAAATGCGCTAGGGCGGCGCGCTCTGTAGCAATGACATGAATGGCGGTGGATACCGACGCATCAGTATGGCTATCCTTTACAGTTGATAATGCGGGGTCTATCACGTCTGGAGGCGTCAGGGACAGAAGCGACAGCTCGTCGCGAGTGAGGCGGTCTTTCTTTATCATGGTGGGCACGGAGGGGGCCGCGGGGGACGATAGCGGGATTATCGGCGATTGCTGCTGAAGGTGCCCCATGGCACAGAAACCATTCTCCTTCGGAATGAAGAAGGACAGATCGTCTTCTCCCAGGAGGGGCCTGGGAAAAGAGGTCCCGGACGAAATCCCGGGGAAGCGAAGGAGTTTTTTTTGAAATTTTCGATGGCGGGGGAGGAATAGTTAGGGAAGTGGAGGAGAATCGGGCTCGGCGTGAAGTTTTGACTAATTAACCACTGGCTGCGCTACATCGGAGATACTGCTTTAAGGCGCACTTCGGACTTCCTTTGATTCCTTGCACGCTAACGCTCCAATGATTGATTATCCTAACAGTCCGTCCAGAGGAGAAACAATCCCCTCCTTTAGTGCGTCCTCCGAGTCTCGGCTCCAATAACTTCCGTCATGACACCATCGCCACCGTCGCTGACGCTTTTGCCGATCCCGTACTGTACAAAATAGTTGATTGTTACTGTTACATTGCCATCTAGGAGATTAGTACTATACAAATAATTTTCCCATCGTCTTTTTGTTTCACCCGTCATGTAACTTTCAAGCCTTGGAAAGGGGCTTGATACCCTTGTGAATAGCTGCAATTCCGCCAGTGAGGTTCTCGAATCCCCGGCCAGGGATCATGAAACCAGCCTTCTGAATCATGCCCCGGAATTCTTCCTGGCTGGGGAACTTCTCAATGCTCTCCACCAGATACTGATAGCTGTCCCGATCTCCCGCCACCATTTGACCGATCATCGGGATGGCACTGAAACTCCACTGCTTGTAGACCGCATTGAATACGCTGTTCTCTACCTTGCTGAACTCCATACATGCGAACACACCACCGGGCTTTAACACCCGGAATGCTTCGTGTAGGGCGGCCTGTTTGTCGGTGAAGTTGCGGATGCCGAAGACAACCGTGTAGAGGTCGACTGAGTTATCTGGGATGTCAGGCATGTGCTGGGCATTGCCCTGCATGAAAGATAGACGATCCGTGTTGTAGTAAGGGGTCTGGATGCTCCGCTTTTTGCCCTCAGCAAGCATATCCGGATTGATATCAGCAATTGTGACACGGGTCTGATGGTCGTGGTTAATGTTAGTCGCGTGGTCCAGCATGCGAAACGCGATATCGCCCGTCCCGCCGGCGATATCCAGGATATTCCACCCTTTTCCTGTTGTGTCGGTGTTGCGTGATGGTAGCGCTGATCCAGGGTTCAAGGAGCGAACAAAATGATCTTTCCACAGTCGATGGATCCCGAGCGACATGAAATCGTTCATAGCATCGTAGGAAGAAGCAACCGAGCTGAAGACCGCTCCAACTGTACATTACCAGTGTAGCATGGTCAGTCTTGTGTCCATTGGTTGAGAGGCATATAGAAGCATACCCATAGACTCCTTCTGCGATTCGGGAACGTTGCTAAAGCCAAAATGGGTCATCCGTTCATCATGGTTGGCCTTGTTCGAGTCCACTTGAGTTCGCTGCGAACAGGAAAAGCAGCGGTAGGGAACCTCGGCGATGGTCGTTCTCCGACGGGCATTATAGCCTAGATTCCTCCATACCGATCGCGACAACATGATGAAGTGTTAGTTATCCTAAACCTGCACTTGAGGTTAATTGAAATATAAAATGATAGAAATATTGCGCGGAGCGGATATCAGATGAGAGTCTCTCCGGCACCGTGCTTTTTCTGCCGCCCGATTCTTCACCGCTCACCTTTTGCCGACATCCCGACCGGAACCAACTGGATACGAACATCTCTCGCTGTGGGGCTAGTAGTAGTATGATCCTAAACAGTAGTACATGTTTTCGTTTTTTATTTAATTTTATACTTTTTTTTAATACCTATCTCATTTCGGCAGGTTGATAATTTAGGAATTGCACTTGTCATTTGTGGCCTTCTTGGCCTTAGTCTTGGCTCACATTAAACTCAGGTTTCAGGCCAGTAATATTGGCAGGAGATAGTACTACTAGTAGTATCCACCGCTTTTCACTGATCAAAGCTGCTTTATTGAAGATAGGAATGTTTTTGAGGTAGGGGATCTGGTGCGAATAGGTACTCCCACTTCGCATATGTGTATCGAATAGTCATATGCCTGTGAAACAGGTATGCTAGGGCACGGCTCGCTCGCTCATATGCCACTCAATCGTTCTTCGCAGCCCTTCTTGCAGCGGGATTGTGGGGCACCAGTCCAACACAGCTCTGGCAAGCGAAATCTGTGGTCGACGAACAGCAGGATCATCTGCAGGAAGTGGATGGTAGGTTATGTTGACCTTAGGCCGGTTGGTCATCTCGGCCACGAGGCCCGCTATCATCTCTGCTAGCTGCTGGATAGTAAACTCCCCATCGTTTCCGATGTTGACAGGCCCATCACTATAGCCACTGTTCATTAGGCGATGGAGTCCTTCCATACAGTCCGTGACATATTGGAAAGACCGCGTTGCAGATCCATCGCCGGTGATCTTCATGTCTTCACCCGACAATGCAGCAACGATAAAGTTTGACACGACCCGACCATCGCTGCCGTTCATCCGAGGGCCATATGTGTTGAAAATACGAGCGATACGGATATCGGCGCCGTGTTGTTCTTGGTAGGCATAGCACAGTGCTTCTGCTACTCTCTTCCCTTCATCATAGCAAGATCGCTTCCCGAAGGGGTTGACATTTCCCCAGTACGTTTCGGGTTGGGGGTGAACTCGGGGATCACCATATACCTCTGCATAATGTATTAGGTAGGGATAAGCGACGAAAGGGGCTATGGGGGTTTCGCATACCTGATGTGCTAGTATGCAGGACGCGGGCATTTTGTGATATAGCTAGCTCGAGCACATTTTGCGTTCCCTGAAAGCATGTCCGTAGCGTTGAGACCGGGTCTTTTTGATACTGAATAGGACTGGCTGGGCATGCTAGGTTGTAAATCTGATCGATCTGGCCCACATCCGCCAGGAGCATTTGGATATCTTGACTGTGGAAGTCAATATGAAGAGCGCCGGTGTTTGGTCCATGGTATCTATCTTACTTGACAAATGTAAAGTCGGGATGGCTCCTGAGATGCTCTAGGTTCTGGGGAGAGCCGGTTTGGAAGCTATCCATTCCAATGACTACATGGCCCTTTGCAAGGAGGTAATCTGCAAGGTTGGACCCGAGGAATCCCGCAGCCTGTCAGCGTTAGCCAAGGGCCTGTCCAAGGTGTCCGACAGGGGCTTCCTTACCCCCGTGATGAGGATTTTCAGTTTCCGATCGTGACTCGTCATATTAAATTAAGTAGCATATAGTACCCCCAACGAGCAGGGGTCCTGAATGGCATGCTTAAGTAAGTAGTGGTTAATCCTCCGCACTGGCCCACCCGATCAGCCCCGACAAGCCTTGATCTTGCCGCGCATGAAGCTAACCTTGGAAGTGGAACACATCAAATCCCTCCACCAACAGCCGAGTGTGGCTGACGTCTGAACCTCAGCTGCCCAGTGCCAACGTAGTGGGGCTGAGGAATGCCGATCGTAGACGAGTGTCGTGACTCTCAGGCTTTTCTGATGCGGTGTACGCGGTGGCGGGCTGACAATCTGCAAATCCCAACCGCAAGCGTCGGTAGTTGCCTTAAGTCCAACCTTGAAAGTTGCGTTCTTTACTGTATCCGGTAAGGGTTCATGATTCATTCCGCGTGGGCCTCTCGCTCAGCTTCGATCTAGATCTCTCATATATAATGAATGGAACATGGGAGAGCCCAGGAACGAACACTGCTAGAATGAAACGAGCGTAATTTTCTCCCCCGGATGTTCGGCCAGGAACCAAACCACTACCAGCCCCAGAAGCTTCGCCGTCATGATTCGAAAGGTGGTATGTATTGGTGCTGGGTTCGTGGGTGAGTGATGCACCGGCTACGGTGATGAATTCCTATCTAACGTTCTAGGGGGTCCTCTGGCCACGGTTATCGCCTATCAATGTCCGGACATCCAGGTAACTGTTGTGGACAAAAGCAAGGAGCGGATTGACGCTTGGAATACAGCGACCCCTCCACTGTATGAGCCAGGTCTCGAAGATGTTCTATCGAGCGTTCGGCTGCGTGAGACCCAGTGTAATCTTATCTTCTCGACAGATATTGATCATGCCATCCGAGAGGCAGAGCTTATTATGTTATGCATTGATACACCTACCAAAGGAGACGGCCTTGGGAAAGGGCTGGCATTGGATTTGACCAACACGCAGGCCGCTGTCAGGACCATAGCGCAGGCCGCAGAGTCAGACAAAATTGTCGTGGAGAAGTCGACCGTCCCGTGTGGAACAGCAGACAAAATTCGGGACTTGGTACGGATGCCTTTCTTAGACCTGTTTGGACGTGAATGCTAATGATACCATGGGTGCAGCTTGAATCTAATTCTAAAACCGGCTGCCGGTTCGAGGTGCTTTCTAATCCTGAGTTCCTTTCCGAGGGAACCTCAATTACAGATTTATTCTATCCGACGAAAGTTCTGATCGGCCATCAACAAACGCCATCGTCACGCCAAGCAGCTGAAGAGCTGGCTGCGATATACGCCCGGTGGGTATCACCTGAGCTGATAGTCACGATGGACCGTTGGTCATCCGAACTAGCCAAACTGGCCGCCAACGCAATGCTAGCGCAGAGAATAAGCAGCGTGAACTCGTTAAGTGCGATATGTGAAGCGGTCGGAGCCGATATTGACAGCGTGAGTGCTAGTTGCGGGATGGATCCTCGCATCGGAAAGGGAATGCTGAAGAGCACCCTTGGATGGGGCGGCGGATGTTTTGAGAAAGACATCTTATGTCTCGTCTACCTGGCTCGCAGTCTAGGTCTGACTCCCGTGGCAAATTATTGGGCTTCCGTTGTGGAAATGAACGAGTACCAGAAGTCGCGATTCTTTATGCGCATTGTCTCGTCTATGCACGGGAGTGTCGGGGCAAAGTCCATCGCGATCTTAGGGTTTGCCTTCAAGAAGAATACATCGGACACAAAGAATTCTGCTGCCATTCCTCTCGTGCGAAGCTTGCTCCAAGAAGGCGCCCTCGTCTCCATTTATGACCCTATGGTTTCGCCGGATCGCGTCTTGAAAGACGTCAATGCGGCCGGTAGCCATTCCGCATCTGTCCATGTGAGTACATCAGCGTACGAAGCATGTAATGGCGCCGATGCAGTAGTCATTGCGACCGAATGGGACGAGTTTCAGACCCCGATGCCGACAGGTGACGTGCGAATGACCACGGCAAAAGCTACTAGCATCGAGGAGCCCCAGTCCCCACCAAGTACACCAAGTGATAAAGAGGGAAGACTGAACTGGGCTTGGATTACGGATCATATGCGCCCACCCAAGTTTATTTTTGATGGCAGAAATATGCTGGACAGGCAGTATCTAGAACAGTTGGGGGCTCGGTATATTGGTATTGGCAGTGGGTCAGAATGGGGATTTCTAGAGAGAGCGACCCATTCTTTATAAATTAATGAAATAGTGCTTCGTCAGAGCGTTTAATCATCTATATCTCTATTATATGACACGACATTTTTGGTCTATGGCTCTGAAGCTTGTAGCGTACCCCTAGATTGAGTATGATGCATATAGTTCTTGTGTAGGTCCAGCCATGTATATCTCAGGCACCCTCATAGAACGCGTACTCAACCTTTCGTTGTTGGGACGAGTTTAATGGAACATCTGCCTATTGGTCTCGACATTGAGAGTGGATTTTCGCAATTGTTGCAAGTTCAAGTCGTGCCCACCATATGATTGGCCAGCGGCAGTGACGTGAGTGATTGAAGGCATCGTGAAACATGGAAAGGCGATAGAGATATGAAGAAGGCCCCAGGCATTCAGGATACGGCACCCATGGACCACATGACTAGCTTCCCTTTCTGCCAGTCCTCTCCCTCGACTCTTTCTCCCACTCCCTGTATTCTGACATACATGCAACACTTTTTACTCTGCAGATTCGATACACAATAGTATCAAACAGCATGCAGGCAGCTGTCCTTCAACACACCGAAGTATCCTCCTGTTCCTCATGGGGAAGACTCTGACAACCTTCAGCCTTGCGGACATCCTCATCATCAATCTTCTCAACCCCCCGTTCGACGAGCACATCACCATGCAAGCAGTATGCCCGCTCCATTTCCCAGGAGAATGGACTGGGTGCCGAAAACAGGGCTTCGATTGACTCTAGTGATCGATTGCAGGTTTCTGGATAAAAAAGATATACTACGGGAATCCAGAGAAGATTCAAGCCAGCAAGGAGAAAGTAGCAGCGACTCTTGATACTGTCGAACATGATAGGGTTGACGAGTGTGGTCATTCCAACGCCAATCGCCCAGCCTGTTATACCGAAGCCGTTTCCTTGGGCTCGCAGGTCCGAAGGGAAGATCTCTGTGGGTATGAGAAAAGCTACCGTGCCCCAAGTTGCTGCATAACTAGTATCTGCCTGTTAGCCAAACAAGCTATACACAACTCGACGATGTAACGCGCTTACCCCAAGTTAAAAAGGAAGAGCATCGCGACAGCCCCGGGTGCATACTGAGTTGCTTTGTCTGGATGATGAAGAGAACCTTCGTATATCGATCCAGCCTAGAAAGAATTAGCCAGGAAGCTCTTGGAAGATTCATCGATAGAAAGGGGACTACCTACAATTAGTTCAACAGTGAACAGCGTTGCAGAGCCAAGCATGAGGCACTTGCGTCGACCAAGGAGATCGACGATTTGCGCACTGATAATGGTCCCAATGATGCCGATTGTGTTCAAACCACCAGCTAACCCATTCTGTTTGATTTCACTATAACCGGCCTGGCTGAGAAGCACAGGTGAATACGCCGTGACAGCCTAGCGATGTCAGTACTAGGATTAAACTACCGGATATATACAAGCATAACTCACAGTTATGCCAGTCCAAGATGCCATGATTTGAAGGAATAGACTAAGCCAGGCACGGCGACCTAAATTCGCACCTGGTCTGCCACTCTTCCCGCAAAGAATCATGGCAAATTGAATTGGGGAGCTCGGTTTACTGTCTCGTGCTGTAGCCACAATCTCGAGATATTCCCGGTCGATTTCCTTCTGACTGGCTTTGTGCCGCCGAATAGAATTCAACAAATAGCGAGCCTCGTCAGTTCGTCCAACCGAGGCAAGGTACCGCGGGCTGTCTGGCAATGCTTTAATGCCGATAGCAAGGATGAAGGCCGGGATACATTGAAATGCGAGTAGGAAGCGCCACCTGAAGTCCGAATAGCCGCTATCGATAAAAGAGAGGCCAAAGGACAACCAGTAGGCGACAGAGATACCCAGATCTAATGACTATCATTGGATGGTGATACAGGGCGACCATTGGCTTGCTGTTGTACTTACAGTTCGCAATAAAAACATAGCCAAGATATCCACCGCGGTGTTCAGCTGAAGAAATTTCCGACACCAACACCGGGGTGATTCCAGTCAATGCTAAAACGAAAGGGTCAGAATAAACCAAGTCCTTAATACAGGTAATGCCATCCACTAACCTCCCGTACCAATTCCCGTCACCACGCGAGCAACTAACATGAAGTCCGAGCTTTGAATGGAGGCTTGTAAAGCACCCCCAACTAGGGCAAAGATTGACCCAAACAGCAGGCCATTGACACGACCAATGCGATCGGCGAGCCATCCACCAGCAAAGCACCCAAAAATACATCCTAGGTAGTATATGCTGACTAGACCACCTTGATGTGTAGTGTCAGTGACGCTGCCGTCGGGCCTTCCAATCCCGACTTCTGTCACGTACGTTGGCGAGGCGTTTACGCCTCCCATTACACCCTGGTCATAGCCTTCAACGAATATAGAAATGAGGGAAAATGTTTGGATTGCAATATTGATCTGACGCGGTGAGAGCTGTCGCCAGACTGCTGTGTAGCCCATGATGAGATGTTCGATGACTCTCTAAACCATCAATGAGCAGTATCAGGGCAAGGTAAACCAGTTCAAACGCAGGCCCCCGACAAGCGTATATTGGCAACTGATTCCTTTTTTTAACACCCTTCAATCGATCAAGCGCAAGACCAATCCACACGCAGGAAGCTTGTGATGTGCTTAAGCCTTATACCATAAAACCTCGGAGTTTCATCCCTTGTATCGCCCAGCCGCGCCGACACCCTGCAGCTTTCTCGCAGATCCTACGCAAACATTTACGTGATTGGTCGTATTAAACTAACCATGCAGCATGAGCTGATCATTGACTCCGCACATAGCGGGGAAATTGGGTGAGTGATCATTCTCGTCGCTTGTTTATTCCAAAGCTGTTGTACTTTCAGGGCAATAGCTTGGAACCGCTAATCAAACATCCCAAATACCGATCGAGCGCAACATTATGGGCACTTCAAATCATGCGTTGGACCTGACAGTCCTTGGGCTAAATAGTGGCACGTCCATGGTAAGTACTGCCGAGCACGGAGAAGGAAAGTAGGAACAGGTTTGATATCGTTCATGCTTATACTCCTGCTGATAGGATGGCATTGATTGCGCCTTATGCCATTTCCGTCAGGAAGACCCGGAGTCTCCTATGCATTTTGAGCTTTTGAAGGTAAGTAGCAGAAGCAAACCTCGCCTCTATGGACAAGAGCTCACAGTACGTACTAGTACGGGGAGATTGCGCTCGAGCCTACAGTGAAGAAGCGAGTGATGGATATCATTCTCTATAACAAGACATCTCCGTCGGAATTATCAGAAGTGAATGTTATCTTAGGCGAGACTTTCGCAGACGCTGTCAAGCAGTTCTGCCAGAGTTACAATGTTGATATATCCACCATCGACGTCCTGGGGTCTCACGGCCAGACGATATGGCTTTTATCTATGCCAGAGGAAGGCGAGACCAAAAGTGCCCTTACCATGGCCGAGGGCTCATTTCTCGCTGCTCGCACAGGCATTACCACCGTCACGGACTTTCGAGTCAGCGACCAAGCCGCAGGCCGTCAAGGTGCCCCACTGATTGCATTCTTTGATGCCCTTCTCCTACACCATCCTACTAAGCTTCGCGCGTGTCAGAACATTGGCGGCATTGCCAACGTTTGCTTCATTCCTCCCGATGTCGCAGGCGGAGTGAATCAGTGCTACGATTTCGATACAGGCCCCGGTAACGTTTTTATAGACGCAGTAGTTCGGCACTATACCAACGGCGAACGCGAATATGATAGGGACGGCGAGATGGGTGCGCGTGGAAAGGTCGACCAGGCCCTTGTCGACGAATTTCTGCAACACAAGTACTTCCGCCTCGATCCTCCGAAAACCACTGGACGAGAAGTCTTCCGCGATACGCTAGCTTTCGAAATGATTGAAAAAGCCGAGAGAAAAGGCCTTTCACCGGACGATGTTGTGGCTACCATTACTCGCATCACAGCTCAAGCGATCGTCGACCATTACCAGCGATATGCGCCTAAGCACCTGGAGATCGCCGAGATCTTCATGTGTGGTGGTGGTGCTTACAACCCTAACATAACATCTTATATTCAGCAACATTACCCCGACGCCAAAATCGTGATGCTGGATGAGGCCGGTATCCCAGCCGGCGCTAAGGAGGCTATTACTTTCGCATGGCAGGGTATGGAGGCCATTGTTGGACGTTCTATTCCTGTCCCGACGCGTGTGGAAACACGTCAGGAATATGTCTTGGGCAAAGTGTCTCCTGGGAAGAATTATCGGAAGGTTCTCCGGAAGGGCATGCTTTTTGGAGCTGGACGCGATCATCTACCACCGGTGAAGGAGTTGTTTAACTATGTGGATGGGAAGGTCTTCTACAATAAATGGTGAAGCACACCGACCATGATGGCATCTGCTAAGTCTACATGTTTTGCACGACATATTCGTCACGGTATTCATAAAGGATTGAATGGGTACTGCGCATATTATCTTATCCTGAAATTAGTGGCTACATGCCTAAGTTCGTCCTACTTCTCAAGTGTCTGATTCCACAGACTCTGCACCGTAACCCCCTGCACCCACTTCCCTCCAGTATTGTCCTCTTGAACCGTAAAGCCAATTTCCTTCTTCTGTCCTGGAAGCAACACGAAAGCATTCTCATCAAAATACCCCACCACATCAGCCGGATAGTCGAGCCAGGTGTATAGCGAGATACCCGATTTAGCCTCTACCGTGAAAATCTTCGCTTTGGAATCATACGATAGTTCAAGTCCGGGATCCACCAAGGCGAGGTCCTTGGGGAAAACCGGCGTGAAATGGTTCTGGTGGGTGAATGTCGTTTTCTCGTCCGAGTTGGGGAGATGTCCCTCACCTGACAGAGAGAGAACAAGGACGGCATCTTTGGGATTAGAGAGCGTAAGATTCTTAATATTGGTACTGTATACCTTTGTGGTGTTGAGCGATCCCACATTGAAAGGAACAGAACCCGGTGTGCCTGCGTTGTGGGCGAGAGCCTTGCCCGATAAGTCCAGCCAGGTTAGGTTTACCTTGCCCTTTGTTGATTCCCACAGATCTGACGTCACGTAGAGGTCCAAGTCACCTGTGGTGTAGTTCCAGAACGGGGAGACGATGACGGGCTGGTAAATGTCTCTGGAAACGTAGTGAAGGACCTTCCATCGTCCGCCGTATTCGATGCCGGCCCATGACGGCGCTTGCCAGATATCTTCCAGTTGCCAGTAGAGGGAGCCGAGTTGTCGCTCAGGCATTCCGCTACCACGGCGGTAGAACTGGATTTCAGATTTGTACATGTCGGCTTGGAAGAGTTGGGTCGCGTGACACCAGGCGCTGAAGTTGGCGACGGAGTCCAGCTTGTTAGGAATGGGGTAGTACCGCTGCACTGCGATTGTCATTTCGCCCATGCCTAGAGATGTGTTGTGGAAGTTGTCGGTGAAGGTACCGCCGGCTGGGTAATGATGGTTCCGAAGCATGACAGTGGTACTGTTGAAATGGAGGTCTTCGGGATCAACGGCTTGCTGCCAGGTTTGTAGGCTAGGCATGCTGTGGTATCCGAACTCATTGGCGAAGCGACCCACTGGGTAGACATGGTAGTTAAAGGAGACATTACTGTCATAGTTGTAGAAATCGGTGTCGCCGTAGTAAGATCCAGGAGTGGTATTGTGATACCGTTCCACCATGGGCACGGGAGCAGACAAGTCGACGTCGAGATAGCCTTCCGTTGTGCTGCTAGGGCTATATGTGATGGACCGGGTGTTTTGGTAAACCAAAGGCAGAATAAGACTGATATACAGCTTCTCATATTCCCCAACATACTTCGCATGCTCTTCAGGGGCCTTATTTTCGACCGTTGGAAGCATCAGTGACTCGATCTCGTTTCCACCTGCCCATAATGCCAGCGAAGGATGGTGGTTGACACGACGGACATTGTACACGACTTCAGCGGCGATGTTCTCTAAGAATGCATCGTCGACCGGATACAAAGCATCACTGAATTCGAACTCGCTCCATAAAAGAACGCCTCGCTCATCAGCTAAGTCGTAGATGAAATCGTGGAGATATATGCCAGATGACCAAACACGGAGCATATTCTGGTGTCCAGCAACGACAGCATCGAACAATCGGGCCATTCTCGCTCGGTAACCCGAGGCCAAAAAGCATCTGGCGGGATGATATTGGAGCCTTTGGCGTAAAATTCGTGTCCGTTGACTTCAAAATGCCAGTTGGCACCTGGTGCGATACCTTGGGCAAGCTGGGTATCTGTGATATTGCGTTGATTGAGGAAAATTGTGCGGAAGCCTGTTCTCTTGGTGATATGGGCCACGGTTTGGTTCTGATGGCCAGTAACAGTGACAGTTATGTTGTAGAGATTTTGGTCACCAAGACCCAGTGGCCACCAGAGCTTCGGAGTCACTCCTCCAAGTACTGTCACACCAGTAACGGAATTTCCAGACACGGTCACATTGCCTATCCGCTTTGACGTGAGTATCTCACCAGACTTGGTGTCTTTGAATTCAATAGACATGGACGGATTGGGCGGAAGAGAGCCCACAAAGTCAATGCTGGCATTAACGACCCATGGCTGACTTTGGTCAGGGGGAAGATGGTTGATCTGCCCTTTTCGATAGATGTCGATGTCTGTATTTAAGACATGAATATTTTGCGCCTTCGGTAGTTGCACGATATAAGCAGGCTTCCAAGGTCCTGCGGGTGCAAAGGCAGGACCCCAGTCCCAGCCGAAATCCGACTGTTCCTTGCGCATGAACCATCGGTTCGGATATTCATAAGTCTGCTGTATTCCGTCGGGCCATACTGGAGAAGCAAGTTAGTACTGTGCAAAAGGCAGGGATATGTTTTTGGTGCTCGAACCTGGTGAGTTAGGATCCTCGGCAATTGCATTCACGATGTTTGGCGCACTACCAAAGTTGATCTTCAAGACGGGATCTTCGTTGCAGCCCTTCAGAATCTGAGAGACATCGAAAGAATATTGGCGGTATTGGTTATTCGTTGAAGCGACGTGTTTCCCACAGAACTCAACTGTTGCAAAAGTGTCCAGTCCATCAAAAACGAGCCAGGTAGACTCGACATCCTTTAGTCTAGTGAAAATTAGATTGACAAAACAGCCCAAATAAACACTACAGTTACTCACAAGTTCTTAATCCCCTCACTGGTGTAAGTCCAATTAGACTCCGGGATCCATCGAAGATTGAAATCATTGAGTCCATGATACCTGATGTGGTCCAGTCAATCCGGTGAAATCATGCTTACGAAGCTTCACCGTCACTTACGGGTCATCTATGATGCATGTTAGAGGTATGTATGATATTTCAAAGGAAGGATAGTAACTCACCAATTACACCGGCTTTCAACAGGTCCAAATGGGCGTGGGATGGAAGACTTCCGGGCACGGTATGATTCAAGGCTTCGCTACTGAGAGTCCACTTTTCATTACTCAGATCCCGGGCATGCTGGCCCAGTGCACTAGGTATGCTGGATGCCACCAGGGCCGCGGCCTTCGCTGTGAACCGCATTGCGAGACTGCGGGGTTGCTACTAGGTTGGCCTTAGATCCTAGTCAGGAAGGATGACCGCTTGAGGGGAAACGGGCCCGTCTTTATACTTCGCTAAGCAATACTTGTGTCACTAGACTGCTACCAGTCATGCAGGACTCCGATATCTCCTCCCTCGATTCGGATCACGGCATAGAGTAGACGGAAGCAAAACCGTGTTGAAAAAGGGAAAGTACCATGAGTGGGGGTTGGGGACAGAATGCTTGTATCCACAGTAGCACGATCGCTGCATGAAGTTCTTCCAATGAGATGCGAATAGGAAGGCTGCGGAGTCCTTACCTGCGGCGGGGAAATTGATCGGCGGTCGAGGTTCCTTGGAGGTTGCCGTCCGGAGGTAAACGTCTCCTGTCTTCCCGGTCGGCTTGCATTTCTAAAGAGATCCCAACAAATTTCTTGTTACCGGTGAGGTGATCGGGTGAGGAAATTGGATGGTATAGAACCCCGAAGCCGTCCGGAAACGGGCCAGCCCGTTGCAGTAGATATCCGAAGTGGAGTCGAATATATATATATATTGGAGTCGAGACCAATCGTACAGATTGAATTGGGTGACACTAACTCATAATTGTCGTCGGGCTGGATATCCGTCCCCTTCTCAGAAGTGAAACCCATAATCCTCTCAGAACCAGAACCTGGCATTACAACATGCAAGAATTGAAAGAGAATGAGTGTCATCCGGAGTAAACATCTATGAGGTCATGTGACCTTATACAGGGCAAACAGAACAAAATGAACAAACAAGATCAACTCAAAGAAACCGATCGGTTAAGCACGGTTCGGCATGACGTCCTGAGCCGAAGCCAACCGCTTCCTCCGCATTCCCCAGAAACATGCCTTAAGATCAATGACCCCAGGAAATACCCCATATCCTTCTTCAACTGAGGTTCTCTCGACGATTGTCTTCTCAGACCATTCTCACAATGTCGGCATATCTTCTGAGGCGCATATCTCGCAATCCCAGGGTTTTGTCCAGGATTCCTCAACGATGGAGTAGTTCTATCTCCCAGCGGCCAGGCTCGGACCGGTATGTGAAGCTGATAAACATATCCCCTCTCTGTAAACACAGGGTATTGTGCGAAAGGGTAACCGGCGCTGATGGATAGATACTTCTAGTGTCCGATTTCCTGGTGCCGTGAACAGTAAATTCACCACCGACATGGCGTTCATCAATCCCTCCGAAATGACCCATATCCCTACATACCGTGTCATGGATTCCGACGGTGTATTGCTGGACAAGAACCGGAAGCCCGCCGGAGTATCAAACGAAGAAATATTAACATGGTACAAGAATATGTTGACTGGTGGGTTCCCTTAGTCGATTCCTCATCATGAATTGTTATTGATACCTTTTTAGTGAGTGTGATGGACGTGATTATGTTCGAGGCTCAAAGACAGGGCCGTCTGAGCTTCTACATGGTATGTAACCCCAAATCCTGATCCAATCGACGAGACAACATTGAATTAACGTTTTCTTTACAAAGGTGTCTGCTGGAGAAGAAGGTATCAGTGTCGGATCGGCCGCCGCTTTAACCCCCGACGACGTGGTATTCGCGCAGTATCGCGAAACAGGCGTCTTCCAGCAACGTGGTTTCACTTTGAAGGATTTCATGAGCCAGCTCTTTGCAAACTGCCATGACAACGGCAGAGGACGTAACATGCCGGTGCATTATGGCTCCAACTACCCTCGCATGGTGAGTATAGCACCCCGATACACCCTAATCTGCCACATGGTACACAGTCACGAATACATATTAACCTCTCCCAGCACACCATCTCCTCACCCCTTGCAACCCAGATCCCCCAAGCATCTGGCGCAGCCTATGCCCTCAAACTAGAATCTCTCCAGAACCCCGACACCCCACCACGCATCGTGACTTGCTACTTCGGCGAAGGCGCCGCCAGTGAAGGCGACTTCCATGCCGGCCTCAACATCGCCGCAACACGGTCATGTCCCGTGGTCTTCATTTGCCGTAATAACGGATATGCCATCTCCACGCCCACACTGGAACAATACCGGGGTGACGGAATCGCCAGCCGAGGAGTAGGATACGGCATTGACACGATCCGGGTCGATGGAAATGATATCTTCGCCGTTTATGAAGCCATGCGCGAAGCACGACGCATTGCGCTCTCCGATGGCGGGAAGCCTGTGCTTATTGAAGCAATGAGCTATCGTGTCTCGCACCACAGTACTAGTGATGATAGCTTCGCGTACCGTGCCCGGGTAGAGGTGGAAGACTGGAAGCGGCGCGATAACCCCATTATCCGATTGCGGAAGTGGCTTGAGAACGAAGGTTTGTGGGATGAAGATACGGAGCGGACTACGCGCGAGCAGCTTCGGAAGGAGGTGCTAAAGGAGTTTGGAGAAGCCGAGCGTGAGAAGAAGCCGCCTCTTCGGGAGGCCTTTGAAGGTGTGTATGAGGAGTTGACGGAAGAAGCGCAGGAGCAGATGAAGGAGTTGAAGCGGATCCTTGAGACTTATCCTGAAGAATACGACCTTCGGCAGTTTAAGGATGGTATCAATGGGTTATAGATTGTCGGCGATCTGTTTGTGAGTACATAGATCAAGATATCCCGTATAGCATGAATTCAATCATGGAAAAGCCTTCTGTTGCCTTGATTCGAGTCTTATTTCGTATTGCCAACCTTGGCTGAAGGTGTGACTGGGGTAAGCCTGCAGGCTATGAGCGAAGAGAAGCATTAGGTTGCAGTGTGTGATACACAAACGAATGTATGTCCATTGGTAATTGCAGAGCTGCAGAGCCGCAGAGCCGAACTCTGAAACACCCTATGTAACTTCCCCCGTTTCTTTGATAACCGGATACAAAACAATGTCTTTTCAATGGATGCGCTTTTTGAACCCGCCAACTCCAAGCATGTAAAAACAGCGCTCATGAGTTTGTACAGTAAATAATACATAGTTTACAATTCCACAGGGGGATCCCCCATATCTTTATTTTACAGATCCAAGCAGAGCCCTGCCCACGTTCTCTTGAGGCAGCTCATCCCTCAACAGAGGTGGCCAAAGCCTGCTGTGCGAGCTTCTTGTTCCGCTTGACCAAAGCATTGAGTTTTTTGTCAATAGAGTCAAGGTCTTTGCGCGATGATTCCAGCTCCTTCTGCGACTTGGCAGCAAACGTACGAAGCTCCTCATCCGTCATTCCAACCACATCATCCAGATCTGGCATATTGCCCATGACGACACCGGCAGCTCCCAGCATATGCTTGGCGGTGGCTGCCGCAAAGGACCGAACAGAAGTGGCAGTGGCGTTCACCAATTCAGCGGTATTGGCAATAGCCCAATTGTGACTGCGTGTGCTGTCCGCTTCCATGGCCGAGAGAACGTTCGGTGGTGTAGGAGTATCGGAAGTAACTGCGCAGTCAGGTATAGTCATATCGCCAGAGTGCGATACAGACGAAATCCCAGTCGACGTTTCACCCACCCAGCAGATATTAAAGTTTTCGGGTGTAGCAAAGAGGGCATCAAGCCCACCACCACGGTTTGTCACGTCAGGTTCCGTGATCGACGTCGGCGGATACTCAGGGAAGGGATCAATGGAAGCACTGATGCGTTTCTCAAGCTCAAGATAACGTTCTTCTTCCTCTGGGCCCAAATGACGAAGAACACAACCGCGAGGAGTGATTAAGCAGCGATACTTAGTCAAATTGGAGTCAGAGTTGATCCGCACTGGTTCTCCACGCAGTAATGCTTTGCGGTGTTCCTCGGTCAACTCGACAGGCTGCTTCAGGATTTCATAATCATCTGCAGTGCACTTCATGTCCACACGTTGGGCCAAATTAGGTGGGTTGAACAAAGGATGGGCATTGAGATCCAGATTTCCCGCCTTGTGGAGCTGAGCGAGCAGTATTGGCAGCACAGAAGTTCGCTCCGAGAACAATTCTTTGATTGGAATACCAGCAGCTTCTGAATCCTTGATCAACTGCTCAATGGTGTTGTTAGAACGCCACGCTTCTGCTGCAGTCTTCTGTGCAGGGGCCTCCTTCTCTTCGACGGCGCCTGGCTTAGTATCCTTTGCAGGTTTGTCCTTCGACTTGTTCTTCTTCGCTTCAGCCCGCTGATCAGCCTTGTCAGTAACTTCTTTTCCACTAGTATTGGGCTTCGCAGCTTCGTTGGTTTTGTCCGGCGTTGCGGTAGTTGACTCAGGATTGCTTGTCGGGGTCTTCTTGGTTTTACGTTTCCTTCCAAGAATAGGCGCCTGCACTGGCTCCTCAACAATAGCAGACACCGCCCCATGCTTCTTGGCTTCTATCTCCTTGGCCTTCTGTCTGCGTTCTTTCTTGGCTTGGCTCTTAGTCACGGCGCGTACAGGTGCAGAGCCAATCCTAGATGACGCAGGAGGAGAGTTTGCGCGAGAAACGGACGCAGAAGTATAGATATCGGCTTCCGATCCAAAGTCACCAGGAGTATCAGGCCTGCTTATGGAAGATACGCTGGGTCTTCTCGATCGTCCCTTAGCCGCGGCAAGCTGGGATGATATGGATTGGGTGGCCGAAGCAGGAGGGGGAGTCTCAGTTTTCGGAGTATCAACAACACGAAGAACTCTGGGTTGACGTGGAACTGAGGAGTCAGAGATACGTGAAACGCCAGTCAATGGTGTATTTGGGCGAGAGCCGATGGCACTCTGGGCCAGTTGTTCGCCTTTCAAGGGAGTGCTATCTTGGGCTTGAGTCATATTGAGTGGGATATCCAGCTTCATCGGCTTCCCCTTTGCCGTCGTGGATGCTGACTTCTCTTCAGTGATACTCCCTGACTTCTTGCTTGACTTATCATCAGAGGCAACTGTCAGGTCATCCTTGGGTTGGGAGCGAGCTTTATTAGCTGATTTTGGCACTGGCGACCCCAAGGATATCTCAGAAGCATTCTTAGCTCGATTTGAGATGGCTACATGGTCCTGGGTACTTTTAATGTCCGGCGACTGCAGACCAGAGGTAGTCTCCTGAAAG